GACTCTCCCACATCTAAAGCTGAGTATTCTCCACTCAGATATGTAGTATTCACCACAGTTCCTACAGAATCCTGTTCTCTTCTTATCCACTACCCTACCCTGCCTGCATTATATTCTCTCTGCTTCAGATTTCGACTTTTTCTCCTCTTTTTCTTTACAAATCAATCCCAGAGAGTGTATAGGTAGAGAGGATGTATCATTCAAACCATCAAAATGTCACATTGCCTCTTCAATTTGTGTTCTATATCCTTGTGCCACATCAGTGCCACTCAGACTCTGCCTTCCTATTATTGTTGAATTTATCCTTGTTGGTAGCTTATATATCATCATGTCTTTCCATACTGTCAATCTCAATACCTAATTTTGTCAGGAAGTGATGCTTGGACATGTGAGCAGAAGTGTGGCCCAAATTGCTGGCTGGCCAGCAAAAATTGTGACATTGTGACACTTGTGACTGGTAGCACTCTCATGTAAGAGATCTCTATTGAGGTGAAACAGGGTAATATAGATTCATGGACATGGTAGTAGCTGTATAGATAGTCCTACAAGTTAATGATATAGAGTGTTTACTCATACTGATATGAGTGCTCTCAGAGCTCTCAGAGCGTGGGTTCTGCTATCAAATCAGGGGTGGGAAAACACACCGGCTATATAGCAGATACCGGATTTCCTGATGCACATAATACCCAACCAAGCGACTCACTCAAAGCATTTGCACCTCCATTATTACAGAGAACATGGAAGACATAAGCGACACGGAACTAGAGGACGATCTCCAAGCACTGACGGTCACCGAACTTCACACATTCATGTTGTCCACGGCGGCGAGATACACGACGGAAGCCAAGTCAACGAAGACGAACCGCATTCACGCCATAATCGCGCGCAACCCGATAGAGGTCATACGTCCGCTACAGGAGAAAGGACACCAGGTTCGTCTTTCTAAGCTGTCCAAGCACAAGAAGAGGCTACGCGAGTATGAGGAGGAGAGGCGTATTCGGCGCCGTCTGGAGCCCCCACAGGTGGCGTACACTCATCCGAGCCCGTCCTATGACACGGCTCACTTCCTGGACTTACCATCCGAGGATGAGAGAAAGGCTTGTTTTCGAGAGTTCTATGAGGCCACGTCCAACGAGGCTGTTCAGTTGGCGACATGTGGCGTTTGTGCACGGTGGCTCATGAAGAGGAAGAGTCGCATCACAACCATTCCCTTGTCCGCTGTTCCCCATCCGGAGAGACTTAGACCAAAGTCGGAACTGGAGCACCCCGCGCAGGTCTTAACGCATGGGATGCTACTTGACTCGTCCGCCATCACCTCAGACGACGACGGGCGCCCATCCGAAGTCAATGTCTGTGGCGAGTGCTTGGATGGACTCAAGAAAGAGAACACCACGGCGCCACCTAAATATTCCCTTGCCAATAATCTCTGGATTGGAGAAATACCATGGGAGCTTCGCCGCCTGACCGTCCCGGAGCAGCTGCTCATCGCGCTCCTGTATCCTCGTGTCTTTGTCTTCAAGATGTGGCCCAAAAAGGCGGAGGGCATCAGGGCGGAGAACACTCAGCGGGGTATGCGAGGGACTGTTAGCACCTACGAACAGGACATACGAGGAATCGCCGCCATGACACAGGGAAAGCTCATGCCTCGGCCTCCCTCCATCCTCTCCTCCATAATCACTGTAACATTCATAGCGAAGGGCCGTCTCCCGAAATCTTGGCTCTACAACACATTCCGTGTTCGGCGTCATGCAGTGCGAGCTGCGCTGATCTGGCTGAAAACCAACAATACCAAGTATTACGGCGATATCGAGATCAGCGACACACACCTTCAGCAGCTTCCCGAGGATGGCGTACCGGAGGAGATCATCGCGAACGTCCACCAATCTGAGGACGTGGGGATAGTTGACCAGGAGAGCGAAGGGTATGTACCGAGGGAAGAGGAGGGACCGGACCACGGTGAGCGGTTTGTATGTGGACATTTATATATTGTCTCATGTCTTTCAGATGAGCCCCTTCCATTCCAACAGGATGGATACACATTTGTGTCTGACCCCGAAGGCGACGTTGATGGAGAAAGTGAATTTACTCCTCGCCACTCTGTTTCTATCATTTGACACGTTCTCACCGTATCGTTTATCGCCCAGCTCCCGATGTCATACCATTCCAAATCAATGGCGCAATCGATACAGATCAAACGAACGTGACGAACACAGAGACAATGCTCTACGGCCTTTCCAACCTGTGGAAAGAGGGGCAGGAAGGAGGCTACAGTGTTCGCTACAGTCGCCAACCAGCGAACGACTTTGGGCGCCCTCGGAAGGGCGAAACACGGCCATACAACCCGAACTCGGCAAACTTCTGGGAGAAGGCGTATCCAGGTCTCTTTCCTAATGGTCGCGGCGGCATCGAGGCAGATCGCGAAACACCGCTCTCCTTTATAGAGCAGGTTCGATGGGCCCTCGAGTATCACGACGGACGGTTCCGTCGCCACGAAAACTTTCCATTCCTAGCCTTTGGCATCGAGCAGCGCCGTCAGACACTCAACTCCGCACGGATCCAGATGAGACGGAAGGATTTCGACCGAGACGCACGTGTATTGTCTCGCATCACCCAAGACAGTCTACGAGAAGCAGTACGGCAGGAGGAACTCGGCCAGGCGATCGTAGACCCCGCCGTTCGCCTCCTTCGGCGTCACCTCCATGCAGCCGGAGCTCGTGTCCATGGCTCAGACGCATCCCGTTACCAGCTCCGTAGCAAGATCTGGTCGACGAGTGTGGCGATGGGCCCACCATCCGTCTGGATCACTATCAACCCGTCAGACCTCCATCACCCTATCGCTCAAGTATTCGCCGGCGAACAGATCGATCTCGACGCTTTTCTCGCCACGGAGGGCCCAGATAAGGATCGACGCGCTAACAACATCGCCCGGGATCCCTGGGCCGCGTCGAAATTCTTCCACTTCATCATCGACACCATTCTAACAACCCTCTTCCAGGTGAAGGTGACGGGAGGCCATCGTGTCGAAAGTGGCATGGGCATCCTCGGTCGAATCAGCGCGTACTTCGGAACCGACGAGACGCAGGGTCGTGGCGCACTTCACCTTCACATGCTCCTATACACCCAACACACACCGTCCCCTTCAGAACTTCACGAGCTACTCAAAACAGCGTCGTTCCGAGACAAGATCACCGAGTTCATTCGTGTGAACGTCCGAGCCTACATGCCTGGCCTCGAGTCCACGGAATCCGTCGCCGCCATTCCGAACGAGCGCGAGGTCGGGTACAGTAGACCGCCCCACCCGGATTCGGCCACGTACGACGATGATGTTCGCAACCTCGAGCTTCGCGTGGCCAGGAGCAAACAGGTCCACAACTGTGAGAGAAGACGGTGTCAGATCCCAGATCAGAACGGCATTTACATCTGCAAGCGCGGCGTTCCGTTCGAATGCTCACCGGAGGACTACGTGAAGGAGAACGGAGAATGGTGTCCCAAACGACTGTATGGACGCGTCAACGGCTGGAATCCCGCCATAACAGTCAACCTGATGTGCAATAACGACTGTAAGCTCATCACGAACGGCCACGACACGAAAAACCTCACCTGGTACATCACTGGTTATGCGGCAAAGAAACAAAGCAAGACGCACAACCTGTCGGCAGTCATGGCGAAGGGCCACGCCTATCACGTCGAGCGCAGCGATTACCGCGATACTCTTCAGGACGACCAGCGCAAGCTCATCCTGCGCGTTGTTCAGTCAGTGAACCGTCAACAGGAACTGGCAGGCCCCATGGTCATCGCGTATCTCATGGGATGGAAGGACACAAAGGAGTCTCACCATTACAGCCCGCTCTTTTGGTCGTCGTTTTCCGGTGCGCTGCTAACGGCGTTTCCCGATCTTCGCCGCCAACACGGGCCCCACAGGTAAGGTCGACCATAGCTTTCCGTCGAGTGCAGACGCTGACACCATACCAGGTCGAGTGGCGAAAGCGGAAATGAAGGCGTGAGAGGAGCAGACAGCGATATCAATCAGCTCCTCGGGCGCAATGTGAGTCGAACATGATTTCCTATTTTCAGACGAGGAAGGAACACTGAAGTACCGCCAAGGATCCACCAGAAGGAGGGACACAGGCTCCGGAGGATAATACACCTGTTCAAGAGGATGTGGACGGGGTGAGCGGCCCGCAACGCGCGAAAGACTAAGAAGTGGACTGACCGGGAGCACAATTCACAGGACAATGAAATGATCACCATCGGGGGCGACACTCGAGGCAAGATCTACGGCAAGTCTCAGGTCGTTGATTATCGCTGTCGGGGTCCCGGGCTCGCGTCATACAACCTCGTTCAGTTCATCGGCAGCACATACGACGCAGATTCACCACGGACGCCCCAAACAGCATCAGTGGACAACACAGAAACGCCCGTCGGAGAGGAATCGCGGGGAAGGCCTCCCAACGACCGAGTTTCATACACCGCGGACCATCCGAAACACGACAAACTTCTCCGCGTTCTGCGCACCGAAGGTCATAACAACCTCGTGAACTTCATCGGAGGGCACACCATTCCACGCAATGACGACCCGGACACACAAGAATACTACAGTGCCTGTATGCTCATCCTCCTTAAACCGTGGCACGATCTTTCGCGAGACCTGAAGGGGCCCAACGAAACATGGCAATCTGCATTCTCATCGTTCAAGGACAATGCGAACGCGTACACACGCCGTATGATCGATGGATTCCAATATTATCACGAGTGCGAATCAGCAGCGAAGGAGCGGCGAAACGAACGACGACAACGCGCAGATGCACATCGATCTGATGATGTTGCCATGGATGAAGACATAAATCCATCAGTAGAGGAACAGCCAATCACTCCCAAGCTGCTGGACGAGCTGCGCTCGGAGGAACGGTCGCCACGAGAGCAGCAACACGCGAGGTTGGCAATCCTTCACGCCCTCCAAGCCGGCGTCTTCGACGAGGAGAATAGAGACCAAAATCCTCCGCCCACACCCGCACAAGAGATCAGAGAGAACAGCCAGGGGATAACGTACTCGAATGCAACCATGCAGAACCAGCTTTCCCGATGGCGAGAGCAAATGGCAGATGATATCGACCGTCAAGACTTCGCGTCGCTTCCTCAGGACTTAGCCGTCGATGGAGAGGCAACCGTAGAGATTATGGACGGAGATGACGGCCCATCGGTGGAGATGCGCGAGGTGGAGATGTCAGAGGAGGCGTTGGCTCCGGCGGCCGTCGGCGAGTTGAAGGAAGATCAACGTCGTGCATATGATATTGTGGCGTGGCATCTGGACCAGACGTTAGCGGGAAAGGACCCACCACCTCTGCGTATGATCGTATCTGGGGAAGGCGGCACTGGCAAGTCGAAAGTCATCCAAACCATCACCAGTCGATTTGTCGAAACACGCGCAGCACGCCTCCTGATCAAGGGAGCATACACCGGTGTCGCAGCATCCCTCATCAGTGGCAAGACCACCCACGTCATAGGCGCTATTTCACAGCGTAAAGGCGCTATGAGCGACGAGTCCAAGGCCAAGCTGCAGAGAATCCTCCGACACGTCCGCTACCTCATCATTGACGAGTACTCCATGATCGGGAAAGCCTTCTTCGCGGCCCTATCCCGGAACATTGGCGTTGGCAAGCAACAACCAGGTGAACCGTCGTGCGACAGATCCTTCGGAGGGATTAGCGTCATCCTCTGTGGCGATCACCATCAATTCCCACCTGTTATCGGAGGCGAAAAGGAGGCGTTGTATTGGCCTTCGAACGCCACCTACGACAACACGGAATCACAGCTTGGCCGCGCGATATTCGAGGAGTTCAGAGAGGTCGTCATCCTGCGAGAGCAAATGCGGGTGTCAGACATAGTGTGGCGAGACTTCTTGCGCAACCTCCGGTTTGGACGAGTACAACCGGAGGATCTTACAATGCTCCGTGGCCAGCTCCTGACGAACGAGGGCTGCCCTCCAACGGACTTCACGACTGCTCCTTGGAAAAGTGCCGGACTCGTCACCCCGCGACACGCAGTCCGAATGAAGTGGAACGAACATGCGGTGCGACAACATTGCGACGAAACCAAGGCGCGACGCTTCATCGTTCGAGCTGACGACACGGTGAAGGATCGGCTAGGGAGGAGAGACCTCACGCTGCGAGAGAAGATAGATGTGCAGAGGAAGCGCCTCAATGCCACGAGAGGAGACGGGAGGAATCAACTGCCGGATGTTGTCGAAGTGGCGATCGGGATGAAAGTCATGGTCACCACGAACGTACAGACAGATCTGGACATCACCAACGGCGCAAGGGGCACCATTGTTCGCATCGTTCTGCACGAATCGGAACCCCCCATCGGCGAGCGAAAGGTCGTCCATCTGCAGCATCAACCCGCATATATCCTCGTGAAATTGGACCGCACACGGGCCACACGGCTAGCAGGCTTGGAAGACCAAGTAATCCCAATCGAGCCCATCGCGCGGTCTTTCGACATTCGAACGAAGGTAAAAGGCAAACTCACCACAAAGAGGGTCCAGCGCCGCCAACTGCCCATGTCCTCAGCATACGCATTCACCGACTATCGAGCACAAGGCCAGACCATCCCTTATGTGCTCATCGACATCGCCCAGCCTCCTTCGAACGGCCTGTCCCTGTTCAATTTATATGTGGCGTTGTCGAGGAGTTCGGGTAGGGAGACGATCAGGCTTTTACGCGACTTCAACGACGACCTATTCTTACAGGCCCATAAACCGCCAATCCTAGAGGAAGATGACCGTTTGGAGAAGATGGACAATAACACAAAAGAATGGTGGAAGAAGATGAGCAGAGGGCGAGTGGAATAGAGTAAAAAATTCCGCACCGGTAGCGTAAGCACCCGGGACGCAGCGGATAATGACGTAGTGTAAGAACACGAGTGGCATGATTTCAGCCTTTGCAGCATTTACACGACGTCATACGAGCGCCTACGCAGAACAAGAAAACATGAACGGAGACGTAGGCCCGTCGAGTGGATGAGTGAGAACGATTGCGGTCTGAAAGTGTGAAATTGCGACCGAAGTTAGACAGCCTCTGAAAACGTACCAAATATTTAACTAGCATGTTGGCACATGACACAGGAAACCCACACTAATGCCCCGCTCCGAGCGAAGGACAACACATGTGAACAATGCACCAAGAGAAGGCAAGTATATCATGGATCGGGCAGTGTATACATGTCGCAAAGGAGACCGCGAACAACGTGAATATGTGTCGACACGAGTAACCTGCGAACGATACAGAGGGAGTCGAAACTACGCAGAGTTAGTGATCGTAAAGGACACTCGCAGATTGATCTGCGTTGTGAAGTGTCAACGCGATCGCTGGTCGTGGGCGAGAGCTTCGCCACAACACTGACACGGCGCGTTCAATGTTATCGTCCGGGCGCAACGTTATGACGCAGTGACGCGGCATAGGAGCGAATACAGCCGTTTGCGCAGAAAGACAACCGGTTTGTCCTCTCGCTGAGTGGAAAAGATCGAAAAGAAGAGAAGATATCAACAAGTCGTTCACGTTCATGCATATGGATATCGAGTAACAAGGGGCATGTGCCACAATCTTATCAAAGCGAAGATGGAGAGATCAAATCTCCGGTGTTTGGTCATGTTTATTTCCGGGTCGATTCTGAGCAATTACGGGGGTAGGAAGGACCTTTCAAGCAAGGTAACTGCTTCTGAAAACGCCCGTTGTCCAAATGGGGAATGTGCTCGCGACGACCAAAGTGAACTCTTATTTCAAGACAGTACTCTGCACAGAACTCGTACTGCGATGTGACAATCGATCACTAGTCGCGCGTATTATTGGGCCTTTCGTCATCCACGAGAGTTCACGCGATACAAACAGAGGGTTCGCATCAGACTTGTCTTTTTGAAGACGCGCGGGTTCTCATGGATGCAGATTGAGACAATGCATGCATAGCATCACAGACCGACGGGCTTTGGCCTTACGTCCGACAGCATCTTCTTTCTCTTCTCCTCGGACCGTATGAGCCTGAGAGCAGTTGCAAAAATGAAAGAAGCTGGCCAAAAATCGATCGCGAGCTCACAGTGCAGTACATGGACTTCCCCATGAGCACGAAACGCGAACATTGAAAAATGATGTTTGACAGGCTAACCAAACCATGGAATCTCCAAGCTTGGAAACCTTTACCGCGTACCTCCTTCAGTTGATGACAGTGTTGTACGCGGAGGTCGTGAGCGTTGCGGAGCCTGGAATGAGCCACAATTTGTTAGCGTGGACTTGCCAAGGACAGACCGGTGGAGGAAGTACGGAGCGGAGAACAACGCACCAACAAAAGGTTCCGTCCCCGCCTGTAACTGCACCAAGAAGCTATCAGCCGGCACGCCCTGGTTCGCGGTCAAAAAAGTGAAGAAGGGCTTGAGGTCCTGGCTGAAAGAGGTGATCTCGGAAGGAGCGACAAAGGAGAGGACGGTCCAAGTCTCGACGGTGCCGCGGAAGAGGTTCCATATTACGCCATTGACGCTGTGATCAAGGTACTTGAGTCTGTGGCGGTGGCAAGAGCGTGTGAGAAAAGGGAGGAAAGGAAGACTCACTTAGCTGTGCCAATTTGCGAGCCAGCAGGTCCAGCGCTATTCACCGACACAAAGTACTCGTCAGGTCAATGTGTCACCCACACGAAAAATGTTGGTACTCACCCTCCGCGCGAACTCAACCAGACCATCACTTCGAAAGTCGAAGTACTTGACGAGCCCATCCCGGTGGCTGAGTTAGACAACCACATGTCGTAGGACACGTCAGCGACAAGGTCGGAGCTCGCAGTGGTGTAAGTCCAATCCCAGGTCGTAGGTATTGAGGCAACTATTCGAGAAGTCGAGCTTGTAAGCAGAGCCCGGACGGGATGAAGGAGGTAAAGAGATGTGATGTACTAGAAGTCAGGGATTTTCCGAGGCCTTGACGGAGATCGAGATTGGCATCTACATAAGGGGTGATCCGATGAGCATTGTCAATCAAGTCATAGCGAGGGTAAGGCGGACGGACAGCTTTTGACGTTGAAAGGTCCTCCTGCCCAGGTGTAGGTGGTATGCCATGTGATAGTCGTGCCACTCGTGGCAGTCACCTGCGACGTTTGAGAGCCTATATAGACGGACAGTAAGGACATACGTATGTGCAAGTCAACTCGTAAATGGATGCTGTCAAAATGCACGCACCACTCGTGGCAGCAGCTTCGCCCCAAAGGTTATTCTCCAATATGAAGACACTAGTAATCAGGCCGCTTTGAGTACCATCGCCGCTTCAGGTCAAGCACTATCACGGCACGCACCCACTAGCCTACATATTAGAGAAGGGTCCTTGAGCTGTGGCACAGTGATCAATCGTGAGACACCAGAAAAACCCACCTCGGACTCGGTGGCAAATTGTGCACTTAGCACAGCTCCGCGCTTGCTCAATGCCTTCGTCTCAATACCATCTTCGCTCTGGTCCCGGATCAGGGGAGAAGCAAAGGCCGAGGATACTGTGAGAACGAGGAGTAGGATGGATATCGTTCTTGTGAACATCTCTGGTGATGCCTCAGGGAGAGAAGGTCGGGAGTCGATGCAGTAGGGAGATGAAGGACTGATTTCCCTTGACAAAAGCTGTCGTCTCGGGATGCATCATATAGCATCGAGCAAAAGGAGCGGGAAAAGTTGTGCAGCGTGCAACACGTCTGTGAAGGGGCAGGCGGGCCGTCGAATAATATGAAAATGAATCAGAAGGGCGAGGACTCGAGGGAAAACGGTAACCAAATACTCACCAACATGTTTGCCCTCAGTGCTAACTCACAGAGGGGTAGTACCATTGCACATCGAAGACAAATGTACCCATGGTTGCCACCGTGATCGCTTGCTATAAGGACGCTCATGACGCCTAGCCGATTGCTGAAGACGAGCAATATGATCCACGAATGGCTTAACTCGCTTGTCGTTTGCATCCGTACTCCGAGGTTCCAGCCGCGCCGTGTAAGGTAAATCCCTATATCTCGTTCAACACAGACAATTGATCCGTTCATAGAGAATCGACAGCCGCCGGTTGGGTCCGAGGTATAGCGCAGGATATACGTGACCTGCAGATGACCGAATATTGTGCTGGATGTGAGAAACAGAGATATTGTACGAGACATGTAAGGGAAAGCCAAGCCATTAGAGGCAGGCAGAACAAAGCGCAAGCATGCATGTCCGTGGTATACAATTCATATAAGTTATTGAAGACATCACAGCTACACTTCAAAGAATCGTTTCGTCAGGTGTGTATACACGAGGTTGAACGCAGAAGAAAACATACGTCCGAAGTTTCTACGTTTTTGTGCCTCTTTACGACGAGCCGCCTCTCACACTCTAGCCCCTTTCCACCCAGAGTCCAATGCATCCACGATCAAAAAATCGTACCAAATCACCGCCAACGGGGCCGTTGCCAGGTGCCACAGGGCATGCGCGTCCACCATCCTCTTCCACGGCGGAAAATCGAAAAGTTCCAAACACGTCGCGGCGGTCGTCAAAACCACCGCTTTAGCGGCGTCTGATGCGTATAATGGACGATATGTCTTCGCTTGACCTGCAAAGCGATGGAATAGGGACATTCGGGCAGGAAGTGCGAATGCGAGCCATAGAAAATTGTGGGAAAGGCCGAGCAGGAGGTTGAAGATAATGTTGTAGGTGTAGTCGAAGCGGGGTAGGAGGGTGAGATATGCAATGTGTGAGATGTATGCAATGATGCAAATGATAGTCCAGAGATAGTAGAGTGCTCTACGTGGCGTCGAAGATGACGCGGAGGACGTGAGGCGAGCGTTTGGTTGCGCCGGGTACAGGTGGAAAAGACGAATGACGGAGAAGTAGAGAGAATACAGAATGGTCAGAGCGGCGGAAAAGTAGTCGAGTTTTTCAGTTAGAGGTGTATCTAACATACCTTTCAGAACTCTAAATTTAGAGATCGAGCAACGAACTTACCTCGAGTGTGAAACACAGCAGACCAAATCCAAGCGTTACAGCTGACTAACGACCAGTTCAGGTAGAAACGCTTCATCGGGTGTACATCCGGTATCGACCTCTTGACCTCTCCCCTTCCCCATATATGAAGGAGTAAGTTTAAGAGGGAGAACAAAACAGACACAGGTTCCTGCATGCCGGCAAACCGCCAGAAGGGCCATTTTCCATAGTACTGCTTTATCGGTACTCCGCTTTCGACAGAAAAGTCGGTCATGGTGTGCATGCATGTGTACTTGCAGTCATCCAGGCAAGTCCAACGAGTGAGGCGCATGGCGAGGGGGAAGTTGTCTGGCACGTCGCCAGGAGTGCATAGATTTCTAGTCTCGCATTGTTTTATACATCGTTGGTATTGGTGATCACGGTCGCCTGAAGATGCCAGTGCCAGTGATGAGCAAATTGCCACGAAAAAGAGTGAAAGTGCAAATCGCATGCTGCCGTCGTCGTGGTCGTCGTGATCAGCGATGCGCTTGAGTTGGATGCCTTCAACGTGGAGCGTGAGAGCGTGTGACTAAGCACGGTGGCTGACTTCAACGATTTCAGTCTTTCCTTCGCCACTTCTCCCTTGCCACCTCCCTTCAACTTCAGCTTCCTTCGTCATCTCTTCCGGCTTTGTATCACGAGACGCACTGTATCATATATTAACTAAAACTACTTTAGGTACGCTTCATCTTGCTGACGAGACTTACAATTCGTATTCAAGGTCATACTCATACATCCTGTATTTAGAGGCATGGTCCGCAAGTTTGAGACCTATACCTTCTCATCAGAGAAGTTCTTTGCCGATAGAGGCCCATATAACACTGCTCAACCTATTACAGAGAGGGTCAATGTAAGTGACAATAGCTCTCCAGGTGCCTATGGACCTTGGAATCAAACTCTGGGCCGGCAAGTCGATGATTCGCTCCTTTGTGACCATACTATACAAAGGAGACTTCTGTGATACTGTTTGCATACGCATTCTCCGTGCGGAGAAGATCCAGATCGTTCTCTCATTGGCTATTCACGTACGCTTCTTGGGGACTTAGCTTGCCTGGCTTCACTCGCGACCATGAAAGACCTTTATGGCTCATTAGTTCTCCAAAGTAAAATTACAATGGTCTTTCAAAACACGATCATGATGATGTTCTCGATCTTCTGCAGAGCCTTCTCGCTAGAAGTGGAAACATCCTTCAATTTTCTATTCTTGTAGATTGGCACTCCATAGTCGCATCTCACTTCGTATGGTTAATATTGTCTTGCGATATTTACTGACCAAACCTCTATCTGAACTTATCTCATAGCCGCACTCACGCCCAATAGTCTCTTATTACTTCCCAAAGGGTGTTGGTGAACATCACTATGGAGTGAGTCTCGTGCTCTAGCTTCTGATCATTCTATTAGCAGCCATGCTTACACCACTTATAGGAACGCCATCCGATGAAGCCACACCGACTGTCTTTAACCAACGCGCTCGTCATGGGCTATGGACTGGACAAGCAAATTCACTTCATGCACGATCCACGACCAGCAACACGAACCGAACTCGAAGTTTACCATGATCCGGAATATCTTGACTTTCTCGCCAAGTGAGCTTTTGCATACTCTTCGATAGGCACCGATATTTAACAGTGCTGTGCAAGGGTGACACCAGGAAATCAAGACGACATGCGACATCTAATAGACACTTTCAACTGCGTTGAAGACTGCCCCGTCTTCGGCGATATGTACGAATTTTCTAAGATGTACGCCGGAGGCTCACTTGCAGGAGCACGCAAGCTCTGCGCCGGGACAACCGACATCGCCATGAACTGGTCTGGTGGACTACATCATGCGAAGCGCGGCGAGGCCAGCGGGTTCTGCTACGTTAACGATGCAGTACTTGCCATTCTCGAGATGCTGAAGTGAGATTGCCTTTTTTGGTCCTCTGTCACTTGTTCTCATCGTTCTTCGATTTTACGGCAGATATCATCCTCGAGTGCTCTATATCGACATCGACATCCATCACGGAGATGGTGTTGAGCTCGCTTTCTACCATTCTAACCGCGTCATGACAGTCTCCTTCCATAAATACACCGGCGACTTCTTTCCCGGCACCGGGAAGCTAGACGACAACGGCGCCGGCCTTGGTAAACACTTCTGTCTCAACGTCCCTCTTCAGGACGGGATCACAGACGAGATGTATCTCAGCGTATTCAAGACTGTCATCGGTGACACCGTTACCACCTTCCAACCGTCCTGCATCCTTCTCCAATGTGGCGCCGATTCGCTCGGACTGGATCGGCTGGGAGCCTTCAACCTTTCCATCGCGGCCCACGGAGAGTGTGTAAACTTTGTACGAAAGTTTAACGTTCCGTTGTTGGTTGTAGGTGGTGGTGGTTATACGGTGAAGAACGTGAGTAGATGTTGGACGTACGAGACTGCGGTTCTTGTCGGTGCCGAATTAGCGGATGAAGTCCCAGCAACGGTCTACGACGCTTTCTTCCAGGATTCAGCGTGGAAACTTCATCCACCACTCACCGGAAAAGTCGAGAATCAGAATTCGCCGGCCTCGTTACAACGCATCACTATCGGTATTAGGGAGAAGTTACGGTATTTGAAGGGCGCGCCTAGTGTCGCGATGAGGGAGATTCCGCCTGGGCTGGAGGAGTGGTTGGCTGAAGAAGCAAAGACTCCGGAGGAGAGAGAGGAAGAGGTGGGAACTGCAAATGTTGGTGAGAAGAGGCCTTCCGATAAAACGATGGCGAGGAACGAGTATTATGATGGGGAGAATGATGTGGACCAGGATGATGTCGGTTCCAACGGGACGGGTACCTCGGTCTCGGTTAAGGTAAGGGGTGCATCTTCAGGGAGGAGGGCGAGGGGAGGCAGAAGGGGAAGGGGCAGAGGCAGAGGAAGGGGTGGCGCGGGACCTAGTAGTCTGCGGGAGGAGATTGATGAGGATGCGGAGGATGTGGCATCGACGGCCACGAGACCTACACGAGCACGGAGAGCACGAGGAAGGAGTCGTGGTCGTGGTCGTGGTAAAACACGAGAGAAGGATGATGAGAGGGAGAAGGAAAGAGATCAAGATCCGGATAATGTGAGTATGGAGACAGAAACGAACCCGGGCACAGAACCACCAACGCCGATGGACCCTCCCATGGATTTAGACGTTGAGGTATAAATCGTGGTGTAATTCTCCTTCATCTTCTACCTTACTTTAGTATAATACGACGCTCGTGTTCTCCATGCCTGCCTTTGACGAGGGATCATAGGTCCGTCCATAATATTAACAAAGACTGTAAGGCGTATCATGGTCTATGCTTATGAAATGCTTCCTGTAAATTCGGTTTCTGGGCTGGGAGGTCTCGGTTTCTCTTTAATTTCATCCTCACTATTAGTCTTTGTGTGGTCCCCCACATAAATCGAATCAGTTATGCCATTGTGAATAGCTACTTCCACTGTTCGAGAGAGTGGCGTGCTACCGAAGGATCAGTGCCACACTCGTTATTGTTTGTCCATGTTAGGATCCAAAGCTGTTGCCTTCGTCCCTATTGGGTCACAGCCCGGTGTTTTTTTTCCTTCCGCCTATAATTTGGTGTGCTGTTCTTGTCTGGGCAGTAGCACGCGCCCAACACCGATGACCATCTCTTATGTTGCTCAGGCTTTGAATCGTCGATGGTGAGTAAGAGTGGTTACCCCGAGTCGGTAAGCTCCTCACTGCAATATCTCGCTCAGCTGCGCTCATCAGTGACTCTTCACAGAGTTCCTAAACTTTCCACACTACTATCACATTTGGCTACGCTGTTGCTCACGATACGCAGCATTCATGATTGCTGTCACTGCCAGTACTCGAGACAGCAAGCCAGAATGGAAGGGGCGGCTTTTCGTGCTGAGATTCGCCGTTCATAAGGTGGCCATCAAGATGCGTTATACATAGCCTGTCGCCATGAGGGCCACAACGCTGTTCACCAGGTTTCTCTTGATTTGTTGCGCATGCTATCATACCATGGAGGCCAAGTTCTGAACTTCACAAATAGCTGATGCTATAGACGCCTTTGCGTCAAGCGTCATTGTCCGAGCGTGTCTCATCTTTCAACTAATTTTCTATCGTTCCGACAGACCCTGTTTCAGCACAGTACGTACAACCGAGGGAATTGCTGGACCTCTCTAGCTGGACACTCCTCAGAGATATCTTCGCATAAGCGGCGTCACCACATTCCGATGCACACTGTGCTGTTGCCGAGCGCCACATGCTACTTGAGCTTCCGAGCTTTCGAGACTCGTGTACCTAGAGATGGCATCACTATCCCATAAGTTCCTTGGCTTGTCGGAGTGGGGAAACTATCAATCGTGCTGCTGGCTTTCCTTCTGAGTCTCACATTTGGGTCTTCGTTGGAAGTTCACCGCATGCGTCACTACATCACTCACTCAAACCGCACCGGCTCAGCCGCTTGGATCACCTATAAAGGTTTGGGGGTATCTGTAGGTACGACCTTCAGGTCTCCCTCGTCTCCCTCGTCTCCCTCGTCTTTCTGTCCTTCCCATCATGTTGCACGGAGCTCTCAGCGTCAGCGTGGCCTTGAGTCTCGTCACACTAGCATGGTCCAAGCCTCTCTCTCAATCACGTCGGGACATGGTCGTGCATGAGCGTCGGGATAGCCCACCCAGCGGGTTTGTTCAAGACGGGGCTGCACCGGCAGACCAAGTCTTGAGCCTGCGGTTTGTACTCTCCCAGAGTGATTTCTCTGGCCTTGAGAGTGCTCTCTATGCTGTCAGTACGCCTGGGAACTCTCGTTACAGACAATTTTTATCGAAGGAAGAGGTACGGGTCTACGGAGTGATATATTTAGACCTGAGAAAACTCACAAGGCTCCGATTTCGCGCACTTCCTAGGTCGAAGCGTTCGTCGCACCATCCAACGAGACTTCGTCCGCTTTCAGCTCCTGGCTCTCGTCGAATAATCTAACGTCCACCCCCATCTCTGCGGCTGGTGACTGGCTCTCTGTCAACATCACGGTCTCCCAGGCCAACGATCTCTTGAGCGCTGACTTCTCTACCTTCACGCATGAAACGACGGGACAGTCGACTGTTCGCACCCTGGAGTATTCTGTGCCCGCATCTCTGCAAAGCCATATCAGTCTTGTCCATCCTACCGTGGCGTGCGTGATACGGCATTGTATGAGTCACGAGAAGTGTTGCTGATCCCATCATACAGTTTCCCGACTTCGCCCGTAGGGCCAATAACAGGTACCCAGGCCACCGTTCCACCGCCCAAGGCAGCTATAAGCTCGAATGGCAGCAGTACGAGCGTCGACGCGGCTTGCGCGTATGTGCCTTGTCCATTCATACACACTCATCAGAGGTGACTAACCTATGTCTGCAGCTCGCAGATTCAGCCCTCTTGTCTTCAATCCCTTTATGGAATACCCACGACGTGAGTTTCTCATCACAGTCACCATCTACTCGAGCTAACTTGACAGTAAATGCCGCGTGTCATCGCAAACCAGTGCTGCAACCCAACAGACAAACATTTTGGCCGTCTCTGGGTTCGGTAGTCAGTACGCCAATGAGCAAGACCTCACGGTACTTAGCGAAATATCTACCTGCTTGATTTCTGTTATCTGACCCGTAAGTTGTCTGGTTTTAGGATTTCCTCGCGCAGTTCCGCACCGACATCAGTAGCTCCACCACGTTCACACTCGAGTCTGTGGATGGCGGCACGAATGACCAGACTTTGGCTAACGCCGGTGACGAAGCGGTCAGTGGTCTTTGTTAAAAACGAGAAACGCGACTCATGCAAGGTCATTGCGCAGAATCTCGATATACAATACACCGTGGGCTTGGCGACTGGTGTTCCAGTTCAGTTCTTGTCCGTAGGTTCGCAGACCACCGATGGCATTGATGGCTTCATCGACGAGATCAACTTCATGCTGGCTGAGAGTACCGTTCCCAATGTGTTGACAACCTCGTAAGCTTTGCGTTGGCTTATATCTGTGCATGATGTGACACCCTGATTTCCTCAATCCTCTCAGATACGCATTCAATGAACCCGATCTCCCTTTGTCGCTGGCAACGTAAGATTCCTTCCTCCCCTCCCAGCAGCTGGAGTCTGATTTCTTTGGATGATAGCAACCTTTGCAACGCCTACGCTCAGCTTGGTGCTCGTGGTACATCGGCCTTTGTCGCATCCGGCGACGGAGGTGTCTCAGGCGTCCAATCGCAATCCTGCACCACATTCGTTCCTACCTTGTATGCAAACTACTGTATCACCCATCTTTGATCGCTCTGACTCTCTACGCAGCCCTTCAACTTGCCCCTACATCACTTCGGTAGGCGGATCGACCGGCGTTAACCCCGAGGTCGCTGCGTCCCTCTCTGGCGGAGGTTTCTCCAATCTGTTCGCCGTTCCGGACTATCAATCCGACGTTGTTTCGTCCTGGAAGTCTGGCTTCGGAACCAGCACATACTCTGGTCTCTACAACACCACTGGACGCGGGTTCGTATTCCAGTCGTCTATGTCAACAGATCCAAAGCTCGAATGGCTAATGCTCTCTTGAATTATAGCGTTCCCGACGTCGCAGCCCAGGCAGAGAACTTCTACCTGCGTTGGAAGGGAGCATGGTACCTCGTTGGTGGAACCTCAGCCGCCTCACCGACCTTTGCTTCAGTCATCTCGTTGTTGGACGATGAGCTCGTGGCGGCTGGAAAAGCGCCCTTGGGCTTCCTGAACCCGTTGATCTACTCCAACAGCCAAGCGTTCACTGACATCACTTCCGGTTCGTCTCATATTTCCTGTCTAAAGTCAATGTACCAACTGACTGAACCGCCGTTATAGGTGATAACCCTGGATGCTCCACGAACGGATTCTCCGCAACGTAAGTTCTGGTTCGACTAATGGCGAATTGTATTTGCGAGCTGACTGTCTCTCTTAGGACATCTTGGGATCCCGTGACGGGCATGGGCACCCCGATCTATTCTGCTTTGAAGACTGCTGCTGGGCTTTGATCAAAACTTGTCACTCTTTTATCTTGGACAATGTCTGCGCCGAATGGACTTTGCATTATTTATTATTATTGATCTTATTCGAGCAATATACGTGATTCAAAGAATGGGCTCCGTATAAGTGCGCGGCGGTGGAAGACGGTTCAAATGTTCAATGATCTTCCTCTCCTTCATTGAAGAGACCTCAAAGTACAGAATGGGACGTCGCTTGTTTCGACTGGTCCGTCATGGGCGTTTATGTTTGTTCGTTCCAGCTACAAAGTAAACGGTTTATTGGGGGGACAAATGCCATCCTTGCCGAGATATATTCGTACATCGAAATTCATACATAGGTGAAGTAGCCATTATTCGACCACAAAATTTACGAGTAGACGAGGTTCAGAGGATCCTTTCCCGTATGTATTGCATAGCGTGGAAGGCAATCGACGAACAGCCACTCACTCAAGCTTCATATCCACAATATAGCCACAGGGGGCGTAGCGATGTAGAGGATTAAAGAAGTAATCTTTACCCTCTTCTGGGGCTTGAACACCATGCCTGATAAATTCCATAATATTGTGTCAGCGACGTTTTCATCGAGGAGACCATGACTTACTTAGTACGAGCGTGATCTATCATCATGCATTGCGTCATCCAGCGGTTTGAGTCCATTCTTCGTCCCTCTCGCCCTTGAAAATGGGCATTGCAGCTGACGCATCCCCATGGCGCCTGTACTTGCCAGTGGACTCGATCGTATGCCGGATCGGGTCGTTTAGTGGAAAAGACATGAGCGTTCCGCGCCAACGGGACCCACTCAGGAGTAGTATGAGTGTAATCGTTTCTGGCTGCCATACGGATTTCATGGTCAAGCTATCGAACAAGCACACATGCGTTAGCATCAGGTCGTAACGTGACCGCGAAGGACAAAGTGGTACAGATTCACTTACGTGCGTTCTCCAGGACCTGGCATGAGCTTCGTTTGCCCGACGGTTTCCGCAATTGACACAGACAAAGAACGGATCCAGTTCGTCCAAGTCTCCCGTAGTTGTCGTCTCCGGATCCAGATTCAGTGATTCCAACATGCAAATCATAATATCCCGAGCATAAGAATCAAAGTCTGGTTTTGCCGTCTCCGAGTCTTGGTCTCGCCAAGCAAAGATCTCATGGCCGTAGAGAGACGTCGCGTCCGGAGATTCTATATCAGTGACCAGGAAATTCTTGGCCAGCTTTAGTTCCGAAGGAAGATCAAATGTTCGACAAGGAGACAGTTTCAGAGACTTTGGAAAAGCAGAGTGTGTGTCAGCCTTGTTTTCTACGATCCACTTGTTGATCGCAGGGACAATAGAGTCTTTGAAGGTCCGAGCCACCAATTTCTTGAAATCATCGTTTATGTCATGTTCCTGGTTCAGGAATTGGGCCACGCAAGAAATGTCACGGACTTCGTCCTCTTTGGGATAGAACGGTAGGTTCCGAGGGGGTACCTGGACCCAGTATTTGCGGTATTCAGTGTCGAGGACGTCCGCCCGAGCTAGATAGCGGATATGTTCGTCCCTGGCCAAGCGATCGGCTTTACCTTCCTCAACAAGGGGCTCCAAGATGGGAAATATACGCGCCCATACTAATAATCGTAGAGTTAACTCTTACCTCCCAGAAGTTCCAAGAGTATGAGACGTACCCCTATCTGACATCCCTCTGTCACACCATACTTCAGCGTGTTTGTGAATAGGCAGAGTATCCTCGAGAACATAACCCAAAGCTTCGAAACGGTTGATGATGCTGATGAAGAGAAGTAAGCTGACACGTTCTCTCAAACATACCATATATCTGGAAAAGGAGCTTACTCGTCCAGACGATGTTCTTTCCTCTGATCCCGCTCACTTTTACGCTTCTGCTCAACAGATTCGTACCATGCCATGCAGGCAGTCGCATGCTAGACAACATTGGGCATGAATACGCGTAGAGTTCACAGAGAAGGCGAAGACCGACCTGCTTCATCTTCTCTACGGCCTGACGTTTGGTAACTGTCAGTTGTGCGATGAGACTTTCGGTCTCCTTGGTTGATGCAGCACGTTTACGAATGGTCTTAACTTCAGCCTGTAGCCGAAGAACGTCTTTCACCCGATAGAAGGGACCGCCAAAGACACCATCGAGCCCGCGAGGATTCACTATAGAGAAAAAAGTGAAGAAAGTCATGTCAACGGAAAACTCAACTATTGAGAGGGTAAATGTAACCTTGTGCCGCTGGAACGCAATCCCTCATATCATTTAGAAAGCTTGTCGTTCGGAACGCCGTGTTCGCATCTTCCAATCTACGAAACAAAATACATACATCAATGGCCGTGATGAAGCAATGATAGGATGATCATGATAGTCTCCCTTACATATCCTTTAAGCACCACGAGCAATTTCGTGTCCGGAGCATGAAGTCGATCTGATTCGTTGTCTTGCGGCCGCAAGTCTGGTCAGTGTAGATCAGCACACTATATCATGTACGACAGGAGAGGGATCGGGATAGTCACCAAGCACACGGCAGGCCCAAACAAAAGATTCACCCAGGCAGGTTCGGCAATATCTTCGAAGGGCGTTGGTGTCCCCGGTATGTTCTTCCATGCTGAGACCCACAGTAGTCTTGAGCTGCGATTCATCAAGACCTGTCGGAAGGGCTTGGACACTCGTGAGAGGCTGAGTAAATCGTGCGGAGTCAGGTGTTCAAAGATCTGGTTACATCCGCATGAAGGTAGAATCGCATCAGCTCAGAGTAGCTCACATATCAATGTGCGGCTATGCTCACGGCAAAGAGGATGTCAAGGGAAAGCGTAGGGAGAATGCTCAGACGTCCTTGCTTCTTCCTCGACAATCCGTGACCTTGTTTCTTTCCTTTCGTGTCACCTTTCTTAGCGCGCTTTCGGAGTTGTGAGGTTGCGACTGTGGTTATGAAGACTACATCAGAGTCCATATCAATGTCCAACATCAAAATGTGCCTCTCTTGAAAAGTCAACTCACTGGCATCCGAATCTTCACTGGCATCCGAGTCGGCCTTGCCATCATGACCGTGGCGGGATGGTGCCAATTTCCGTTTTCTGTTTCTGGTAAGTGCTGTGGGTGCCATCCTTCGATGATAGGGAATGTAGTGGGAAGTGTAAGAGGGAAAGCAGGACAAAGAGCGAACCGAACGGGAGACGGAACTAAAAAGGGGAACAAAGTACTCCGAATCGGAGTCTGCCGGAGTTTGGATGACACGCACTCGTGACATCTGCGCCACAATTCTCACGCATATGGTAACAGGCGCCACCAATCAGCAGCTCAAACATAGATAATTTTGTAGTACAAGAGTGACACAGCACAAGCCAAAGGAACCTGAAGGTTGAGGATAGAATATAGTGGCAGATCATACCAGTATCTCGAGGCATAACTCCGAAGCAGCACAGAAACGCTCACGCGGATCATAGTACAGATCGACATCCGGCAAAGGATCCTTCACACCGTGTCTGGACACCAGAGCAGAACGTCAGTTATACCGTGTTTGCGTATACAACCACAAAGTCAGGCGGAAGGGCACTCACTTATCTCGAACATGCGCAACGACTGGCTCATATTTCATCCATGGCCTAGCACCCAACGAACTCCGGACATCTGAATAGTGGATAGTGCAGTGCGAGCAGCCCCAGTAAGGGTCGTCTGTCATCGGGTTCGAGCCCCTGTTGATGAAATTTGAACGCTCTTCGACTGAGAGGATCCTCCAGGAGCCAGAAGATCCCCAACTACGACAGTTAGACTCCATCTCTAAAAGGTGATCCAACTGCAAGTTTCATATGAGATAAATCAACAGTGTATGCGAAGACAAGAAATGTGCAGGCAAAGACTCACGTGAGACCACCAGTATCTAACCCTCCGTCTGGGCGTGTGGCCACCATTCTGAACCCCCACGGTACATGGGCAGTCGAGACAAATGAACATTGTGTCAAGTCGATTGAGATCCGTCGTCGTTGTGGTGTTTGGATCCAAACCGAGCTCGGCAAGGATCTTGAGAATCACAGCCTGGGCTTGCAGGTCAAAAGTCGGGACCTCGAGACGCTCCAGGTCCAGAGCGTGGGAACAGGACCAACGAGCGGAAAAGACCTCGATACCGTAGTAGGAACGTTTGTGACCAAAGGAGAGTTGTTTACTGAAGACATTCTTGGCGAGCTCGAGCTCCCTTGGTAGGTGGAATGTATCGCATGGAGAGGGGACGGGATGAAGTGAAGAGAGAGCGATGGTCTTGAGACGCACTACCCAAGCTTCGATTTCCTCCCGTGACTCCGTAATAGCATCTCTCACTCGACGCCTGAACTCGTCGTCCGGTGCTAGGTCTTCGGAAATTAAAGGCGCAATTTGTGTGAACTGAACAAACTCATATTCTTTGGGGCACATTTCCAGGTTACGTGGAGGGATCTGCAGCTGTAGCCAATACTCCGCGTACAAAGCGTAAACGATTGAAAGACGAGGGGCCTCGCGCTCGGCACGCTCTCTTTTAAGTCTAGAAGATTTGGCGCCTTCCAGTCTACCTTTGAGTGACCGATTGAAGATGTCATCAAAACCTGTTGATAGAATCCTTCAACAAGAAGCGAAGAAAGCCAGAATTAGAGACACATGCCTCTATCAGACAACAATTGATTCTTGTATGTAGTGTCGTAGTATCTGGGTATGTCTTGCGCAGTATACCCCAGCTTTATGCATCGTTGCTCAAACCTAATAGTAAAACCGTTATTCTTAGTTTTGTGGGTTCCAGACAATGTGAATTACGAATACCCACTCTTTGCGGCGCAAGTTGGCCCGGTCCTCTCGTTCTTTTTCCCAGGCCATTTTGTGGTCCTTTAACCATTGCTCGTAGATTGGTGCGGCCTAGAAAGAATTTAACTGAAGAAGCCAATCGCATAGCCTATACTTAGAAGCACTTACCCTTCGCAATGCCGCCGAAATGATATTCCTATCTTCCAAGATGGACATCAGTTGCTCTCGTCGTTCTTGCGGCCCAGCTACTGCAAGCACGTCTTTTATCTGGGCTTGGAGACTCAAGACGTCATCCTCGCGCAGGAAACGTCCTTGATACGACCTCCCTTTGCGATCTCTCGGGTTTACTGATCCGCGGATCGTTAGTCAATCTTCTATCGATGAATAACGGTCGAGAAGACGTACCGCAAGCACTGGGCAGGCAGGAAAGCCAATTTAGCTCTAAAGATGGTGCGATGTCCTTGATTTTATTGACGGCGACCAGGCTATATTGGATAGATCAGAGGTGAGGAATGATTGTGTGAGGTCGGCAGATACTTACGTCTTGCGAAGACAGGAATGACATGCTCTGCGCAGATGCACGAAGTCAATTTCATTGGTGCTCCGACCACCACATACCTAGAAGCAAAAGGAATGAATCACGATCCTACCAAAGCACAGAAAATGACATACGTGGCAGAAATTCCCTCCGAGGAGAAGCCTGGCGTAGGCCAGTTCTGACCAGCCCTCAGGGCGCGGAGGTGGCGGGCCACCAGGAACATAACGCCAGGTTCTCTTCCAGAGAGAAAGTGAACTTCTGCTGGAAAGGACTTTGTAGAAGGACTTTGAGACACGGGATAGGAGCACCAGATCAGCAGGAGTGAGATGGCCAAATATCTGAGAGTGCGTGTCAGCGAGAGATGAATCTTAAAGCGTGGTATCGCAAGAAATAATGGACCTCAAAGAGAAGATCCAAAGGTAGGGTAGGGAGGATATTTAGACGGCCTTTCTTCTTTTTTGAAAGCCCAGTGGTTTTCTTCTGAGCATTCTTGACCTTCGAACCAGAAGCGGTTGTCCTTGCTCGTTTGGCAGGCGGCGCCTTCGTTGAGCCTGTGAAGGAATGGTCTTAGCACGACGCTCAGTAGGGTGCAGTAGCATGCATACGACCACTACGGTCTCGTACTTTTTGTGGATCCCAAGGATGTGATTGGGGTGAAAGGGTCGGCGCTTGCAATGTCGGCTGCGACCGTATCGGGCTCAGGCTCGCATTCCAGAGACTCTAGGGTGAGTGATTCGTTGCCAGAATCCGCCATTACTTTGACCACAGTTCCCAGTCAAAACAAGAGAATAGTATGACTCGATGAGCAGGGTGGCAAGGAGCTGAGAAGCAGGAGCACAAAGTTAGACGTTAGCATACGCAACATTGCCACGCTCGCCCATTACGTAACGTTTTCCTTTTGAAGAACAATAGAAGATCGCGGGATCACAGCGACCTCCTTCTGATACATACGGTCACCAGCAATACCAGCAAGCTCTTGACTTACCTTGGAGAGCCCGAAATCCCTAGTGACAATACAAATCCTGATCAGCGTTCAAGGACTATTGGTAACTTTACCAATGTCCTATGAATCGGTTTCCAGACTCTCAACGAAAATGCACCCGCCCCCATCGAGTTTCAAGTTCCATCGTATGATATCCTTCTTTCTTGCGGTTTTCTAAACAGCATCATCTCCAAAGTCATCTTCTCAGAATGGACGAACACTCAATATTTCATTTTTCGGGAGAATGGTGGACAAACAAGGCACAAACATCGGTCGCCATCACGTGCACTCGCTTATTGTTTTCCTTCCGTGCTTTTGTTCCACATCCGACCACGCTTTGTATTTGCCTCGCGACGCGAAAATATGACGAACGCCAGCGAGATTACTCCCTCCTGCTCTTCAACCTCCACGACCGCGCTGGTCGCACCTCTCTATTCCCTCCTCCATCTTCTGTTTTCTCCCTAACATGCTTAGGACTCTTGCTTTTTTGTTTCTTCTACAGTTCGGCTCGTTTGTCGGTGAGTAGAGTCTGCTATTATGATTATTCTCTTAGGTCTAACAGATATCCTTAGTTGCAGAATCCAATACCTCGGTTGTCTGTGTCGCTGGCCAATGCCTGGAGGGCTTTTCTAATATCACCCGTGCGTTCCTCTGACAGTGTACAATGTAAAGATGCTCACAATGCGTACAGTCGGCACTACTCTGTCATCTCCGGATGTTGCAACGTCCATTCTTCTGCTCCCCGGAGAGTACACCTCTACGACAAATCCCGCACTCATCCACGAGCTCCTTTCCTCGTCCTCCACCTCAATATCTGCATCGGCAGGGTTCAACACTTCGTCCGTCACACTTCCCCTAAACGTCGCTCTCGAGCCAGGTATCGCCGCCTACCCCAACTCCTTCTACTCTGGCCAGGCACAGTTCGCTGCATTGCCTAACACTCCTGCCTCAAACTCTTCCACGGGAACTTCTCTGTCCGCTGGTTCGATAGCCCTATCGTCAGACGTTTGGGTCGCGGTCACCTCCGGCTCGTCGACGAGCCGTCTCATCCTCTGGGACTCCATCCCCGACGTTAGTCAACTCCCAGGCGCCTCCACTCTATCCCTGCTCGATATCCAATCCAACTCCTGTTCACCCGCGTGTTCTGGCAACGGTATATGTTCCTCGTCTGGACAATGCACCTGCCCCACCGGGTTCACCGGGTCGTCGTGCGAATCTTGCGCCTCAGGGTTCTTTGGGTCAGACTGTCAAGCATGTCCCTCAAACTGCGAGACCTGCGACGAAGGAATTTCAGGCTCCGGTGTCTGTCTTGTTCCATCCGTGAGCGATCCACCGTCAAGCTGTAATTGCCTTAACGGTCAATGTGGATCGAATGGTCAATGCACGTGTAACGCTGGCTGGACGACGGCAGACAACGGGACGGCATGCGCGAAGTGTGCGACTGGATTCTTCCTGGACTCGAATGGCGACTGCTCTGCATGTCAGCTGGGATGTACGGACTGCGAGGATAGTAGTGGGATTTGTATTACGTGCAAGTCGGGATTCACGCAGGATTCGACGGACCGTACGAAGTGCGACGCACCAGAGCAGACGACGTCATCGGGGACGGTTTGTCCAGATGGGAGCTTCAGTAATGGGACGGCATGTGCAACGTGTTCGGCGAGCTGTGAGACGTGCACTGGCGGGACCTCCAACGACTGTATCATCTGCGCCAACAGTCAGTACTCGCTCAATGGGACGTGCGTGACTGTGGACAGTAACGGCGTCTGCTCTGGTACGGCCATGATTGGAAACAACAATAAGCATGTGTGCGACAGTACGTCCTTCGTTTTGCTCACATTGGCCTCTTGACTCATTTTGGTCGTAGGTTGTCCGGCTAAATGTACATCCTGTGGGATATCGAGCTTCTCAGTCGCCTCTACCATCGACCAGGCACAATGCACCGGTTGCGTCGCTGGTTACTTCCTCTCGTCTGGTCAATGCGTCGAAAGTTGCCCAAGCGGCACCTTCATAGATCCCAAGGACAATGTTACCTGCACAGGTGGGTGTTCAGGTCGCACCCACTGGACTTCTTTGCTGACGCTCTTCTAGCCTGTTCCTCCTCCTGTGGCACATGTGCTGGCTCGGCCGACTTTTGTCTCACCTGCGCGGACAACAAGCTTGCCTCATCTGGTAGCTGCGTAACATCCTGCCCATCCAATTCGTTCAGCTCTTCCGGCTCCTGCGTAGCGTGCCACCCCGACTGCGCCACCTGCTCCGGAAACTCCTTCAATCAGTGCTCATCTTGCCCGTCCGACCGACCCGTCCTCACCAACGGTCGTTGTCTCCCGACATGTTCAAAATCCCAGTTCTTCGACACCACTTCATCGTCCTGCCAGTCTTGCGACTCGAGCTGTTCGAGCTGTTCCGGCTCCGGTCCCAGTAACTGCCTCGCCTGCTCGAGCTCCTCCCAAGTCCTCCAAGGCGGAACATGCACGACCGCGAACTGCAACGCCACCATATCTGGTCTCGGCGTTTGTCTTTCTGACCTCGTCACCGTCCCACAAGCCTCCGGAACGTCTTCTGCCTCTGCTCTTCCCACCATCACCGGTCTCACGGACCCCACACCCGCTCAATCAACGACGACATCCCGACCACTTCAATGGTGGGAGATCCTCCTCATGGCCCTCGGCTGTGCCTTCATCTTCGTCGTGATACTCACGCTCTGGCGTCGTCGTATGCGCAAGAAACGCGCGCAGCAGACAGCTGCGTTCGCTGCTGCTAAAAATATCGACAAGAAAGGTACTTGGAAGTTTAGGCTGATGAGGTTCGGAGAGAGGTTGTTCGGGCATGCGCCTACGAGGATGATGAACCCTGTCGAGGAGGAGGAGATGCAGCTCATGAAGATGAGGAACGTAGAGCAGGAGAGGCACCTCAGGGAGATGAAGAAGTTGGGCGGTCCGTCTTCGTTGCCATCATACTACGACTTCAAAGACCAAGACGACCACGACCTCCGATCCTCCTCCTCTCACTCTCGTCCTTCGTCGTACTACCCACCTGGTTCTCGAGCCTACCAGGACGACAATCGCATGTCACCAAGTCGATCTGAGTCGATCTATTCTCAGGTGACGGGGATGCCCAGGAAGACGCCGGATCCGAGACAGCCCGTGAAGGAGATGGGGACGGGGTTGACCGCAGCCCCTCCTTTGCCTAACATGGGCTCGAGGTTTTCCTGGACAACGCAAGATACGAAGTCCTCGAGGAGACGTTCACCTGAATCGCTTGCGCCCCCGCCGCAGGCGACGGAGGCGCAGGAGTATGTCAGGCGGGTGAGGACTCCTGAGGGTGAGAGAGGGGCATATTGGTTGGAGCCAACGAATACCGGAGCTTCTGCATCGAAGAATCCTTTCAGACGATGATAGATGAACAATTAGCGGCTGCGCGGCCACGAACACAGATACGGACATGGATTCGGATTGTAATAGACATCATCATTGACGTCGACGTTATGACCACTGGTACTGTAGCATACTGACATTGCTTTGAACACCCCACCTGCATATATATACCTGCCTTCTTTCCTTACATACTCTCGCTCGTTTTATAGCCTGATACTTTTGCTAGTTCGCTACCTTCTACTTTCGCTTACATATCTTCATTCCCTAGCGAGGGGCTCTTCTCGTGTGTTATAACTCAGCTGTATCGTTATTTTCCGTCGTAATGTGATTGACTTGGCCTTTGGTCTCCTCTGTGCACTCGACTACTGCGAAAGATTCAGAGAATCGCACCCAGTGGTGGGTGCATAGCGTCAATCGCATACCTAGTCTTGATGGTGGTGATATTGCTCGGATCTACGCCAGTGTACGACGGTGCCCAACTTTTATAGTATAAAAACACTGCTCGTAGAAGGGCAACATATCTCGAGGCAACGTATATGACAGCTTGTAAATGTAGCAAGAGAGCCAGGCCCGTTGATTAGTCAAGCGGAAGGTAAAACTGGCACGAGATCCAGAGAAGGAAGACCGGGTGTATAGATCAAATATTCCTCATCCCCTGTGCGAACCTTGGCATCCATAGACATCCTTGTCCAAACCCGCACATCCAGTCCCTCCTCTCTCATCTCCTTCAGCCTCTTCAACGCTGCAGCATCCATCTCCCGATCCAAGACCAATGATACCTCCTCTATGCGAACAACGGCCTGGCTATGGCCCTGCCCGGGTAGTCTCCAACGCGACTCTACCATACTCGCGAAAGCGTCGTCGTCTTCAAAGTAGTGAGCGTCCTCGAGCAACAACGTCCTCAGATTTGGCAGTAAACACAATTGATCGGCTTGTGGTATGTAGCGCATACGGTCAACGAAGTCGTCGATAATGAAACCGTCGGGATGTGATGCCATCGTATACGGCGTGGAGGGGCGAAACTCGAGAGATTGAAGAGACGGGGTCATTTCAAGAAACAATAGGAAGGATGTAACGTCAGAGATGAACGCGGACTCGACGCGCAACCGAAGACGTAGGCAAGAGGAGCGCGTGATAAGGGACTCGAGAGCGGAAGGATGTTCTGTGTTGTCGAAATTGAGGTCGGAGCCAAACCCGTTGGACTCCAGAGTCAGGACCTCCAGAGCTGGTAAAGTGAGGAGGTCCAACAGGTCGAAGAGGTCGGGTGGTAATATCTGACCGGCGCGGCATTTTAGGGATAATGATCGAAGATGACGATGAACAACCGGAGCCCCTGCACATTCGTAGCTTGATCCTGTAGGCAAATGCATGTGCTGAACTTGAGGGCATGCCTCCAAAATGTAACGAGCAGAGTTGAAAGGGTCGGCATTCTCGTATATCTCGAAGTCGAGGAGCTGCGACCATGGGAGTATTGGCATTTGAACGAAGAGGGGGAGATAATCGTTGAAGCCATCTCCGATAGACACGGTCTGCAACTGAGGTGCGTTATCAAGAAAAGAGCCAAACTCTTCGGCTGTGATTTCGTTCTCTTCCATATCGTCAAGTAGCTGGAGGTCGAACTGCTGTAAGTTCGGGAAGTTGTGGGTGATCGAATGGAAAAAATGAAGAGCACTCTCCGGGAGAAGAATGGACAGGCGTCGCCATCGCACGGATGACGAGAGTAGGATGGTGAGCGCGGATTCGATTGTTCTCGGCGTTTCTTCGTCAAATGTGATGTGGACAGAGAGTAGGCGGGACCCCGAACGAGACAAATATGTCTCGAGTAACGATTTTGCGCTTTCTTCACCCTTTTGGACCAAGGTGCTGATATCGACATATATGTGTGTCCAGAGCTCGGTAGCGGAGAGTGAGATGGTCCGCCACCGACTACAAACGTATCCAAAGGTCCAGGGCGTTTGTTTGATGTCCGAAACACAACGAAGTCGGCCTCCTTCTCGTGGATGAGACCGTGACGTAGCGGGTGCACAGAAAACAAAAATTCTAGCCAGCACTTCGGGAGGCACGGACTGGATTGATGATTGTACTGGCATCGGCGATGAGTCAGGTGCTTTATATGGCGATCCTGGATAGTAACCCACAGTTTGAATTGATACAGCAGGACATACAAGGGTGCAGGAATCCATACCTCTTGATTCCAACACGGGCACAGTGTTCAAGTTCTCTGTTCTCAGCTGGGGCTACCTCTGTGATGGATGATAAAGTCAGTACAATCAGTTACGAGTACAAATTTTCATGACTAGCAGGACATACCTTGATGAGCCAACAACACTTTGTCCAGCGCAACGGTATCGATACAGTAGCCGCAAAGTAGCCGTGACCGTTCTCGAGCCTTATTTATGTATCCGGAAGCTGCCGCAAACGAAATGTGCACGTCTCGGAAGTCTAGTGACCGCGCAGATGTAACTTCCTGTCGCAAACGATATCGACGTTGAATTTCAAGAACGTCGAACTTGGCAACTTGCGTCGAACACTGTTCGATAGGCGCCGACTCGTGGCCCAGCTGACTTTTACGTACAAAATTCAGTCCTTGAAGCGACTTTCCATGGTCTGACGGAGGCTGTTCAGGAGAAGGGCATCTTCGAGCGAGTATACCAGTTGGCTGAACGCCACAAGATGATAAAAGGGTAGTATCGTGGGGCCCAGTGGCAGTAAGAGGCTTATTTTGGAGGCCAAATAACCAGTACTAAGTAGTCGCAGAGTACATGCCACATCACTGGCCTGATATACAGCAATTGGTCGGCAGTGATCACCGACTCAGGATTCTCAAGCAAGTCCGGACCCATATATTCACACTCGGAGTTGTCGCATGAAGGCAGAATAATTCAAGGGATCGTATGCGATCAGGATACGGTACAAATGAACACAGTCACGGTGAGAACCGTAGTGCAGTGTACATACATCCAAACGAGCCGTCGAGGCTCTCCCAATAAATAACGATAGATAAGTAGTAGAGATACCGTGCGGAAATAAGTTAGGAAAATGATGTTGTGTCGCGGTCAAAAGAATGACGTCGTTTAGTTGAATTGCCAGGTGATCTCGATGCGGCCAACCGACTCGTCAGCGAGCTGCTGGAAAGCGGACGGGGAGAAGTCGAGGTCGTACTCCGCGCAGGCGTAGCACTTGTCTTCGACAGCGGCAGTCACGCTCTTTCCATTGTCTATGAACGATACACAGCGGCGAAGTAAGTGTCTACACGTTGTATGTCAGAAAAAAAGGAAAGTGGCGTACATGTGGCGGTGATAGTCTTGCCACAGATGGGGTTGCTGGATATGGAGAACGGTCAGTAAGAGAATGAGGAGGAATTGACAAATATACTGTATGGGGACTGACAGGTTGGGGTTGGAGGTAGCACCGCTGTGAAAGATCATCGTTAGCGACAAGATGTGGAAGACAGTAGAAGTGCGTTTGCTCACGGGTAAGAATCGTAAAGACTGGTGGAAACAGCGACGATGAGGTCCGTGTCGGCGTTGGTCAAACCGCTGTGTTCAACGGTCAGTTCAGAGCCGAGGTCTTCCAAGAGAAACCAGGAAAATTTTACCAAGCGCCCAAACCTGGTGAATAGTAGGTTCCTATGCAATCGTCCAGAGTCAGGACTGCGATGCCAGTGCAGAAGGAGAGTCGATCCAATAAACGTACCATCAGCGCTGTAGCTTTGTCTAGCGAGGAGAGTGCTGTTGCCAGTGGGCACAGCGCTCGCAGAAACCAGAGAGAAGAGGGCGACGGAGGCCACGGAGGCCACGGCAATGATACTGGTGAAGGAGAACATTATTGGAAGGAGTGATGAATAAAGAGTGATGTAGTGTTTAAGGGGAGGAGTCGTAGAAGAATGAGGCCGAGCGAACTGAGGAGAAACCTGAGGAGACAGCGGCCCTTTTATATGCATCAGGGCTACATTGCCATGTAGACGAGTATTCAGTATTTTTGTTACTGCACAGGCTAAAACCATGATGGTCTTGGGCAGATCCGACCCCGCTCTGAAGAGCCCACATGTTCGTACTCCCAAATGGGATAGAAAAGGCAGTGTGGCTCATGCTTGCTCGAGCCGAGCTTGTCGATGCATGTGTGTGTGGCGATGAGAGACGAATTAACATAGGGGACCGGATCAATATGCCGTTAATTAGTCCGCAGAAGTAGTCGGCTCATAGTAAGTTTTTGAGTGCATCAAAGCTTCATAGAGATCATAGGTAGCAAGTCATGATGGATGCAGCACTCCTGAGCCTCAAGCCGTTCCAGTGCATGTCGAGCGCCGTCAGCGACAGCTGGCTAGCGCCTTTGTTCACGTTTGTGGCCATCAAATCCTAACCGGCCCACCAGGTAAGTAAGGCGCTCGACTGCGTAAACGAGGAGGTCACTTTATGGTGCACAGTTTGAAGTTCCAACCTTAGCGGAGTACAAGGCCCCGGGATGAGAACGAACAACATATACACGCGCCACACAAGCCTTGCGTTTGCAACCACATAAGCGATAGATTCTCGCTATCTAGGCTGACCAGAGGTCTCGTATGGGAACAGCTTTGGTGATATTAGACAGCGTATGCAACCTCAATCGCTGTGCGAGTGAACGAGCTCGAAGTGCAGACGCACCCATTGCATGAGAGACAGCTCACCTTCGGCCGACGATAAAGAAGTGAAATGAAATGTGGACAAATGCAGGGCCAACGACGGAACTGGCTGCAAAGTCACCATCCGCAGACAGGACACATATTATCATCTACTTGTGCTGCAAGCCAACTTGACTTGGCGGCTTGAAAGCGAATGAGCCGATCAATTGCATTCAAATTGGTACGAGATGGCCTATGGCGGACTGTAAGAAAAGGCATAGACGTCAGCTCAAATGACAACAGGAGGATAGTGACCACAGTACACCGGCTTTCTCTCCGGACAGCGTCGAGTGCACTTGCGAAAGGCCATCTTTGATGTTGCTTTGACTAGTCGACAACCATCTCTAGCGCAGCATTGGGCGACCGTCACGTATTTGCCTCTCAACCCCCTCTGCAGTCCAAGCGTCTGAGAGCCCGCAGTCCGGTAATAAGACCAGGACACGGTCATTGAGTTTGAGATAATTACCCCAGCGATGCAAGAGGGCATTCCTTCTATCCTACACAACGCCACACGAGTCACCCGGTGGCCTACCAACTAGGTACGAGCTGTACATCCCACCTGTTTATACAATTTTTAAGCTATAGATACGACATGTTGCAAGATCAATATTTAGACGAATGTATAAGAGCTGACCAAAATCCCTGGGTTCGGTACACTCACCTAAGTGGAAGATCATCCAAGACTAGGCAGAACTTGCACGATTGAATGAATCAAGGACTTCGCTGGATTGATTGCCTCTATTCCCTCTTTCTCATTCTCCCAGAGCCTCCTTTTAAGTCGCACATCCAATCCCCGAATCATAAGACTTGTCAGAGCGTCCATTCCATCCGGTCCTAAGTCATCTTCCACTATAAACGAGACTTTCTCCAAATTGGCAACCTCCGATCCATCGCGAAGGCCGTATCGGCTCTCAACCATGAAGGGGAAAAACGAATCCTTTCCGAAGTTGTGGCAGTCCTCCATGATTAGGGTCTTGAGTTGAGGAAGGAGAATTCGTGTATTATCCTCATCGGGGTCATAATGCAGCATGTGCATAAAGGAGTCACCGAGAGAGTCCATGAATGGTGTCGGGAGTCTCATAGGATCCGATGGTCGATACTCTAGGACTTCGAGTAGCGGGACGACGGCAAGGAAGTCGCAGAAGTATTCAAATAGGGTGACAGTAGAGTCGATGCGGAGATGTCGGATCGTGCATGATGAGCGCGCGATGAAAGATTGGATGACAGGGGGTGCCAGAGCCCCGACGAAGGACAGAAGGTTCATGCTCCAATCTGATTTGAAGATCAAGGACGACAACGAAGGGAGTGCGATGAAGTCGAAAATACTGGAGGTATCGTCCTCGTCCTCGTCCTCGCCCGGGACGGTCCAGTCGCATCGTATGGTCAGCGACGTCAGATTGTCGTGACGGACTGGATCGGGGAACATGCTCTTCTCGCAGTCGGAAGTGACCCTGGGAAGGCATAAGCTGCGCAGTTGGGGACAAGACTTGAGAATCGAGAGACAGGACTCGGTGGGATCCATGTCGTCATGAATTTCTATGTCGACTAACTGAGCAGCCGGTAGACAACGGGCCACTATCATATGTCCGTCCCAACCGAAGCCCTCTCCGAAGACGACTTTGCGTAACTGGGGCGCTACAGTTAAAAAATCTCGGAACACACCGTGGGGGCTACCGTGGACGGGCGAAGAGGAGTTTTTGACGACAAGGTTTTGCAAGGACGGGAAAGGGAATGGGTTGTCGAGGTACCTGAAGAGGTTGAAGCTTTCTATGCAGAGCTCGACCTCGAGATCCTGAATGCGACAAGACTTCTGGAGAATTCTCCAAAAGGCAAATTCTGAGATATTCTCTGATCCCTTGATGCGGACGAAAAGGCCTTGATTCCGGGAGCGAGCGAGGAAGGTCTCCAGGGTTCGCATCTGGCCACTGAACGGACTAGCACTACATTCGCTAATGTTGATCGTGATGTTACGCCAGAGGGCGCCAACACCTAATGAGAGGTTTCGCCATCGGCGGCAGACGTAGCCGGTGGTCCACGGAGGCTTCGAGATGTCGAAGACCGATGTATCGGTAGAGACAGTAAGTTCCAATACTGTAGTGAGTAACTCATTGGGCAATCGATCCATAGCGGGGTTTTCGGCGGCAGATGCGATGTTAGTCGCGCGCAGGTTCGCGGTAGGGTTGCTCCTGCACGCATATGTTTACCACAATGAGTACATCTTGAACGCAGCGAACAAAATCAATGGAGGAACTGTTCTGAATCGGAACTTACAGGGAGAGCCAATGAGGTGAAACGGTTCAGTGTAAGTTACTATTCGTGGACGAATACTGTGTCACAAGGCGGTTTAGGCATTAAACGGAGACAATTCGATAGGGGGTATGTGCTAACCTAGGACCACAATAACGCGCTCATCGTGTACATTACAGAAAGAAAACTCTGAGTCACGCCGGAGGTTCGCGCTCGAACTCGGGTGAACCCGGGTCGTTGGTAATGGTGTGGCGCAAGATTGCCACAGTGGGAATTTCAGAAGGTTAGCTCGAAGCTCTTCACTTCGTCCCAAAACCTTCTCCGTCTCAGTGTATAAAATCAATCATGGTCATGTCAAATAGTGATAGCGGATATGCATATGTCATGGGCAATATAATAAGACAGCGAAGACGACAACACTGGCACAAATACACAATTATTCAAGGAAAGCAAGAGTAATCTACGTTCTATATAGCGTACGAATAGCCGATCCGTCTGGAAGGAAAAACCTTCCCTGAGATGTTAATCACCGTACATATGCACCATACCCAGTCCCCTGCCCCATCATCCCCTGCCCCGTCTTCTGTGCGACCAACTGACCATAAGCCGTCCCACCATATCTCAACCCACCTGTGTTCCCAAATGTATCCACACCGCCCTCCAGATCCCCACCCTCGATCCTACTCTTGAACAGTCTCTCCAGCTGACTATGCGCATACTCAGAGCTGTCCGGTGTTTTGGGTGGCACAGAGGAAGCGTGCGAGGAGGCGGTGGCGGAGCGGTGGGTGAGCGCGGGCGTAGATTTCGTGTAGTGGTGCGAACTGTACGGTGAGCGGAAGGATGAGGGTTCGGGTGTGTGCGAAAGGAACGGGTAATTGGGAGTTGAAGGTGTGGTGGTGTTCTGGAAAGGTGTTCCCGGAGTAGACAAAGAATCCGGCTGGGCGAAGGGGTTGTTCGATCTGTAGAGATACTGTAAGTGAAGAGATAATGGGAGGTGAGGCTGACATGCTTACCCAAATCCAGTTGGTTGCGGTGCGAGCGGCTTCTGCTGCTGCTGCTGAGACGCCTGCATGGCAAGCAGGAACTGTTGCTGTGCTTCTGCCTGCTGTCGCATATGTTCCGCCTATATTAACCGATGAGAAACGATATCGATAAAACTATGCATAAGAGAACCGACCTGAACCATGGCGTCGTATTGGGCTTGCTGGGCGTAAGGGTCGTACGCAGTGAATTGGGTGGGTATGCTGGTCATCTGTGGTTGTACCATCGCCTGCGTATACTGGGGTTGAATGAAGGCCTGGGTGTACTGAGGTTGTATCATCGCGACCTGTGGTGGTGGTTGCCGTGACGCAGAGTCCTCCGTGGAGAGGTCAATGAGTGGCGTCTCTCTACAGTAAATTGCACGCAGAAGTCAGCAAAACCGAGAAACCGAGAGGAAATGTCACGATGGATACGCACATATTATCGAACAGAGATCCCCCACCCTCCGCTACCTTCCTCAGCCTCTCCTTCTCTTCCTCTTCGCTTAACTTGATCGCCCTCGCCAAATCAGTCTCTTCTCTCGTCAACCTCTTATGCCCTTTCCTTCCTTCATCGGCACTCCCTGTACTCTTTCTTCCTTCGTCGTCGAGAGTCGAATCTGCACTTCCCGACCCCATCATCCGTGCCCTCATCGCCTTCCTCCGACTTCTCGCCTCCCTCAATTTCACATCGTCCATCAACAACGTCGCTACATCCCTCGCCCTAACGCGCACGTCCGACCCGGCATCCTTTCCTTCCTCGTCAATATGCTGGAAGTCGCGTAGGGTCTTGACGAGGTATATGTTCTGCCGGAAGTATGCAGCTACGGCAGGCGAGCCGGTGTGTAGAAGGTAGTCGATTACACAAAGGGACTGTTGAACACGATGGCATGCGGGTTAGCGGGTGTTACAGACCACTCAGTAATAGGAATGACAACAAAAAGGCAAAGGGGCCATGATAACCGACGGTGACTGCTCAGAACTAGTCAGCGGCTTCGGTGTCCGATCAAGCTTATTTCGACATCATTACTGGCTACAAAGCACGAAGAGTACTCTTAGTAGGCAGAACGTAGTCATCCAAGTCCGAACCAATCACCGATACCAAGAATCGTGCAGTGCAATCAACAGCTGTTGAGCCTCCTGAAGCCGAGCCGAAGATGACGCACTGATGCATAGCAAACGGCCGGCCGTAGCGCCCCGCCAGATTCAGAACAAGCTCGCTGCGTTGCGCCACCTCCCGCAGCACTACAACCGGAGCAGGCTGATGCACGTAGCAATACCTTCTCCAACGGCCAAAAACGCAGGCTTGCACTCCACACCGAGAGCGACCGTACCGTCACACCTGTGAGATGATATACGCACCTTGTATACATGCCTCCAATTTTTTCCCTTGTCGTTCAATCTCTTGTCCAGCACCTCCATGATTTCAGCAAAATCAGTCCTGAAGCAAGTCGTAACCAAGTGTTACCATCCGGAACTGTGACCATCATCTGGTTGGATCTGAGCGTACCTATCATACGAAAGTACAGCGAGCTCATGCATTTGTTGGCCAGATGGAGGGGTGTTGGAGTTACTTGTTGCATTCCGGACCTTGTTCTCGGTACTTGAGTAGCCAAGGTTCTTCGTTACTCGAAATGCGCCTTTCATGACTGAAAATGGAAGACACGGCGTATGCAGGACAAGAGCTAAGCGCCAGTGTAGGAGTTAGTATAGCAGAGACTGGCTTTCGCAGTAGATCCAAGCAAAGTATGGGAGACTTCGACAGGCTGCGTGTTTAACGTAGATTAAGCTGTGAAGCGTAGGGATCCCAGCTTTGGGGGGTTGCGACTCGCGAGAGGGGGCGCAGTCCGAAGTGGGGTCCACGAGCGGGCTCAGGATCCCACCATTTATATGTGGGCGGTCACAACACCTGGATCTGTTAAAGGGGATATCTCGCTGATAATAATCATACCACTGCCGGTTTGGGATAATCAAAAGCGCTAGCCGCACCACGAGATATTCTCATGCCGAGCAAACGTTCCCCGTTGGCAAATCCATTGTGGGACCCATGAGCGGATGAATTCCAAAGTCCAGATCCACTCACAGCCTCGCGGCTGCCAAATTAACAGACCACAGCTGTGGCATTGAGAACAGGCGATTATGAATGCGTGCAAAATCGGAGCGGGATTACTCATGTGGATGCTGAGTCATGACTAGCAGATCATCGAGAACTTTGCCGCAAAGACCTTTTCCTTGTGAGGATGTTCGAGAGCAGGGCGATGAAAATGAACAGGCTTGGAGACGTGGCACAGCGATAAAATTGGAGGATGATGCGGAGGGTGTGGGGGAAGAGTTTTTCGAGGGATGGAGGAATCTGGGGGAATTCCGCAGGACCCAGTGGCGCCAGTGGCACCTTCGAGGCCTTCGTCGAGTCTCGACGCAGCTTCGATCATGTTCAATCAAAGTACAAGCCGTTCGAGACTATGAGAAAATGAAGGCTCGAAAGGGATGGTGCGATGAAGAGGTCGAGAAACAAAAGAGACGACTTTCCATTCATCTTCCGCTTTGAGATTCATGAACACGTGTTGGCGTTGTGTGGCTGAGAGCCCTGGGAGGCCCTGGGTGGCTCTGACGTTGTGGCGCAAGTGTTGGTGCGTACCATGATCTGTTTCGAATTCTTTCTCGTACGTGATGGTGGGTACAGACGAGGATAAAATATTGAGCATGGTATGGGTCATACAACAGGTATACATAGTAATGACGAGGGACGTGGAGTACAATAGCATCATGCGCTTTGGATATGAAAAGGAATATAAAAGGAAACAGAAGCATATCCACCCAATACTGATAACATATCCACATTCAATTCGCCGGTTTCAGGTTCAATGTCCTGGGCTTGACCTCCTGCTACTCCTCGCACTCCTCGACCTTCTCCTACCCTCCCTTTGAACCCTCACATCGTCGTCCGCGATCGGTCTCGGATCACACTTCAACTCCAATATACACGGCAACACCTCGTCACAAACTTCCCTCACCAACGCATCGTTCTTCTCCAGCCCTCCCCACATCGTCTTCGGTCCCAACCAATCCAGCCTCTTCAACCCCTCCCCAAGTCTGCCTCCCGGAACGCCCTCGTCCCTACTCCGATTATGATGGTACGTCGCCTTCAGAGCCTCTTGCGTCTCGCGAGAAGCCTTGTCAAAGTCTTTCTTCGAGATCCGACCTTGTAGGTAGTCGGAGAGCTGTTCGATGACGTCGCCACAAGTGACGCCAATAACAGGGTTGGACGCGGGGATATCGATGAGCCAGGGAATAGTCCGCGAGAGAAGACGAATGGAGGAGACGCGAGGGAAAGTGGCAGGCTCCTGGCGACCGACAGACCACGAGCGATCTATAGGGTCAGTCGAACGACGGCAGAGCGCAGTCGAAAAGAGCATATTCCAGATGAGTCGTGGTTCAGGGGGGTCTTCAATAGGTAGAGGTTGAAGGAGTGGGTTGATTGAAAGGTCCGCACGAACAATCTTCAAGAGCATTGGTTTCAGGACAGGACCGTCTGGATTTGGTTGGAAATCAGCACAGTCAGGACATTCTTGCTTGCGGAATGGAAGGACGTACAATGAGCGCCCGCCTCAAAATGGCCTACCTTATCGCCTCTGTCTGCTCGTGCTACACGATGCATTTGCATGGGTGGCATGGGTGGCGGTGCTGATTGTTGCGGCGGCCATCCACCGGGAAGCGGCTGGGCATAAGGACTGGGCGTATATCCCCAGGATGGTCCGCCATACCCAGGAGGACCACCGTAGCCGCCAAAAGCGGGAGGAGGCGGGGGTGCATACCCTCCCGGTAGTGGCTGTTGAAAGTTGTTGTAACCCGTATATGAAGGATGAGGTGGAGGAGGTGCACCCCATTGACCTGGTATCTGCGCTGGTTGACCCCACGGCGTCCCTTGAGGAGGCGGTGCGGGTTGGCCCCACGGTGTCCCTTGAGAAGGGGGTGGTGGAGGAAAACCTGTCCAATCCGAAGAGAAGCCCGGTTGCGGCGGTTGTGACCCTCCACGGGGAATGTTGTGATTCATCGCGGGTGGCGGCGGGCCACCGTCTGGGAGATTGACGGTAGGCATATAGTACGAGCCTGGTGGGGCCATTTGTGTAGGTGGGTAGTAAGGAGTGCCGTATGGACTGAGGTACCCGTTCGACGCTTGGCTTGGTGTTTGTTGTCCGAATGAGGGGGGAATGGACCCTGAAGGAGAGAAGGGAGGGATAACGGGAGGGATAACGGGACCTTGTTGTGAGGGGGGCCCGCCGTGAATCTCTGGGAGGGGTGGAATGAACGGCGTGACATGAGGTGATGAGTGGGCCATTTTGTACGGTTCGAATCAGGCGGGAATTTCGATCAATACGTCGGAGGTCGGAGAACACGGGTGGCAGGATGCTTGGAACAAGTTGGTATCCAACACTAATAGACGGATTCGGGCAATTGACTCGGTGCGACCTGGGCGGCTGAGACTAATATGGTTGTTGTCCTGGTCGTTGACTCGTGCTATCATGCAGTGAGCGGGGCCGTCAGAGCAAAAATTCAGTACATGGAGAAGTAGAGCTGGATTTGGGACGTACACTGCCACGATCCGCTTCCTGTTAGATACTCGAGGTCTCTTTCTGACTCGCGTGGGTTTCTTGAGTTCTGTAAAGCAGAGGAAGTACAAGGAAACTCCTGGAGTGCAACCCAGTGGTTAGGTCGGAGGGGACGTGTTGACGAAGAAGGGCGTTCTACTCCGAAACAAGTTCGAAAAATAGCTGAAGACAGGCACTCTGACTGCACAGGTTTAATCAAGACCAATCAGCTCGTCCAAGATTAAAGCACGATAGGAAACTTTGCGGATATGGGGACCACAGAAGATATGATACAAGGATGACGGAGATCTACACGGATGTCAACTTGATTTCGTTCAGGATGGTCGACGTTGCTCGAGAAAGACGTCTGGAATCTGGAACGAGACGCGTCAAAGTCAACACACGTGTAACGGCATGTGAATGAGATTTCGCGTCACGTGGATCGAGTCCATAAATGTGGTTTTCTCAAGGCTTTCTTTTCGCTCTCATAGTCGGTTTGACTCAAATGTATGGCTCCAGGATTCAACACCAAAAATTTCTAGCATATAACCAGCGAAAGCATTCGCTTCCAGTCAAACTGTTACTAGTAAAAAGATTTTACGAGATCAAGGATTTTTTTGCGGACAGGATGTACAAAACGGCGTTTTGGATAGTTCACTCTCCAACGATGCCAAGGTCCGTGGCCTTGATGAGGAGAGCCTAGAGATGATAAAATCAGCAACGATCCATGAGCATGAAACCTGAGGATTCACCAAATTCTTTGAACTAGTACGGCATACACCGAAATCTCCCCCGGCAAACCATAGCTGGTCCCAGAGCATATGGTGAGTCGCAGTATGAAAAAAGTCATAATGGCCTCACTCACAGCAGGGTGCGACGTTCGGCGGAAGACACCACGGAGTTCCTGCTCGTCGTCAAAGCCCCATAGGTGAGGTGTCTGCTCTATCAATCTCGGGTCGAAGACCTTCTTGTAAGCCTCGAGAGACGATTGTTGACCAGTCCTAACAATTCTTCGTTAGTCGTCGGCATAGGAATTAATGGAGTGAAGTAGACATACGCGAAAATCAGGACATCGGCTTCGAGTTCAGAGTCGTCGGAGAAGACGATGGTGTTTTTGTTGCACCGCGCAATCTCGACGCCATGCTTAATACCCACCTTCCCATCGATGATGAGTTGAGCAGTCCCTACGTCTTGCCCTGTGATAGTAAAACTCAGCTTCAGATGATCGTGAAATTTAAATAGACAAAACATACAATATCCTAGATAGGGACGATTCATCAATATTTGTACGAGGCAGTGCGAGAAGAAGAAAAGCCTACCTCCGTAGTTAGAATGGAACTTCAGGAAGGTCCCCGTACCATCATCCAGATTCACATCAAGCCCTCGACTCCGAAGACCTTCGTGCATCTCCCGGTGCATCTCAGCGATGACGTCCTTGGTCTCCAAGATAACCTTCCTCTTGAGACCCCAAGGCATCGACGTGTTCTTGAAGTCAGAGACTTCCGTCGGTTCTCCTTCCGGAAATGAAACCATGACCATATCATGGACTAACTCATTCTTCACGATTGTCGTGGATGACCGCTGCACCATAGTAACAGACGATGCACCCTGGAAGCTGCAGTCCTGGCAAATGTCGGCGGACGAGTTGCCTGCGCCGACGACAACGACGCGCTTGCCTTTGTACGGAGCCGCGCCATTGAATCCAGAAGAGTGAAGGACCTCGCCGGCAAAGGAGTTGAGTGTCGGTATGTTTGGGATGCGTGGAGGGCCGACCGCGCCAGCAGCCATGACGATATGGGAAGGACTAAGGCGAACCTCAGTACCATCCCGGTCGATCGTTACGGTCCACCTCTTCGTCTCGGGGTTGTACGCAGGTTGGGGCAACAGAGTAGAGTTTGTCCAAACGACGAGCTCCTGAGCTGTGGCATAGAACTCCATAAAATCGGCCTAAAGGGTGATGAGCTAGCTGCGCGTCGAAGTGAAGCGCTGGATGACGCACTAATTTGTCTCTTGGCGAGTAAGTGGGCCATGTTGATGGGTCTGGAGATCACTTATTAGGGTTATTATAGGAACAGTGACCAATCGACTTACAAGAATGATAAAGATCTTGTCGCGAGTGCATCATAAGCTAGAGGACAAACATTAATACAGACGACATAACTCACATCCATGATTAGTCTTGGGCGTATGCAAGCTCAGAGTGGGGTATCGTTTGCGCCAGTTATCCCCTACTCGCGCATTCTTTTCTAAAACAATCGACCGGATACCCATCTGTTTGAACCTAGCAGCAACCATTAACCCAGCTTGACCAGCTCCGACTAATACCACGAGTCAGCAAGGAGAGCTGTAAGCATAAAAATGTAATGACGACATACCAATGAGAGCATGGGGTTCGCTCTCGATTTGTGCCCTCCTCTCTTGGAGCACAGACTCGAACGACAATGTATGACCACCCCATGAGCCTAATTCCGCTCCCTCCTCCTCGTGGCCCTTCAGGTCAGCCATACTCGTAAAGACAGACAGGGCCTTCCAATGCTCGCCTCGCGGGAGCAACCGAACAAAACCTTTACCATGCGCAATGGGAGTGTCGAAGGCGAACGCAAATGTCACTCCGAGAGAGGTGGGCGTGACAGAACCGTAGGTTGGGTGCAAGAACGGTGCATCGTGGATCTTGATATTCGAGAGTTGCGCCGACGAGAGTGTGTTAGAGAGGTATGCAGAGATGGCTTCGTGCCCAAGAAGCGAGCGGGTGTCCCAAGTAAAGATGAGGTGGTCTCGTAACCAGCCGTCAGGAAGGAAGTACGAGGTAAGGGCAGCGATATCCTCGTCCTGGACGGAGCGAGAGAAATCGGTGAGCCAAGACGTAGCTATGGCAGTTGGGTCGGGAGACATAGCGGCAGAACGATAGGGGGTTTGAACGAGCAGGGCTCCCTTCTCCAACCGATCATATTTATACCTTGTATGATGGCACTGGCCTCGAGACTCAAATTATCATAGCAATCAGGTCCGCAGGAGCGCGTATGTACCAGTCTGGATAGAGCAAGTAGCGACCCTAAGCGTGGAAGCCGCAGAAGCTCGTTAGACATAACGATCATAGCCGAATTCGAGTCAGGGTCTACCGAATTAGTGGCCAGAACAATAAGGTGTTAGTTATTGGCGCTGACATGACATTTTCCAGAGAATTGACCTGTGCAGATCATGGATAAGTCATGCTTTACGATAGTGCAGGGGAGATTCCGTACTGGATAATGCCTGTCATCTCAGGGCTTTCTGAGCCCCAGTGAGTATAAGAAAAGCTGCCAGGCTTGTTCAACCTGAAAACTACCACATACCGGCGGCATGTAACGGTTACGGCGTCTTTGCACGGAGGCATTGTCCGGAAGGTGCTGACGGCAAGGTGCACAACTCTGCTTTGGGGCATGGACTTATAGATTGCTATCGCTTCGTTCGAAGAAGTGGCGTCAGTCGGAAGGTAAGGTAAAGGTACGAAGGCATCTGTTCGGCTCATGCGAAGCGATTCACCTGCATGAATCTGATACAGATAGAGCGTCAACGTCTCGACGCTCTATGGTGGCCGTCCGAACTTCCAAACTTGGAGGTTAGTATCATGCCGTAGAGACACCGTGAACATGTCACAACACTCCCACATCAGCAACAGAAGACCACACAATATTCTTGCTCCTGCACTTGTCAGCAATATAATCGCTTGTTAGTAGTGACGCGAATTAACAGTCACCTGGCCTCGCTGGAGTGAGTACATATGTCAAATCCATACGCGAAAATATGGACAGGCTCTTCGGAGATAAAACTCCATGGAGCTAGGTGTCAGTCAACAACTCAACTTTAGAACACAAGCAATCAGCAGAGCTTGAGCAAAATCTAAACGCCTACTCCGTCCAGGACATTCCCTGACTCGGAGGTAGAATTGTTCAGATGCTCACGACAGGGAAAGCGCTGAGCATTGCAGTATATTTCCGTGTCCTGGGAGGGGCGTCTTGCGCTGGAAGGCACGCTCGATGTAAGGAGTAACGCTGGTTGACTCGGACGACCCCTGCGCTGACGGAGAATTCACTGGGGTCATACACGTAGTTCAGCATTCCCGATGCGTGCACTCAGCAAACCATACATAGATGACACTCACCGACTTCCCCTTATCCCCTTTCACAAGGACAAAGCCGTTGGAAGAGCGTCTCGTGGACCCTCTAGATGTGTAACAGTTCGGATCGTCCTAACTTCGTGAACCCACGAGCCCACACGATGACTGAACCTTCCAGAGTTTTTCACGACATAGATGACCCTAGGCAGCGATTGACTGAACTCTAGCACGAGTATCACCTCGGACATGCAAAGGTGGGTCAGGGCAGGGGACACAGAAAGTCATCAGCGCTTCGTACGCTGGGAGAAAATACGATGGTGCGGAATAAAGTAAATCCTTCTGCTGGAGGCATGACGACGAAAATAATAGCAATGTCTGCAGAGAGATCGCATCTGTTTATGCATATACAGTCCTGAAGACTTCTCTCCCGACCGAGTTGGCGACACAATGTACGAGCTACGGAAGAGCCTGAATGACGAATAACGCAAACTTGAAAGCTTACACGCGGTTCGCCAGGTGTAGAGTAGGCGCTAGAAGATTGCATGGTATAAACGAGCCGATAGTGCGCCTAGATAGAGTTTCCAGATTGTTCATCTGAGAGGAAGCCTTAGGCAGAGAATGGGAGAGGGCCGCGGGGAGGTGCGGCACGAACCGTGACATTGCATCGCGGTTGACTTCAGGGTTAGGGTTCTGGGACTACGGGAAATCTGCGGGTCGGCGGGCCGCCCAAACAACGACTTTCTTTTGGACATTATCGACGATTTTGTCGAGACGTACTATTGATATAGCGTAGTTACACCTGCATGAATATTTGGGGGCTGTGAGGGGCGGAACTGAAGTACTGAAGTCTCGAGGGTCATATTCGTGCTGATGGGGCACTTCAAGACCGACGTCCTCAACGAGCTCCGCACCCGCAGTCGTCCCAGACAACTCGAAGACCGGCACAATCTGCTGCCACACAAAAACAAATCTGATCCATAATGGTATACGTATACGTAAGACATTTTATAGTACAAGGTCCAATAACAACGGCCTGCACCCGCAAATAACCCAACGACGATAAGTAACTCCAGAGCGAGAACAAAAAACATAACAGAGAACATAACCAAACAGCGATGAGGGCAGACGGCACCAGTTTCATAGTCCATATAGTACAGCAGAGAATAAGATCGAAGCTCCGATGCCCGATGTAGGATGTAGCACGGTGACGTGGCGTGAGAATGGATGAAACTGGAAAAGGGTTCGTTAGTATTGGGTATGACGACGAATGCATGAAGGGGGAGGAGGGGGAGGAGAGTCAGCTGGAATATAGGCAATAATTCGGTGTCTCCATCTTCCCGTGAAGGAAGGCAGAACAGGTCTGAATTTGGGTCATCATACGAAAGTGGGGGGTGGTGATGGTGTACGAGAAAATAGGGGAATAACTCACATGGTGATGGTAGTGTTTAGGAATATGTAAATGGTGGATACGGTAGGATATGTTCTAGACAACAGAAGGTTTGTCAGTGACCATTCGTCGGCGCACTCGACATGGATGAGAAAAGAATGATGAAAGGTCAGAATAACTAGGATATAACAAATCCGCATATCCCGTGGGATCGGTACAGGTCTGTGATAATGCTCATCGCTCCAGAAAAGGAAAAGAAAAAGGAAGGACAAGAAAGGTAACACCACTCACCATACAGGTACAACGACGAAAGAGATAAAGGACGTCTAGGTGGCGATAGGTGGTGGCATCGCTGTCGGCATAGGTTTCCACTGCATCCTATTGGGGTTGTCCTCCCCATACGCCCAATCATTCTCCTGCACCATCTCGTCTTGCTCATCCACATCACAATCCTCTACATACACACCAATACCCGCGCCATCTTCAGGGTGCAGCAGTACTTCCACACCCTTATTGTCCACGTGGCCATGAAGGCTGTCATCGTGGAGATGGCTAAGCTCGGCGACCTGCAGATTACGAAGAGCAACTATGAGGTCGTCGGCAAGGGGCGCAGAGTTCGGAGGGTCCTCTTTGATTGGTTCCCAACCGACAGGTGGAGAACCGGGAGGGGAGATAAGAAAATTCTTCTCTAGAGCTGGGGGATGAAGATATCGCCCCTTGGGGTCTACGACTGTTGGCGTAGGATCGCCGCGGAATACCCGCAACACAAACTCCGCACTACAAGAATCATCAAAAAGAAGAAAAAAATGAGCATGAAATGAGCCAATATATGAGAAGATTACGCACGTCTCAGAGGTCTTCTCGATAGTCAAACCATCGCAGTTGATCTTCGCGGATTCTGCCTCGTCCTCATCCATATAGACGACCATGATTCTAGCGAACGACCTTATAGGCGCCCACGTGTGAATCTCGCCATAACTCTCAAAATGGTCTCTGAGTGCAGCGAGAGCAACAGGATGGAAAAATGGGGGAGGTAGAGAAGTAAGCCAGACCGTGTTCGTGCGCTGGGGTGAGGGGGCACGCGGCGGCGACGGTGATGACGACGTTTGCTTCACGATACCCGGCATGATGGTCACAAAAAATGTGTTCTCTACGCGAAAATGCGTCAATTATAAAGTTCGAGAGCCCGAGACTGAAGCTTGAAGATTGAAGAGGGAGGGTGGAGGGGAGAGGATGGTGGTTGTGAAAAAGAAAACGCGAGCTGCCCTCAAATACTTTTTCACGTCGGTTACCACGCTTTACGTAATGCACACCGCCTTTTTGTGTGGCGGCGCGCGTGTGCACGACTTCTTGTCCCGGGCCACAGCGTTCGCAGCAGTTATTCCGTCGAGCATGTTCTATCGGAAACAGCCAAGACAACAGCTTATTTTTCCTGTCGTATCCGTCTTTTATTGTCCCGGTACTCCACGTCGATCTCACTGCCATTTGTACTCGGCCCAGTCTATCCCGCTGACAGAACTGCGTTTGAAGGCCAGGAGTTCTGTCAGATATGTACTCCTGGGCTGCGCTTTCCTGGGCCATTCCTTGGAAAAGGCGATGCAAAGAGCAGAGATTGAGGTTGAATTCATCGGGGAGCGTTAGGAGCTTGCTGAACACTCGAAGACGATAATTTGCCACTCGTCAGCGCATAGGCCAGATGTCAGTTTCCCGGTGGCTGTGGTGTCCTCTGGTATAAAGCCTTCCGCATATAGATATTTGAGCCAAGCATCCTGCATGATTCCACTTGTAGTGAGCGATTTGGGCCATAATTTTCTTCTGTTTAGGAGCTGAGGATCGCAATACTTATAGGCTCCCGTCGTAGATGAGTCTCGTCATGCTTCGAAGGTGATCTCTTTGGCTGGGCGTCTCCCGGTGATCAGAGGATGACATGACAGTATCTTTGCTAGCGTGACGGTCATATCCTTACAACTACAGCTCGTGGACAAACGACAAAACGACAATCTGATTGGCTGGCCAAGCCGGGCATAGCCGGAGTCACTCGTCAGCTGACCCAGCGATCAGGCTGTGGCCCAGCGCCACCATGCTCTCGAAAGTTCGTTGTATGTAGCGCCGCGAAGTTCTGAGCGCGGTCGACGTCGATATATAAGGCGGCGGTGGCGCCTGCTGCTTTAGCAGCGGATTTTTCAATCCTATCTTGTCGGCATGAGCATCTTATGCTTTGGTCTCGACTCGCTTTCCAGCGTTGACAGAATACTTAGGGTATGAGGCTCTGTGGCGGCGGGCAAGTGGTGAGCCCTCGCACGGCAGAGCTCTACATGGCAGTTGAGGTACTTACCAGGATCACATTCATGATGCGGGATTGTGAGTGTGAAAGCCTCTCCGTGGAATTTCATGCCACACGGGATGTCTTGCCTGCCCACCAGGGCCCCGAAAGCAAAACTGGAGGGTCTTTTGGAGAACGGAGGGGCGAGGCGCGATAGCGCCTCAACCAGGAGTTTGAGGAAGACCCTTCAGGTTTTTTTATCATCGAGCTTTCATTTCTACTCGAGCGGCTCCTCTGCTAGCCCCGTGCGTAGCACGGGCTGGCTGCTAGTCTACTATACTACAGCGCGGACACAAGAGACAAAGACGCAATCCGATTGGCTAGGGCGCATCGGCCGGATCCGAACTTGCACTGCCACCTCCACGTGGACTTATTCCGTCGCTCTCGAAAGTTCGCGGACGGTCACTGGCATGTTCTCCTTACGCCCATCGCTCAGGTCCAGACAAGTCTCAGAGTCAGAGCGCGGGTATAGGGCTTATTCAGACCGCTCGGTTGAGGCTCATTTCATACTGTCAACTCCAGTACAACTTTTTCGGGACGGTCAATGGTCTCAGATGTAAGTAACCTCGAGCTCTGAGGCAGACGGTATTGAAAGACCCGCGGTAACGCACAGGCTGGCTGCTTTCATTGTAAGAAAGAGGGTATGCCGGTATGTCTGAGGCAAAACCATACTTGACACAGTCAGGCCAGGTGGGTCCCAAGGCGGTCATGAAGCGAATGCCACCCCCACAGCGGCCTGGCTCAGCGCCACCAGGAGGCTCTCGAAAGTTGGTTGCGGAGCCACACAAAGTTCTCGGAGATACTTATAAGATGGAGGCTCAAGCTCAAGCCCAAGCTTATGACCTCGCTATGGTGGCCTAAAATGCATATGTATTAGTCCCGACCCACCTGCAGCACCATAAGTATAGGGTTTCCATGCTGTGGCGGGCCTGCACAAGGTGTGCAGCTTAGTAGGGGTTTTATGATACGGCCCCAGAGCTCATTTCTGCCTGGTCAGAGATTGCTCCACCTCGAGCGCCGGCCCCGCAGAAGACGAAGCCAACAGCGTTCGGCTTATTCCGCCCTAGCCCTCGCATGTTGGTGACAGCACCCCAGCATCTATTATCTTCTATAAACTTCGTGATAGGCAACGTAAGCATGCTTGGATAGAATCCCCTGAGAAATCTGAAGAAAGACAGCCCGAAATAATGAGTATCGGCGCTCACCCTTTGCGAGCAGGTTCAAAGTCCGCCGTGACGCGTCTCGCTTACTCCCGTTGCCGAGCTGCCGAGTGGCTGCTGGCCCGTCACTTGTGAACACGCAAACCAAAATGCTGCGATGGTATGCATATTTACATCTAAGATGGCTACATATAAAATAATATAAACTATGCTTCTTTCATTTGGTTGCGACAGAATGTTTTAATTTCAGCGTGAACGAGCTACACGACAGACCTTACCCTCATATCAAATCACTCGAGCAGAGTGCAAGAATTCCATCGCAACCAAATGAAGTAAATATATGTAAAGTAATATTTCAGATTTTATGAGATTTAATGGGATGGTGTACCTTGAGTAAAATGTGCAATGGTCTCACACATAGGTGCCACCCAGCCAACTCGGTGAGTTCTCCGGTGGCCCACGTCGAAATGACATGCGGCTTGCCCGGCAGCTTTCAAAGTCCGACAATTTGCAATGGACATCGCGCTTGGTGGGAATGCCGGTACTCAGAAATAAGGAGTGGACAAGGGGCACTCGATACAGAGCGCGGCGCGAAGCCTCTCGTGGGAGTGTGGAACCCAGCGCCACTTTGATCTCTGGGCTCATAAAACTCTGCCCCAGGTCATCGAAACGCCCGTATCATAAAACCCCTAGTATGCGGGAGCGGGATGAAAAAATCGGAGGCTCCACTTGATCGTACAATGATTTTTACGCCATTGTGAACGTGAATGCTTTCAAGCTTTCAAGCTGTGACAGATCTTTGCTACACGGGATGTGCCGACTCAAAGTAGCCTTAATCCGACTTTTTCGATGACTGCAATGGAGATGTCGAGGGCGCTAGCGGCATCCACTATATTCATCAAAAAGATGGATGAAAAGTCTTCGGGTCGGAGTTGAGGAGGTTGGTGGGGATGCAATGCGCACACCCAGCGACTGATGTTCCTCATGTCTTCCTGAGCAAAACTGGAGGGTCTTTTGGAGAACGGAGGGGCGAGGCGCGATAGCGCCTCGACCCGGAGTTCGAGGAAGACCCTTCAGGTTTTTTCTCGTCAAGCTTTGATTTCTACTCAAGCGGTTCCTCTGCTATCCCCGTGCGTAGCACGGGCTTGCTGCTAGTCATCAGACATACTGTTACCAAAGTGACGGTGTATAGAAGAGAAAGGCAGAGGAACATGGGTGGTAGGATTGTCGGTGGCGCAGAGTGAGCTCGAAAGGCGAAGGTGTTCTGCGGCCTCACCAACAGGCGAGAGACTCAACCTACTCAACCACATCCAGGAAAGGCTTCGTTCTTGTCTGTAAACAGTCACACAGAATGTCGAAAAAACATATTCTGAATATTTTCGAGAAACAGCCTAGATCCGGAGAATGAGGCACCTCAGATCGCACAAGAAAATCTGGACTGGGTTGGCTTAGCATTTCGACAGGTATACAGCAATATGGCGTGTCCAGAAAGGCGATACAGCTGAGCGAAAAGGAGGTGTTGAAGGTTCCGAGCAAGTTCCAAGAGAATGTGAGACTTTGAATTTGGGCCACAATTCACGGCGAATGATCACGTGATGTAAATCTCGTGTTCAAACGCGTCGCGATCGACGTGACGGCGGAATATCTCTTCGTTTCGCCTCTCATCCTCTACTCGCTACGGACGCGTCCTTCGTCGCATTTTGACACTGTGATCCCACTTGAACTGACTTTTTGATACCTAGATAATATGGCCTCTACACGAGCGGAGGCCCCAGGCGCGGTAGCATCATCGTCGCTCGCGTCGTCCTCGTCTTCGCCACTCAACCTAGATACGGCCAAACGCCTTCAATCCCTCCTGGAGAGTACAGACTTCAACATTGTCGAGGCGAAGACCCGATATAAGTCGAAACCCACCGATGTGTTGGAGGACTTCATGCTTGGAGGCGGAGCAGTGCCCGGAGAAGGTGGCCCGGCATTGAAGTCACCGAAAGCGTTGGCGGGAGATGTCGCTGCTCAGATGGTATGTGCAGCCTTTGTTCCGATATTTGAGACGCATGGGTTTGTTTGAGTCGTATGTTCAGCTCAACGTCTATTGAGCTAGTAGACCCAACCTTTTTTTGCCTTGTTTCCCCTCATTTCTACTACCGTTTATCTCCCACTGTTACCTAGCCTTGTGGTGCGAGTCTTGAAGGGATTCTGAATAGAGTTATGGACAGATCCTCAGAAATGATGATCTACACTGTTGACTCAGCACAGGCTCTTATTACTTATGGTCATAAGCAGAAGCTTGACCCTATGAGGTAGCTGGTACGGCTGAAGAAATCACTTATCGCTGTCATATCTGCGGGCTACACATTATCACCTTCTTGTAACCACTATTGTGTTTCCCGTACGGTCGTCTTCCACCACTAGTCTTTCGGATGACGAGACATCACTTCGAATCATGCTGACATTACACCACTTCACCAGTCTTTCCTCCGTAAACTGAAATTTCAATACCTCGAACAACACGCCAAAGACAAATACATCAAGATCATCGTCAATGACGAAGCACCACTGATCACCGCTGACGACAACGAAGAGCTGAAGGCCAGCAACGACAAGAAGAAGGCCGCATTGAAGGCCGCGAAGGCGCGATTAGCAGAGAGACATGCAGATGTTCGGAGTTTTGCGCCCTTGGTTGAGGATGGTGAGTGCTCAGTGTGTTTTTACGTCTCTATGGAACTCTGACTCTAATGTATGTTGAATCGGAGCAGACTACAACAAAGCTCGTGCTATGACAGCAGAAGCTACGAACCTCACCCAGGCCATCCTCGATGCCCGGCTCAAACTTACGCGTATCAAGCAAGCTCACCCGCCACCCCGTCTCACGATCACCACGGCCGAACGCCACCTCGAAGAGCAAGAAGAGGAAATGCAGAAGCTAGACGATGAACTAGCCGAGGCCAACGAGAAGGTGGCTAGTGTCAAGGAAGGTGTCAAGGATGGAACGAGAGATGTGGAGAGGTTGAGGGCGGAGAGGGCTGAGGTCGAGAGGGAAGTGCGGGTTGGGAGGAGGGAAGGGAGCGATGGGCGGGTCGTGGGGCGGCATGATTGGTTCGTATCTCCACTTTCGTTCACTTACTACCCTTTGACTGGTATCTCGGTAAACTAACCCCCGAATTATGTTGACTAGGTTTCGAGCCCTTTTGGTCCTTAAGCACAAGCTCACGGACCTGCACTCCTTCACACCCGTGTCCGACAACGAGGTGCATCTCACATACCACCTCTCGCCGCCATCCTCGCCGAAACGACCACGAGAGGTCACTATCGTTCTCCTTTTCGTACCAAACTCTCGACAACTTGCCGAAGCTCGGATCGAGGGTCTGCCGTCCCAGGACGAATGTACAGAGACGATTGCGGCACATGTGCAGGCGAATGATCCGGCAGGTTTGGTCTGGACGTTGTTGGCGAAGGCCAGGGAGGATGTGGCGAGACTGTAGGAGTCGCAGCTTCTACCATGCCTGTGTTTGTGAGGGTCGATCATGATTGTCTTGTAAGTTACGCGGTGTTTTTATTGCAATTGGTTGCTCTGCCTTTCGCACATCAGGCGAAATTATCGTGGCGAACGCCAATTCCAGCCCGATCTTTCGGTGTCAAGTCCTTGCTGTGTCTTACAATTTTGCTCACGAGGACGCTGGGGTCGATGTCCCCAAAAGCGGGGACACGCTGTGATGAAGTCGTGTACCCAAACAAGCGCAAAAAGGGCATGAACTCCGAGCAATACGAGACAAAAGTCTCTTCGAAAAGATGAGACTTTGATACTTGTGCATTTATTAATGAAATATTCGTAGTAAGGTATCAGGGTATCAAGACAAACTTCGCCACTTGAACCGATACATATAAGCAAACACTCATTACCAGCATATGTTGACCCGGTGTACGCTCGAACTGTCATACCGATGACACGGATGGAAGTATACGTGGTCGACGACAGGACTACTGATGCCATGCCTGAACAGAATCGATATCTTCAGCTTAAGTACAAACATGAAAGAATAAAAATGGAGAACATAACGACTCACTCAATCCTAACGTGCTGTCTCGCCTCTTCCTCGTTCATCCAATCCCCACGGTCAAATAGCGTGCGACACGGAGGGTCGTCGTAGAAGTATGCAGGAGGTTTCGTGAGGTGGAAGGTGCAATGCTTGCATCCCCACCATCGAGGCGAAGAGTAGGGGGGATAAGAGTGCAGGGTGGAGAGTATATCGTCGCATTCTGGATTATCGTCCGTCAAGGCCAACCAGTTTGGATCCTGGTCATCAGGACACCGATGGTTCTTTGTCAGGACGTGATCAATCTAATAACACGAAGTCATGTAAGATATTTAAGTGGTCAATAGGATTCTGAAATCACTTGCATGGGCCCTCCAATTTCTGGCGTCTACGTGACCTCTATCCTTACAATCCAAACAAACGAACAACGCTTTTATCGTGCTCATCCCATTTGTCGTTATCGTCGCTGGGTCCTCCCCAAGCATTCCTATCATCGCCAAAACGATCTTCTGTGCACCCTCATCGAACCTCGGTAGCATATCTCCACGGAACGCGAAGATCTCGGGACCGTACAGGGATTGGTAGGTGTGTTCCCCGAGCTGACCGACGAAAACATTCTTTGCGAGCTCCAACTCCGGTGGAAAAGTGAACACAGGGCAGGGCGCTAGGGTGACAGGAAGGGTCGACAAGATTGTGATCTTGCGCGTTGCTGCCCAGTTTTCGATATGTGCAATGAACGTCCCGTCGGCGAAAATTTCGGCTATCAGAGAATCGAAACCCTCGTTAGGCAGATAATCTTCGTCGCGAGACAAGAGCGGGGCGATGATGTCGAACTCATAGAGCTCAGTGTCTTTCGGGTAGAACACCAGTGTGCTTGGAGGACGCGTGGACCAGATGGCCCTGTAGTGGTTACCAACGATGCTCCAGCGATCGATCTCGCGCTGGATACTCTCGTCCCGAAGCCGGTCGTTTAGGGCGTCTTGTACGAGCGGCTCAAGAATGGGGAGGATTCGCGTCCAGACTACAAATAGGGACGTCGTCAAGGACACAGTCGAAGACCATTGCGAGCGGACCACATACCTCGATCAGACATGGGCTTGTCGCACCAGACTTCGCGATGGAGCGATATCGAACAAATGTCGTCCTCCTCGTATCCCATGGCCAGAAACCGATTATATATACTGATTCGTTCGACATTGATCAGTATAGAGCGTAGAGAAAGAAAACAGACAGAAGTACTGACTTGTCCCGACGATCTTCCTTTCTCTGTTCTCGCTCGTTTGCTCGTTCGAGTTCTTGATTTTCATGCCAGGCCAAGCATGCGTATGCGTGCTAGTAGATATCGGAAATATAAGAGCCTGACAGCACAGCGCAACACACAGTGCTCCTACCTCTCGCAACTTGTACAACTTCTTAGCTCTCTCCTCAAAAACCGTGTCCAAGATAACGGATAGCTCTTCCTCAGTAGAAATGCTCGCAGAACGCCTGGCTACCTCATCCTCAAGATCGAAGGCGTCTTGCACACGCCAATGATCGTGTTCAAGGGTGCCCTCCCTTCCTCTTGGATTTACTGCATCGGAAGAAGAATCAATGTTCTGGGAGTTGAAAGATGAAAAACCGTAGCAAACATACCTTGCGCCGCTGGCAGACACCAATGGTAATCGTGGGGTATGGAAAGTATTAACGAGTTCAAGTAAACGCTATCTCCAAGTCTTAAAAAGTAAAAAAGCGGTGTGAACGGGAGAATCCTGGTTTCACAAGTAACACAACTCACATGCTCTTCAAACAAGCATTGCATGTTCGGCAGCGCAGCATGAAGTCGATTCTATTGTTCGTCTTGCCACCGCAATTCTATAGCGCATATATCGTCAGCATAAAGCATGGGGATAACAGGAATTTTTAATACATAGCAAATGGCACCACCAAACAGAAGCTGGGTCCATGCAGGCTCAGTCATGTCCTCAGGAGCAGATGGCGTCCCTGGTATGTTGTTCCATGTAGCCCTCCACAACCATGCCGAGCTTTTGGCCATCAGGACCTGACGAAAGGCTTTGGACACGCGCGCAAGTTGGAGCAGGTCAATGGGAGCTAGATGTCCGAAAATCTTTCGAGATTCCAGGAAGATGGGATGAGATAAGATGTCTGTATCAAACGCAGGGGATATAAGTACGTACTTCAAAAAGTACATCGAGGGCTAGGGTGGGTAGGACACTGAGGCGGCCTAACTTCCTTCTCGACAATCCGGTGGCTTTCGTAGACATCGAGTCGCTGTGGAACTCTAGATATTGTGTTGTAGGCCGTCGTGTCCAACGAGCTCGAGAAGATGGTGGCTCTCGCGAAAGACGCGCACGACGCGCCCAACAATGATGGAACGCGATCACATGCCCTTGACCTTCCCACGAGTACGCGCCACAGGTGTTTGACACGCCACACGTGAGTCGTTCGAACTTTGAGTCGATAGTATGCATATTAATGACGGACAGGATTGTATTAAGGATGGTTCGTAGTTCATTAGACAGACTCTCAGTGAGTAAAATTGATGCACAGGGAATTATATAGTGCTATGTAACATTCAGTCGGGCACACAGAAGCATCGAAAGGGAAAGAAGACAAGACTGAGTCTCTCTGGTTAGATACAGGCATCAGAAGTGTTCATCACTTCACTCCCAAAGCAATAAAGATACGATATTCATCTCATTCACACAGTACAACTCGTTGTATACCAACAAAGACATCGCGACCGATGACGTCCAAGAGCGAGAAGCAGCTGGCCTCGCAGAGGTCATGCCTCCATCTCGAGGAATGAGTATGTATACTTATAATAACGTTTGTATGGATCATAGTAGAAGTCAAGCTCTTGGCGTGGTTTGTCTATCCCATGTCTATAAGTGAAACGGACGGTGAGCCCAGGTGCCCAACGTTATCGGTAATATACGCAAGCACCTACGTTTTCAGGAGGTGCAGTTTGACTTCTTCGAGACGCACCCATCTCACCATATCAAGCGAAGGTTTGGGCGAGTAATACGGGAGCGCTGTATAGTGCACTGTGCAGTGTGAACAGCCCCAGCTTGTTCCGCACGACCATGCATTATCGACCCGACGTCGTTCTTCCCCTTTCGAGACTTTGCAAGCATGGACGCAGTGGTCGGGATCTTTCTTGAGATCCATTTCCACAAGATGATCTAGCTATGAGGGTTCGAGAGTTGAAGTCAGTGAGGGGTACATGGAAGATGGGTAGAAGAAAATGTCACATGAGATCTCCAAGGCCTAACCCTTCTCCCACGCATACGACGCCCATCATAAATATCTTCCGTGCGTGGGCAACTCAGACAAACAAGCCGTGGATCTAAGTGATACAGATCCGCCGTTGTAGTTGTGTCGGGATCCAGACCAAGCAGTTTGAGGAGCTCGAGGACCATGGCCTGAGCAGACGCGTTGAGAGACGGAACGTCGCAATCATCGTAATTAAAACGAGCCGTGAAAATCTCCGGCCCATAAAGAGCATCAGTGCCCAGATTGCGAGTGTAAACATTCTTCGCTAGCTTCAACTCTCGCGGTATATCGAAGGGAGAGCCCGGTGCGGAATCGGTAAGTGTGGCCGGGGGTAGAGAGGAGAGGACCAATGTCTTGAGCCTGACTGCCCTCGCTTTGATTTCCTCAACCGAGTCCTGGATCGCTTGCTGCACGCGAGCGTTAAATTCGTCGTCGGGTTCCAAGTCGTCTTCGAGGAGAGGCCCAATCCGTCCAAGCTTGTCAAAGTCAGCCTTTTTTGGCATAAACATCAAACCGTGTGGATGGAGCTTCGTCCAATACTCAGCATACTGTGCATGTACGAGCTCGGCGCGACGCTCCTTGCGGTCGACACGCTCGCGCCACAGTCTCTTGGACTTAGCACTCTCGAGTCCCTCTTGAAGATGTGGGAATATTCGAGCAAAGACTACGAGAGTGTAGAGCATGGGATGTTAGCAACCTATCACGGGAAAAACTTTATAGGTATATTCACCTCGGTCGGATACGGGATTATCGCCCCGAAGCTTCCGTATTTCGCGGTGCGAGGCAACTGAGGCGAAATCGGCGGCTGTATATCCCTTAGCCACGCATCGCTGCTCGACTCTATATAAAGATGTGAGTCCCTACGCTAATTGAGGAAGGTCATTGATACTTACTCCGTACGTCGCTCTTCCTTCTTCGAGTAAATGGCTAATGCTCGTGCGCTTCGCAGATTACGGGTCCACCTCTCGCACATGTCCACATGCTAGAAGGAATGTGACTTTGAGAAAATGTCAGCGCGATAAGGGACAAAAATTCTTACTGTCATCAGATCCTCATACGACTGGGCCTGGTTGTCATCGAAAGACTCCAGTTTTTCTTCTTTTTCTGCAGGCTGGAGGCCCTCGGTGAGGGTAATTATTTGGGATTTTAAATCAAGTACGTCCTTTGTGAGGAACCATTCATCACGTAGCAGTACGCCTTTCGAGTTCCGCGGGTACACTGGTATACAAAATAACAGTGAGCAGATATTGCATGAGCGAGGCTTGGCCGCTTAACTCACCGCTGGCCCTGGGCACATAGACGAGCCACTCGGAATCCGATACAAGTTTGACCGCCTCGTCTTCGCGGATGAGGCTGTATAGAAACAGCGCAGAATTGATATCAGGCCATGCAACCGTCTCATACATGATATGACTTTTACCTTGCTGACAGACACGGACTGCATGCTCGGCGACGATGCCAGAAATCAATCTCGTTAGCAGTCTTGGCTCCGCACGCCTGCACCGGCGAATGGTGACGGTCAGTATAATGAGACGATGACCAAGGTGTTATTAAAACATCCTACCTGGCAGAAGGGCCCTCCAAAGAGCAGACCGATCCAGGCAGGTTCGGACCAACCGTCCGGACAGGGTGGGGGAACGCCTGGGAGGTCATAATTTTCCCAAGACTGCTTCCAAAGACTAGCACGGCTTTTAACCAGCAGGGTTTGGCGAAATGATTTGGAGACACGCGAAAGATGGAGGAGATCGGCAGGCGCGAGGTGGCTGAATATCTGCAGTCAAGTGTACAGTGAGCAAGGGAGACTGAAAGCCTTCGGGGAAAAGTGGAACCGAACCTCGAAAAGAATGTCTAGTGATAGAGTGGGGAGTACGCTCAAACGGCCTTTCTTCCGCCTAGAAAGGCCAGTGCTCTGTTTCTTCGTCGTGGCTTTGGCCCCCGCGCCCCGTGTCTTCGCTCGTTTGGCCGGAGGCGGCGTTGATGACCTCTCTGCGCGCATGGGCAAGGGTGTTGGTTATCAGTAAGAACAGCACGCACATACTTGGGTCCAAATGTCTACCTTGATCATCGAGCGAAGTAGAGTCAGTTTTGGCCTCAACGTCCGTCTCCGGTGAGGTGAGTCGACTATCATTAGCGTCTGAATCGGCCTCGCTGACTTTTCGCCGGACAGGAAGTTTTCCTGTCTTTGCTCTCGTCACAGCAGGCATAACAGAAGTTTATCGAAAACGGGTTGTGGAACAGTGTCAAATATGGTGCTGGGGTGTGTCGTGGTCAGAACAAAAGGAAACTGACTCAAAAGAATCGTGCGACGCGACGCCGCACGCGTCGGGCCCGTACACGGTCATGTGACACGTGTCAGTCTCAAACCTCCCACGGTGCCACAGCGTTGGACACGAAGTGTCTTGGCGCTTTACGGTCCTCGTCTGCTCTGGAACAAGGTATACACGTATAGGCATAGCCATTTATATTGTGAGATATACACTTCTGCTATGATTATCAGTGACATCTATGAGTAGTCCTGCGATACTGTAGCGTCAGAGAATAATTGTGTGAAATGTTGGAGCCCACGGGGCCGCCACATCGAGAACCCATCTATTACACCCTAGCAATTGAAAATAATGTACATCCTTCCAAAGATCCATAGTATGTTATAAAATATCCACAACCCCCCCCACTCCCTGAATCGTGATAAATCACCACCCAACCTCATCAACCTCCGGCACCGCCGCCCCCATCCCCAGCTCACTCACTTGCACCGACCCCGCCGCCGTAACATTCAACACCTCGCCCAGCCCCCTCTCCACCACAGCCAACCAATCCCTCAGGTCATCAACGACAAACGCCAACTCCCTGCATACCTTCTCTTGTGAATCTAACGCTGCGTAGTCTATCGGACGGATGGCGGGGCCTTGGGCTTCGAGGAGTTGGTCGAGTGAGAATGAGAGTGGGAGGGGTTCGGTTGGTTCGTGGGGCATGGGGACGTTGAGTTGGAAGGGCGAGTCGAGCGCGGAGGGTTCGTTCAGAGGCTGGGAAGGTTCGGCTTGTGGAAGGGGGTAAGATTCGGATGGATAGGGTGCGGAAGTGGAGGCGGGATAGGCTGCCAGAGGCGGTGGTTCCGAGTATGAATGTATAAGAGGAGATCGTGGGCGCATGAAAGGGATAGGCCGGTGGGGTGAGGGAGTAGAGAAGGACGAGGGGAAATGATACCCCGAAAGTGGTTGTTCTTTCGGGAGAGAACTAGGCGTGGTAGTATTCGTAGTGTTCCCCTGAATATTCATATTCAAGGGTGATGCAGATTCTATCGTCTGCGGTGATGATACATATGTTCCGGAATCAAGCCCATGTAAGAATGATGAAGATAGAGATGGAATAGGAGATGAAGTTGGGATTAGGAGAGTTGGTAATGGAGGGACGTCCCGCGTCTGGAGTTGACCTTCGGCGTCTGTATCTCGCGTTGAAGCTAACAACTATATCGCATTGCTTCGTATCAGAATGCGCTACAGCAGTCTCACGAAAAATAATACTAAAAAACTCACGGTGGGGTCAAACGGAGAAACCGGCGTCAATGGCAACAGCTTCTGGAACTGCGTCTGTACCGGCGATGATGACGACTCATTCTGTGTCTGCGTCTGTGGAAGATCGAACGGGAATTGAGATGGTGATGGTGGTTCTGAGCTGGAAGGCGCTGATTGCGAGTCCACCAAGTCCGTAGGAGCACGCAAAAAATCGGAGTTTGGTGTATTGCCAGTAAGGCGGGTAGTGTTGTGTGGCCCAGTGCCACTAGGCGCGACCTCTCCAGGCCGAACGGTCTTGTCGCTCGATATACTCGCATGCGCATCCGCAGTCCTGGTGTCTGTATCCTGACATGCCTCTTCTGTCAGGCTGGCCCGGGAAACAGATCGGAAGTAGTTGTCCATGATGAAGTCAGAGGCGTCGGGTGGCGAGGCTTCATAGTCGTAGTCGAAGAGATGGCGGAATGATGGTGGAGCGTGGCGCGATGAGTTGGGAAGAGGGTTGTGTGTCGAAGGAGTTACGGTAGCGGAGATATCTGGGGCATGATCGAGAGCATTGTCGTCGTCAGGACGATGGACACTGTTTAGTGTGTTGAAAGCCCAAGAGGTAGGTCTTGCACTATAAAGTCATCGCCGTGACCCATCAGAAAACAGGCAAAGATAGAGGAGAAGAATGGGGTCCTTACTCGTCATCTTCCGCCAGCGTCTGTGGAAGGCCGCTCAAACTAGCTTTCTCGGCTTTGGAGGCTCTATACCGGATGAGAAGTGGTTCTAGCACGGATACCGGATACTTTGAGGCTGGTACGGATTTGATCCACTTCAACTTGAGCAGCTCTTCGGCGGTGGCTCGCTGACATGGCAACTATGAGCACATGGCCCCGAAACAGTCATTACGGAGCGTTTACCTCTGGGGCGGTCTCGACTAGACATCGCGCAAGAAATTCTCTGGCCTCCTTCGACACTTCGTTCTCTGCGAATCGAGCGGGCTTGAGCCTCGGGAGCATCTCGATGAGTTTGAACCTATCCATGTTGAAGTGTGGAGGGGCACCCTTGATGATTTCATACAGCATGATCCCTGTCGTTTGTTCAACGTCTCACCAAGAGCGTTCTCTTGACGAGATCAACACGTACCTAAACTCCAAATATCGACCTTAGAGTCGTAAGCCGGTGAAGGACGAGCGATCTCCGGTGCCATCCAATATGGAGTCCCCGTGAAGGTCGTACGCTTACTATTCGTGGTCGAGAGGAGAGCAGAGACGCCGAAATCACAAATTCGGACATGGCCAGACGAGACGACGAGGATGTTGGCCGCTTTGATATCGCGGTGAATGATAGATGAGTTATGCAGGAATGCGAGCCCGACAAGGACCTCGCGCATGATGACGGCTGAGTATTGCTCCTCAAGCGTCTTGGTGGGAGATGCATTCATGAGATCCGTGACACTACCTCCCTGTGCGAACTCCTGAACGATCCAAACTTGTGAACCGTACAGAAAGCATTCGTAGTACTTGATAATATTTGGGCCATCTCGTGCCTGCCTGAGAAGAGCGACTTCGCGTTGGATGTCGACGATGCTCCCAGTGTCGTCGTCTGCTTCGAGGTCGATGATCTTTACGGCGAAGACCTGGCCGGAGGTGGTGTGGCGAGCTTTGTGGACCGAACCAAAGGATCCCTGGCCTACTGTCTCCAGTAGTTCGTATGATGGGGCAGTTGAAGCCATGGTAGTGCGAAGTGAAGGGAGGCCGGCTCCCACTAGCAAGGTCTAAAGAAAGTGTAGGCCTACTGGGAATACAGTATTTCGTGAGCACCCTCCATATTTCACCTGAATCTGAAACTGCGCAAAGCGGTTGCCACCCTCACCCATGGAAAGGGTATATTATTTATGCCGCTAAGAAAAGAACATACCTCAGACTTGTTTCATGGCGAACTCTTACTGTTTGTCGTGATGCTCTGATGACGGACAGACAGCTCGGCTGTAGAGCTGCTGTGTGGCGAGAAGTAAGAAACGATCGGAAGCAAAACAAGCAGTTGTCGGGAGTTATCCGACATCCCGACAAATTGTGCGGAAAATAATCCGAAACGGAACTGAAATCACGGGCGGGAGCCGTTCCTTGACCCGCTACAATTTCGCTACTACAAAATCTGTACGCCTCCTCGGTAGGCCCGCATCCCCCCTCCCCCATCCTTCTCGTGTATTTGCATGCAATCCCTTTCATAGCGTCCGCATTCCTTGTACTTTATATCAAAATTTAAATCAAGATGCTCCACGGAAACTCGATAAAGATCCTCACCGGTGCGTTCCTTGACCCCTACACACGATGGCCATTTTTATGACTAAATTTCGTCGATTTCCGATGGGTGGACATGAACGTAGGGAATAGCCATCCTGAGCTCGCCAAGTCTGTGGCTGAGCGGTGAGCAGTCTCTCTCCCCCGAGCTGCTTTGTCTCTGAACGAATGCCCATGGCGCTCCTCCCCGGCCCCACATCATCCAACCCAACATCTCAGACTCAACATCCCCCTCACACCATGCACCGTCGTCAAATTCTCTAACGGAGAGGTCAACGTGAAGATCTCCGAGTCCGTCCGTGACGAAGACGTCTTCATCATCCAGTCGTCCTGCGCAGATGTCAATGACCACCTCATGGAACTTCTCATCCTCATCTCCGCCTGCAAAGGCGCTTCAGCACGTCGCATCACTGCTGTCATTCCGTGCTACCCCTACGCTCGGATGGACAAGAAGGACAAGAGTCGCGCACCCATCACCGCGAAGCTTGTCGCGAATATGTTGGCGGTAGCAGGATGCGACCATGTTATTACGATGGACCTCCATGCGAGCCAGATCCAAGGATTCTTCGACTTTCCGGTGGATAACTTGTACTCGGAACCGCTCATGATCGCGTATATCAAGCAGAACATAGAGGATTGGCAGAATGGGGTCATTGTCAGTCCAGATGCGGGAGGGGCGAAGCGGTGAGTCACTTCTAGTCCGTGTTCAATCTCTCTTGTCTCTGGCCTGCGTGCGTACCCGACGAGTATGGTGGTTTTTGTGGTCAAGGTTCGTAGTTTCGGAGGACTGTTCGCCTGTGGCGCATCCTGGCGTGGCACCCATGGATGTCTGTCCTTGAACAGAGTACCTGATCGGAGAAATCGATTTCAAATAAAGCAGACAGCTCTCCTCGGCCGGCTCACAAGCAAGTCCGATTTTGTTGATTTCTGATCTGCGGACGTTTATTCGTCCTCGTTCTACAGACGTACGTGTGGCACGACGCACGCCACATCGTCCTTGCCGTCAACGCATTTCTATACCTGTCTCACGTTCTTCGGACTGACCAACACTCTATCATCGCAGAGTCACTGCTATCGCGGACAAACTCGATCTCGAATTCGCCCTCTTTCACAGAAAACGGGAAGGCAAGGCCGAAGACGCACCGGAGAAGATGGAGCTTCTCGTCGGTAGCGTCAAGGACAAGGTGCGTCCTCTCCTTCCTCCTTCTCTCCCACTTCAATGTTACACTTTGGAAGGTAGATGAGCTCAATCGTTCTCCATTTCTAGGTTGCGATCGTGGTCGACGATATGATCGACACGGGTAGCACCCTTACCTTGGCTGCCAAATCATTACGGGACAACGGAGCGAGCAGAGTCCACGCTATCATCTCGCATGGTAGGTCTCCGACTGCTTCGTTTGCCCACACTGGCAGATAGTAATTTATTTTTTCTGTATTACGCAGGCCTCTTCTCCGAAACTCGGATGCAGACGATCGATTCCCTCCCCATAGACACCCTCATCGTACGCTCCCTTTCCTCCTCACCTCTACTCCTCCAATCCACTCACGTACCCCTATCCACACATCGCAGGTAACGAACACAATCCCACAACACGAACACCAAGACCTCTGCGCGAAGCTCGTCACGCTCGACATCAGCCCCACAATCGCGGAGAGCATCCGTCGGACGCATAACGGAGAGTCGATCAGCTTACTGTTTGGTGACTGGGCGAACGCTGCTGCAGGGATGAACGGGTTCTGAACGCTTTTGGTTGTCCTTCTAGAGCCGTAAGACGACACACGACACCTTTCGGATTTCGGCCTTGATCCATCCCTTGAATGTGAAAGCTCTCTGCCATTCGACCTTCGGTTTTTGAAGATGAAGATGGATGCGAGGACTTGAGTATCCGCTGGGAGTTTTTTTGTGCGTGTGGTTTGTGTGAGTGAGAGGTCGAGATTGGAACAGTTTAGATGCGGATGTGCGGAGGTAAGTATTATGATGGGTTTGTGGTGGTCGACGAAGCAAAAGTAAGGGGCTAGGTGACTTTGCCCTTTCACCGATCTTCAGTGGTTATACGTCATCCCAATATTTGTAGCTATCATCCACTTGTTTGATGGTCCGGGGGACGTACAGGAATTAGCAGTAATCATAGATGAAAGATCATGAACCGTTGTATTTATCTACCCTTTGAGGTTTCGGTTCGTCGTGCGCGTAGGTAGGTCCTAGGAGCCCTCCTTGCGGGGCCGGGAAGGGAATATTAGAAGAGTCAGGAGCGGGTGTTGTAGACTATTATATGTCGTGCGTCGTTCTACTTTCTCTATGCGCTTTACTTGACTCTGCTCATCCATAATCCCCCTCTGACTCAACAGACAACTGCATCCTTCACGAATTCAGTGAAAACCTATATCCACGCTTCGTTTTGGCCACTTCGTTTACGTGCTCTTCCAACCGCCACGGTGGCGTGGCGCAAATCCCTTCAAGTTCGGGCAACAACCCCTATCCTGTCCTAGTATGGGAGACAGAGATCCTCATCCAGCGAGCGACATCCCATCAGAGCTCCACGTTTCTTGCACGCGACTCGGGACCGCAGCTTGTCTTCCTGCTGGTGGGAACGGCTCGAAGATGCGTATTTTTATCTTCCCATGAAAGGGCCTCGCAATGGGAAAAGAACCGTTTCGCCGATGCTACTCTGTTTCACTCTCTCGAGCCTTGATATTATTGTTTTTCAGTGGTATCCTGACTTGTACTTTTGGATTTTCTAATATCTAGAATGCATTCTTTCGATGCACACTTCCTATTGTGTGGACTGCATACATAGAACGACCTGGTTCTGCTTTCCCTGCATCGTCGATGTTCCTAGCGTCTGGGGCACACGGCGTCTGCTATATCAATACCGGTACAGAGGGAAAAGGTCGGGCAGCATGAATTACTTTGCTTCTGACCGACTCTCCGAGGTAATAACTTCCTCGTGCTCATTTTCACAAAGCTGGTGTACACCACTGTGACCCTTCGACACTACTGCACAGAAACATGGCAGCATTCATGGCTATCCTCAGAATTGTAACCCCGCCCTGACAGCATAGTTGCGGCACAGTGTGCCTATGCCAAGTATTCGCATTATTAGACTCATCAGCCACGCCTTCGCTAGCTTCAACAAGCTGTCCTTGGCTTGCGCAGCGCTCATGTTTTGGTGCACGACGACACCACTCACTCACATTATTCCGACGGCCCCATCTATGCACACAGTTCGCTACCGACGGACACTCCGCTGTTCACCCCACAATCTCCATCCTTCACCCTTCGTACCCGCTAACGACCTCCCGTAGTACGGTAAGGTTCCCATCTAGTCGACCCGGTGGGAGGAAGAGCGTGGCATCTCCCACTCCATCCCACTACGATGTTCCCCATATTCCATCGGTAGCCGAAGGGGCGTGGAAACTAGTGAGTTAGCAATGGGTTGGCGATGGGCCGGTGTCAGTGGGTGGAAGTGGGCGTTGCCTACATGGCATAGCGCGGAGGGAGAGGACTTTTTGCGGTGCTATGTATATGGCGTTTCATCACCGTGTAAGTTCATTAACGAGCTTTCGTGGTGCGATAAGTACGGTCGGTCAGAACTTCAGCACTCCCTCATCTACTGCCTGTCATCTCCATTCTAATCATCACCTCCTCCTCTTCTCCCTGGTCGCTAATGTCCACGTCTACGTCTACCGCGCCGATGGCGACAACGATAAAAGACGACATTCAGGTTTCCAGCCATACTACCCTGACATTGACTACCACATCCCTCCACAACTTAACCATCTCCTCACAATCCGACCACATCTTCTACGAAATCACGACTCCGTCATGGGAGCCCGAGATTACTAAACTCAGACGACGTGACCCCGATCTCGGACAGTTCGATTTGGTCGGGGAGATCAAGTACGACATTGGTGGACATGGTTCTGGTTCCGAACATGGTGCTAATGGGGACGCGGATGGGGATACAGCAAGCGATGATACGAGGGTTGGGTGGAGTGGTGGTGGTGGCGGTGGGAAGGGTAAACTCGGACTTGGAAAGCGGAAGAAGATTGATAAGGGGAAAGGCAAGGCAAAGGACGAGGGTGAGGAGGAGGAGAATGCGAATCCAAATCCAAATCCGAATGCGAACGGGCAGAAAACGGAGTATGAGAGTAATCGGAAGAAGAGGGGAAGGCCAGTTGAGGTGAGGGTTTGGGGCGAGTTATACAGAGGAATAGAGGAGTGGTTGCCTAGGGCTGAAGGACAGGATAAAGTGTATGTGTCCCCACTACTTCACAAAACCTTATATTGCGTCGCATGAATTCAACACATCTCCAGAACGGGCAGGTTCAAAGCCAGGGACGGTACGATGTTCTTGTGGCGGCGGGGCCAAGACGCTGATCTCGAGGTATGTAGCCTTTTTATGGCACCATTCAATCGAACATAGCATCATTGAACATTGGCTTATTTCTTTTTCGCTAAATCGCCTGCATTCTGTCTAGCTCGTGAACGAATCGTCCCCGTCTTCACCTCCCGTCGCCACCTATCACCGCCATAAACGATACCTTGGCCTCCTCCGGATTAGGCAGTTTCCCACTATTGTTGTGGAAGCAAGCGTTCTCGATACGCTGGATAGCCTTATCTGTACGTTCTCTTGTCCGCTCCTTTTCGTCCTTCGTCGGCTGACTGTACACACTGTGGCGGCGGCGTGGATAACTACAGTGTCGTGGCTCTTGATCGAGCGGCGGAGGCGGGAATGCTCGCCAGTGATTATTGGTGCGGGGCAGAAGCGGGACGAAGCGTAGAGTTATTACAAGCACTTTCGAAACACCATCACATATTGCCACACAGAAACATGCAAAGAGAGCAAAGACAAGCCTGAGCAAATCCTGAGTCTCTGGCCAAATACAGGTATTACAGGAGGTGTTCATCACTTCACTTCGGAAGCAACGAAGTTTTGGTATATTCATCTCATTCACAGAAAATAGTACAACTCGCTGAATAACAACAAAGACGTCGCGACCGGTGACGTTCAAGAGCGAGAAGCAGATGACCTCGCGGGGGTCATGTCTCTATGTCGAAGAACCATTTTCCGTTCCCACTGTAGCGTCCATACGGGTGATAGTAGAAGTCGAGCTCTTGACGTGGCTTGTCTATTCTATGTCTATAAATGAAACGGACGGTGAGCTCCATGTGTCCAACGTTATCAGTCATAGATGTAAGGACCTACATTTCTAGGAGGTGCTTCGTAATTTCTCTGCGACGCATCCATACCACTGTGTCAAGCGAAGGTCCCAGCGGCAAGTAATGAGGGTGCAATGTGTAATGCGCTGTGCAGTGTGAGCAACCCCAGCCTCTTTCGGCCTGAGCTCCATCATCAACTTGACGTCGTCCTGCCCCTGAGAGGAGTTCGGACCCATGGTCGCACTGCGCGGGATCTTTCTTAATATCCATTTCCAAAACATGATCTAGCTGTGAGGATTCAGGAGTTGAAGTCAGTGAGGGGTATGTGGGAAATAAGTAGAAGAAAATCTCACATGAGATCTCCAAGACCTAGGCTTTCGCGGGCAACTCAGACTGTGACAAAAAAACTGTGGATCTAGATGATACAGGTCCGCCGTTGTCGTTGTTTCCGGATCCAGACCAAGCAGTTTGAGCATTCCGAGAACTATGGCCTGAGCAGACGCGTTGAGAGACGGAACGTCGCAATCATCGTAATCAAAACGAGCCGTGAGGATCTCCAGCCCATACAGAGCATAATACTCCAGGCTATCATCCGTAGTTTCCTCATCAAGGTACAGGCTAACTTGGGTAGTTTGCGGATTGCGAGTGTAAACATTCTTCGCTAACTGCAACTCTCGTGGTATATCGAAGGGAGAACACGGTGCAGAATCGGTAAGTGTAGCCGGGGGAAGAGAGGAGAGTACCAATGTCTTGAGCCTGACTGCCCTCGCTTCGATTTCCTCAACCGAGTCCTGGATCGCTTGCTGCACGCGGGCCTTGAAATCGTCGTTGGGTTCTAAGTCATCTTTGAGGAGAGGCACGATCCGGCTAAGCCTGTCAAAGTCAACCGTTTTTGGCAGAAACACCAGACTGTGTGGATGAAGTGCCGTCCAATACTCGGCATACTGTGTATGTATTAGTTCGGCGCGACGCTCCTTGCGACCGACACGCTCGCGCCACAGTCTCTTGGACTTAGCACTCTCGAGTCCATCTTCAAGATGCGGAAATATTTTGGCAAAAACTAAGAGTGCAGAGCATGGAACGTGAGCAACCTAGCACGGGAGAAAAAAAAACCATAGGTAGTTACTTCGCTTGGACACGGGTTTATCGCTCCGAAGTGACTGTATTTCGTGATGCGATGCAACTGCAACGAAATCGGCAGTTGTATATCCCTTAGCCACGCATCGCTGCTCGACTCTATATGAAGATGTAAGTCCCTACGCTAACTGAGGAAGGTCACTGATACTTACTCTGTACGTCGCTTTGCCCTATCCAAGTAAATGTCAAATAACTGTGCGTTTTCCAGACTACGGGCCCAGTTCTTGCACATAGCCACATGCTAGAATGAATACGACTTTGAGAAGATGTCAACGTGATAGGAGATAAAGATTCTTACTGTACGCAGATCCTCGCCCGACTGGGCTCGGCTGTCCAGGAGAGACTGAATTTTCTCTTTCTTTTCTGCAGGCTGGAGGCCCTCAGTGAGGATGATCATTTGCGATTGCAGATCGAGTACGTCCTGCTTGAGGAACCAAGCACCACGTAGCAGTACACCTCTCGAGTCCCGTGGGTACACTAGTATACAAAATGATAGTGAGTAGATATTGCATGAGCGGGGTTGGGCGGCTTGACTCACCGCTGGCGTTGGGCAAATAGGCGAGCCACTCGGGATCCGATACAAGTTCAACCGCGTCGTTTCCGCGGATGAGGCTACATAAAAACAGCGGAGGATCGATATCAGGCCCTGCAACCGTCTCATACGTTATATACTGTAACTTTTACCTGGTTAGCAGACATGGATTGCATGCTCGGCGACGATGCCAGAAATCAATCTCGTTATCAGTCTTCGCTCCACACGTCTGCACCAGTGAATACTGATCATTAGTACAATGCTACGATGACCAAAAAAATTGTGACAATATTTTACCTGGCAGAGGGGGACTCCAAAGAACAGGTTGATCCAGGCAATTTCGGACCAACCGTCCGGACAAGGTGGGGGAACGACTGGAAGACCAAGGTTCTGCCAAGACGACTTCCATAGACTAGCACGGCTTCGAATCGGCAGTAATTGACGAAATTCTTTGGAGACACGCGACAGATGGAGAAGGCTGGCAGGAGTGAGGTGGCTGAATATCTGCAGTCAAATGCATAGTTAGCAAGAACACTCTAGCTTTCTGGGAAGAGTGAAGTTGAACCTCAAAAAGAATGTCTAATGGAAGAGTGGGGAGTACGCTGAGCAGGCCTTGCTTTCGCTTGGAAAGTCCCTTGCTCTGTTTCTTCATTGGCGCGGCGTTGGACGACGCGACGGTCTTCGCTCGTTTGGCCGGACGTGGTGTTAATGACGTCTCTGCACGCGTGGAGAATGGTGTCGTTTGGTTGTCAGTAAAAACAGCACGTATATGTTTGAGTATAGATGACTACCTTGATTATCGGTTGAAGTAGAGCCAGCTACAGCCTCGACGTCAGATGTCGCCTGGCTGACTTGTCGCCGGACAGGAAGTTTTCCGGACTTGGCTCTCGTCACGACAGGCATTGCAGAGATTTATCAAAATGGAGTTGAAGAACAGTGTCGAATATGACGATGGGGGTGGCGTGGTGAGAACGAAAAGGAACGAGAGACAATCATCGTGCGACGCAATCATCAATGCATCCTCGCACACGGTCATGTGACACGTGTCTGTGTCAAATCTCCCACGGTGCCACAGCTCGGCCTATGAAGGTCCCTCCCGATTTTTCAATATGCAATATAGGTACCAGATTATATATTTATCTCCATAACCATTAACAGCGAGGGCAAAGTCTCTTCCTACTCATAAGGAGTCGTAATCCACAGATCGTCTAACTTGTCTACTCTTCAAATCATGTAGGAACCAACGCCCCACCCATCATAATCTGCTCGAACATCTGCAACGCCGCTTGTCCCCTGGCCAGATCCCCGTACTCATATGCTGGGACCTCATGCCCGGAGCCATAAAACCGGATGTACGAGAAGTTATCGGCATTCTTGTAGAGACCTGCGACAGTACCATTGACGGTGTAGTTTGCGAAGGATTGGGAGGCCCAAAGAGAGCTGGTCGAGGTTTGGAGCGCGTCGATCTAAAATTGAAAACAACGTTATTCGAAATGTGATTGATGGTGATGGGGAGAAGGGAGACGCACCGTCGCTTCGTCGCCCATGTAGTTGCAGATGAAGTCCTGAATCGGATAAGACAAAGGTCAGAAAAATATGCGAGGCGTCAGGTACGGGAGAAGCTTACAGCGTCACCATTGTAGAGCACAACTTTGAGCTGTCCACCGCAAAACACCAATCGTCAGCATCACACTCTACATATCCCTGTGCTTTTGCTCACCCCAGCAGCGATAACCTTCTCCAAATAAGGACTCTTCGTCCTCATCCAATCGCCTGTCGCCGCGAAGTTATCGTAGACCGTGGTACTCGTTTCCTGCCAGTCAGCCTCCGCCCCGATCGCGTCCGTAATGCTCGAATTCGTGAGGTACGGTGTGATGTCGGGCGGGTAGTCGTCATTGGTAGAGAGAACATAGTAGACATCGTAGTCGCCTGCGAGAGGAGAGAGAACGTTGTTGTTGCAGTAGGACTGGGCCGAGGAGCAGACTGAGTTGCTGCCGTTGTTATTGCAGGCTTCGATCTGTACGGGCACGGTGAATATGGAGAAAGAAAGGAATAGATGAAGGGGTGTCATACTTGGTGCTGGCAGCCATTGGAAGAATACATTGACGTGTTCGCCCTGTTATAAACAGTCGACGATACCAATGGATGGTACCTGAACTAGGGGTCATTTTCACTGTCAAAATCGAGGAAAGAAAGGAAGCTTACGGGTTGTTCTGGGAATAGGTAAGATATTGAGGGTACTGCGCCATAGCATCCTAATGTACATTATTTTTGAGTCAGACATGACCCGACATTCTTTGAACGTGAGATGCGAGGAAATACCGTGAGACCGTTCCCTATACCGAGAGTCTTGAAGTTCAAAGGAGTGCCAGACACAGTCCCGTTCGCGATACCAGCAATCTGGTCCATGAAGTATCTGAAGTGAAGATCATCTCAACAATTACACCCCGCGTCATCGTGTGGAAAGCGTTCTTACGATGCGAAGGTAGGTCCGTAATGGCCTCCGTATCTGAAGTAATCGTGAATAACCGCGTCGTTTAGCAAGAATGTGTGGCACATACGACTCCGTCCAGATGGCAAAGTCGTTTGCCGCGTACTTGCTGAACCGCTCATCGGTGATCCAGATCTGCATGAAGTCCCAGACATCTGAAGCGGCTTCTTCGGAGGTACCAACCGTAGAGGTTCCATAGGAGAAACCAACGCCTACTGGCTGATCGATGAAGAGGCTATTTATGATACCCAACCAACCATCCCTCATAAGTGTCTCTATTAAATATACTGTGCAGGATGTGAAGACGACGTACACGTTGGCGTACTCATTCCACGCATAGGGGTTCAGCGATACAGTCGAGCTGTCGTTATTGATCCGACATGGCCCTAGCTCCTGGAACAACCCAATCATACTTGAACTTCCAGGCTAACGTCGCGAGAAATGCCGATTAGTACACTGCATTCGGCAGAAATGTTGTGCCGCACGCACACCGCCATTAAACCAGGTGATGAGGGGTGCGGTATCCGGATTGTTACGCGCTTCGAAGAACCAAAACCTGCACAAAACCACGCATGGTCAGTGATCTGCAGCCATGCGCTCTAACATGGTATCGGTCGTCGGAGCATGTGCGAGGAACATAGACGCACCAGACACTTTCGTCTTCGGAAAGGTCGCCATAGCCCGATGCTTGATAAACTCCCTCTGTGGTCTCTATGAATAGCATAATCGTCAGTGTCACTACCCATCCAAAGGAACCTTCGAGGAAATAACACTCACCACAGATGCCCGAGTTCTCCGTGACACGCAGAGCTCCTGGTGTAGGCGTAGAAGCTCGGACGTCACTGGCCAAAGTCTCCAGATTTTTGGTTGTCGAGTCAGAGGTCCTTACACCGCCAATAACACCATCGACAACAGGCACTTGACCAGCAGAGACTGACGAGGCATGTAGAGCACCAAGGCCAAGACCAAGTAGCGACAGCACGACCGAAGGCATGGTGAGGGGCGTCGTCGTCAGTGATGGGGACCGCAAGCCTCGAGCGGCTGTCTTTATATAGTCCAGCACGGTGACAATTAACGCTAGAAGCCTACAAGTCCATAGGAACGCGGTGCATCCCGGGAGGAAGGTTCAAGAGGGGTCAAGACATTCCGAGTTGACCGTACCTAGCTCCTTAGGTCAATTACCCTATTCGAACACAAGGATACGCTTCGAAGAAGACAACACGCACATGCTATGGACGGCTCTAGATAGATAACTTACAAGACACGTATTGTTTGCCGACGTCGCTGAGCGTGTGTTCCTTCCAGCCAAGCGTTTGAAGAATGGAGAGGGCAAGGTCTGCTGCCTCCAGCAAGGAGCTGATTTAGCCCGCGCCCATACATAAACTCGAAGCTTATTGAGCCTGATCTTCGGAGAGACAGCTTGTCGATATCTGTCGTCCCAACCGCATGGTGCTCAAATGATTATGCGAAGAAGTAGGAAGATGAAAGCAACGGTTGGTTTTGTGCAAACGCTTGCAGAGCTTGAATCATGCGAAAGATGGGGGTTGTTCGGGCTCAGAGGACCGCATAAATATTTAGCCTCATTCTCACGGGTGCCACCATTGGCATATGGTGCTGGCGGGACGCCACGCGTTGTTGGCAAGCATTTCTTTCTCTTGAAGTTGGGATCCTTCAACTTGAACCACCGTAAGGAGTTTTACCATGTTTTACCACTGTCTTCGTATTTCCAAGAACATGTCATTCGGGTCGGTCAACAAATGCGAACGCTTCGCACGAAGGCAGGCATGTTCTTGGCTAACCTACAAACAGGAAAGAAAAGGCGAAGCATCATGGCACCGTACCCCCTACGCTTTCGCATACCCTTGCGGACCTACTTTCCCTCGCTCCCAAGTGGGTGAGTGAATTAGTGCTAGCATAGCAAGACATGCCGTATTTGTGAGGACGTTCCCGCACTGTGGCCTGCACGTAGTCTACTAGGCTTCCATTCCTGAAGGCCTGACCCCCACGCCGATTATCATCGCACCACAACTCCTCTCTGAGTCCTCGTTCGACATTTTTCAATATACTCATGACGGGTACCATATCCTGCGACGAGAATACCTAAGTCTCTCACTTCGGGCGTCACGTCGGTATTTTGGGCCCTGGAGATGCAACCAAGAAGCCTTATCAAATCGAAATCGGCGATATGGGATACTTCAAAGGCAATGTCTTTCATCGTCCTTTCAATATCCACCAGCTCGAAGACCACGAGTACAATTCTCACTGGAAGCTCGCCGGTCCCAACGAGACACATCGAGCCCAAAACCTGATCATGCCGAGATTCTATGGTACCGACGGGATGAAAGCAAAGCACGGGGGATCAGAAGTTGCGCTGAATAGGTGGGCCCATTGACATCTACCTTTTACATCCACAATGGAGACGAGTATTTGACTTTCTCACAGTCTAGATGCCTGGAGCTCGATCGTTGACGGTCTTATCGAGTTCTCCTGCACAGAAGATGAGCGTGGTGCCGTGATACACCTCCACGGACCCGCCTTCGTGGACGAAACAAACAACAGAAGTGAATACCAGGATCACATCCGGAAGTACGCTCCCGCTTGGATCGAACTGGCCAAACGCCGCGATGAACATTTCGCCTATGAAGATATTATCCTTATCACAGGCGGCGTCTATGCGGCATTGGACTCTGGCTTCCTTCCCCAAAGACACCGACATCGCACTTACATTCGGAGAGGACGGAACCACTTTATCTTGGAGGAATGGTTGTGAGAGCACCGTCACTAGGTCATCGCCTCCGCCACCCCAGTTCCCTGCAGAAGGACTGCCTTGTATATTCGTAAGAGGGCTTACCGTCTCTGCCAGAGCTCACCTCTCCGTATCTGAAGCAGAAACGGGCGTAGAAGAAAGTCCGAACGAGATCCTTCCTATATGGGAGTTGTTCATCAAGGTATGTCCGCACTCGCATTTGCTATCTGACTAGGGTGGCTGAGAATGGAACATTACTAGGCTCTCCCGACGGTCCCAGTCTCGCACAATGATGATGGCAAATGCTATTTGACCTGTGTGGGGTTTCTGAGGGGCCGTTTCGGCGATGCCCTCGAACAGCACTTCCTCGACACCAGAGACATCTTCTATCTCAATGCTTCACCAACAAGCCATTCAATTTTGCCCACCCGGAAGCGAAATCCAGACCTGTTTGTCCCTCTGTAGTCTTCGACTACTTCAATATCGATTCAGTCTCGAGTCGAATGAAGCAGACGCAGACTTGGGGCTCGTTCTAACCCAAAAAGCACTCGACTCCGCATCTGCCAACGATCCCTGTCGACCCGGGTTAATGTGCGCTCTCAGCTCTTGGCTGTTACAGCGTTTCGAGAGACGAGGAAACCTCGTCGACATCGATGCCTCTATTCTGAATCACGAGGAAAGTATTGACCTTACGCCCGACGACAAACCCGGGAAGAGTCACTGTCTCAAGGGACTGGCTCGCAGTCTTCGTTCCCGCTATAATGCAATACGCGATATTCGGGATATTGATAAAGCCATAGCAAGGCTTCAGCAGGCAGTATCACTTTCGCGCTACGGGACACCTAGTAAAGAAGGTTCACTCGGTGATCCGGCGATGCTATGTGACCTTGGGATTGCGTTGCGTCTGCGCTTTGAGAATGGAAATCGTGTGGCGGACCTCGATGCAGCCATAGATGCTCATAGAATGGCTATTGATCTCGTACACGAAGGCGACCCATTGATGTGCAGCGTTCTGGGTGCCTTGGGCGTTGCGTTTCTAACTCGGTTCGAGCACTCCGGCCACGCCGTTGACATCGATTCATCTGTCGCCGCTCTCCGAGATTCTGTGAAACTTTCTGAAGAAAAGTCTCCGGCCCATTTAAACAACCTCGCTTTGGCGCACACCCTCAGGTTCATAGGTTTCGGGCAGTACGACAGCAGCAAAAACCCGCTCGCGCCTGATGGACGTGGATTTCTTCAGGAAATACTGAGCTCTTTGGATCTACCGTCGTGGCGAAGACTCAATCCAAGCGGGGATGTCGCAGACATCGACGAAGCCATTCGACTGCGGGAGCGAGCTCTATCATTGATCTCGGGCCACCTTCCAGAAAAAATGTTATGCCTGTACAATCAGGCGCACCTATACGAGATTCGATATAGACACTTTGGGGAGGGTGAAGACCTCGATAGAGCAATCGTCTTATTTTACGAGGCGATGAACAACAGGACCGGAAGCCCCGTCGATAGAGTACGTGCTGCATACCACGGCGCAGATGCATACTACACCCGTCATCGTGCGCATGACCTAGATGCCCATCGAGTGGCGATGGAGCTCATTCCTTCCATCGTTTGGATGGGAAGGCCTCTCGAAGACCGATACGAAGCAACCAAAATCGTTCAATATTCGGCTATCCACGCAGCGGCGGCAGCGATAGATTCGCACCGGCTCGATCTGGCACTCGAGTGGCTCGAGATTGGGAGAAATATCGTATGGGGTCAGATTCTTTCTCTTCGGACCCCTCTCGATGACCTTCGTGAAGTCGACCCGGGACTCGCAGGCCGACTAGGAGGTGTGTTCAGTGCGCTGGATCATAGTGGGCCATCCACAGAAGTTGTGACCGAATCGAGCTCGGAGGTCACGGTCGAACGTGGGATTCAGACGCGCCACCGGCTGGCAGAAGAGAAGGATGATCTTCTTGAACGAGCACGCAGGATACCGGGCTTCGAGAGGTTCATGCTCCCAAAGAGATTCTCTGAGCTCAGAGCAGCCGCACGCTCCGGTCCAGTCGTCGTAATCAATGCTGAGACCGAGCGATATACTGCGCTTATCGTACGAGATAATGAGGACAGCATCATCGAGGTTCCACTCCCTAATCTTACCCGTGCACATTTGGTGAAGCTTTCGTCTGCATGGCTGAAGGCATTGGAGGACTCGGGGATATACTTTGGCTCACGGCGTGGGTTGAAGAGAACGAAAGCATCGTCGTCGAACCCGATTGTCGTTATTGAGAGGATCTTGGGAGATCTCTGGACGAATGTGGTCAAACCTATCCTAGACGAAATATTACGCACGGTTAGTATATCTCCATACGCCTTATCATCGTCTCCGACTGAATTCATTCGGTCGGACAGTGTTTACAAGACGAAGGCAAACTCCTCCACGTCACATGGTGTCCAACTGGCCTGCTTTCCGCTTTACCTATCCACGCTGCCGGTCTTTACCGCGCGCAAGACCAGAACCTCCCGCCTCTTCAAACACGTCGTGTCCTCCTACGCACCTAGTCTCAGCGCTATCCTGGCGGCTCAAAGACCTCGCAAACAGGGCTCCGAAGGTATCTTGATCGTAAGCCAGCCATCGACCCCAGGCTACACGCCACTCCCCCAGACCACAAGAGAGGCAGAAAAAGTCCTCCATCGCACATCGCACATGCCCAACTCATGGCTCAAAGGAGAGCACGCGACCACTTCCTCCGTCCTTAGGGAACTCGATCGCTTCAGCTGGATCCACCTCGCCTGCCACGGAATCCAAGACCCCCACCAAGCAACTAATAGCGGTTTTCAGCTTCAAGACGGAAGGCTCACGCTCTCGGCCCTCACGCGTAAAAACTTGCCCCACGCAGATTTCGCGTTTCTGTCGGCGTGTGAGACGGCGATGGGGGATATGAAACGTTCGGAGGAGGTTATACATGTGGCGGCGGGGATGTTGGCAGTTGGGTACAGGTCGGTCGTGGCGACGATGTGGTCGATTCGGGATGAGGATGCGGTGAGGGTGGCGGATGCTGTTTATGCTTTTATGATGAGGGACGAAGATTCGAACGCGGGTGGGAAGAGTGTGAGTGCAGCATACGCGTTGCACAAGGCTGTGGGGCGGCTGCGAGAGACGGTCGGAGAGAGAAATTTTCTTTCATGGATGCCTTTCATACATATGGGCATTTGAGTGGCTGGAAGGTTCAAGGGCACCGCATATCTTTGATGGATCTCTGTGTACGATACGTTCAAAGCGCAAAGCGCACTGTGCGGACAATGAAGCTCCGGGTGATGAGTAATTTATGGTATTCAAAACTTTAGCATGGTAACAAATGCTGTTATCACTTGGTCAGTCAGAACACCATGAAAGTAAGTTGAAGCTCACTTACCTCAACCCTCTACATAATACCTGCATCCCTCGCTACGAATGCTGCAATCAATATCACCACCAACGCCATCAACGCGGTCCCCTCTCCCATACCCCACCCCACAACATCCCCCCACCTTACCTCCCCCATCCGCGCCGCCTCCCTCACAACGCCCTCCAAATCCCTCGCCATCGCCTCCATCCCAAACTTCTCCCTCGCCCTCCTCCTCGCCCTCTCCCCCAATTCCCTCCGCTCATCCGCACCCATCCCCACAATCTCCTCCAACGCCTCCGCCCACACCCCCGCCTCGGGCTCGCGTAACCATCCCGTTCGTTCAGAGGCTGGGAATTGGACTACACTCTCGACGGGTCCGCCGGAGGAGCAGGCGAGGACGGGGAGGGCGCAGGCCATGGCTTCGACGGGTCCGATGCCGAAGTGCTCGTTTGTGGGTGTGTAAAGTAGAACAAGCGTAGATGGAGAAGTCAGCAAGGCCGACCTCTGTGCTGTCGTAAAATTGAGGAGGAAGGTGATGTCGGGGTTGGAGGGCGTGGTGTTGAAGGGCGGAATGGTGACCTTGGAGTCTGAAGGGGTTAGGATGGTGTAGGAGAGGGAATGCGATTTGGCGAGGTCGATGAGGGAGACGAGGGTCATCATATTGTCCTCGACGCGGGGGTCGTAGCCACCGGCGATGACGAGGCGGGAGTTGGTAAAGGATGTTGAGGTGGAGGTGGGTGAGGCGGCAAGAGATTTGCGGAGGAGGGCGAAGGAGGTGATGGCGAGTGCGACGTTTTTCTTCTTTTCAAAGCGGTTGAGGGAGAGGAGAGTTGGGCGATCGCTATGTGAGGACGTGCACAGTATTAAATTCAGATGTTCATGGGGCGACGCAAGGCAGGGTGCCACACAGATGGGACCATCACACCGAAAAGCGGAACACGCACGAGCTAATCTGCTGTATGTCCGGGTCTGACCTATCGATCTGCATATCATACGCAGAGAGATTGATGCCAGGATGAACGACGCGTGGAGTTGCCGGTATTGAAGGGAAATAAGACTTGAAGACCCTAGCGGTGAAGTTCGAATTCGCCAAAATCATATCTGCCTGGCCTAAATTACATTCGCGAATCAGCATCTATTGCTCCTCTACGGAAATCCCCTCCACATTCCATAACCCAAAGTGCAAAGAGAAAACAACTCACGCGTCGTGACCTCCTCGACCCAATCCATCGGCATTCGATAAACCCTCTTCAACCACCCGCCTCTCATCCTCATCTTACCCACATCCTCACTAAACTCCCCATTCGCAAGTAGCTTGTCGGGGAAATGACAATAGAAGACGACTCTTCGGCCTGCGAAGAGACGGAGGAGGGGGACGCAGGTGGAGAGTTGGTCGACGAAGTAGACGTCGTGTTGTTTCGCGAGTGAGTTATCCTTTGGAATTGTGGGTGAGGACTTGGATGAGGGTGTAGATGATGATGGTGGTGAAGAGAGTACGAGACGGGAGGTGAGGTGGAGTTGACGGAGGTGGGCTAGGAGTATGTGGAATTTGCCCTTGATAGCTCGAGGGAAAGGTGGCTCGACGTTATGCACCCTCAGAGTCCCTGTCCACCGCAGCGAACCGAGCCACAAGCATCAGTACCGGTTCTCAATATTCAATACTTATGAAGGTATAAAACCACGCACCATCCCGGGTCTCGTCAAAACAATGTGTCGGGTCGTGATGTGATGTATATATGTCGACTGAATGTCCGAGTTTTTGTAGACCAAGAGCTGCATCAACAACAAGACGTTCTGCACCACCTGTTTTATTGGAAACGTCAGCAATGATTGATGTAAAATTGGATGGTTTCTGACTTGCCAATCCCCAGGTCAGGGTGTATAAACGCGATGCGCAAACGAGGGGTAGGGTCCGTCATGGCTGCCGTCAAGTAACGCTCTGTCTGTACGACTTAGACTTTGAGCAGCCAGACTTTTCTCTGGATAATGAACCAGGGGGGTCTACGCGGCAACGGAGTGCGAGCAATGGGTATATGGTTGAGGTTCTGAATGGGAGGATGTTCGAGTGAACCCACAGCTTGTGGCACCACGACTCGGACAAGATGCCACGACGCAACGCCACACTCGTTCGATACGATAGAAGTGATGTGGCCCACCCAATTATCTCACACATACATGCTCAAATATTCGGATTCGCGATTCTTAGAGAAAAGGGTATGATTCGATAATAGCAAAAAAAATAGTTGGAAACCCATAGTCGAGCACTGTGAACGGATAATACTAAACGAGCACTGATTCCCATCACCAGAATTCATCCGCACTCATCCCGAAATCCTTAAACCAAGTATACTGATCCTTCGGCGACGCATAACTCTCGTCGTGTCCTCCGAAAAACGTACTACATCGACAGAACACAAAGTCAGCTTCCTCTCATGAAATACTAGGAGAAAGGGAGATCATAAAATCGGGAGAGAGAACGCACCTGAAGAACAATCCCTGAAACCCAACACCGCTCTCTTCATCCGCATCCGCGTTCCCGTCATCATTCTCCGAAACGACAAAATCGCCACCATCAGTGCCCTCCTCTGCATCGTATGTACCATTGGTGGAGGTAGCTCCGCTAGCCGTCGAGGTGACGGTGCTCGTAACTGTTCTCGTCGTGGTCGTCACAGTCGCATTAGGAGCAACGGTCTCCCACTCCGAAATAGCGAGCGTAATGACGTCCGGCTCGACCGACTGTGTCGCAGTGACGATCCGAGTAGTAGTCGTAGTCGTAGTCTGGGCCTCATCCACACCTCTAGGACCAGCATCAGTGTCGAAAACAACTTCTCGTCTCGGAGCAACTTCGACTTTCTCGCGTCCCTGCAAGCATCCTAAGCCAAGCAACCCACAGTCCTGCTTCCCACCACTACCACTACTCCATCCATCCGGCGGTCCGCTCGTCGTCGATTTCGCCTTATTTGCGCTCGTGGTCTCCGACTTCTCTTTCGTGCCTTCCTTCGTTTTGGCCTGCGATGGTGGAAACGATGGAGGCGGTGGAGGAGGAGGAGGTTTAACCCCCCTATAATAAACATCCCCCCTCTCAATAACCCTCTTCCCATCCACCTCAAGCACCATCCCACCATCCTGCTCCCCGGGCGTATTCAACCGTATCGTCTGCCTCACATGTGTCCATGCGCCTGCTTTGAACGTGAAAGAGCCACGGGCGAGCGAGAGGCCGTAGGTTGCGTCGCAGACGGATTGGGGAGGGAGGGAGCAGAGTGTGGGTGTTTGCTTGTCTTTTGGTGCGTACTGAGGAGAGTACAAGGTCAGTGCTCTTGCAAAATCGAAGAGGAAGGATAAAGGAAGAGAAAAGAAAAGAAGACTGACGAGATACATCTCCCCCCTGCCCTCCCCCCTCCACATCAACCTCGTACTAAAACAATCCACCGCCTCGTCCCCACCCGAACACCCCATCTTCCCACCATACAATCCAGGCAACTTCCCGCCCTTCACCCACTCGAAATCGACGGGGAAGAACACGCCGTATTGCAGCGTTACGGTTTTGGCGCGGGCGAGGACGGCGGGCGAGAGCGGGGAGGCGTAGAAGTCGGCGCCGCCGAGGGGGGAGGAGGGGTTGCCGGGGTTGATGGAGTTGGAGGGGTAGAGGAGTTGGAGGACGGGGGTGGAGTTCGTCCAGGGGGTTATGGGGAGGCGGGGAGGCGAGAGGATAGATGATGTCGTGGTGCCGTTGACTTGGGTTTGCATTGTCGTGATAGAGGTATTGGATGGGGAGGTGGTGTTGAAGTAGGTAGAAGTGGTGTTGAGAGACGTAGAGTTCGTGTCAGAAGAAACGTCATTCATGAACGTGCCGTTGAAGGGGAAATCCACGGTCGAAGGACCCGAAGTCGTGTAATTGGCACCCGTAACATCGACATTTGAGGCACTAGGTGTGAGCTCGCCGCTCGTCGCATTCTCCGTCCCAGTCGCGGTTGGTGTCAGCGCCGTCGTCGTCGTGCTCGAAGGATCCGCTATAGTGCTCGGTCCCATCGTCGTATCCAAGTCCACAACACCACCGCTCGTCGTAGTCCCAGTCGCCTGTCCATAAAGCGCACTCAGGCCCACGCTCGAATTCGAATTCGGAATAGCCGTCCCAGTCGCAATGCCCATAGTCGTACTCGTATCCACATCCGTAGTCGTCGTCGCATCCGCATCTGTGGTCATCGTCGCATCCAAACTTGTAGTCGTCACCGTCCCACTCGCCACCGTCGTCGTAGCCCCAGCGCTGGCCCCACTAGGTATCCCCGTCACAATCCTCATATTCTCCTTTCCCCCCGCAAACTTCCGCACACCGAACGTGCCCAAGTCGGTCATGTTTGTCGGGGCGGTCCAGAGGGTTGCGGAGGTTGAAGTGGGAGGTGGAGCTTGTGGGGGAGGTGGGGGAGAGGGAAGAGGAGGAATCAAGGTTATTATGGTGTTTGGGAATGAAGATGAGGGTGAAGATGAGGGCAAGAGAGAAGCGGAAAGGGACGGCGTTGATGTGGGTGAGGGAACGACAGGGATCACAATCGTAAACGCAGGTCCGGCTCCAATTCCAGGTGAGGCAGGAAAAGTAACAGTGATCATATCGGTCGGATTCGACATCGGCGTCGGGATCTCGTTAGAGGCGCCGACAGTAATGGTGGTATACGCCGTCAAAGTAGCCGTAGATGTGACCGGTGGCCCGGTGACGAGCCCAGGAATGAGATCGATATCCGTGATGGTGACGCGAGGCGGAGTCGTTGTTGTGGTCGTTGTTTCCACCAACGTGAGGGTGACCATTGCAGTTGGGTCCGAGTCCTCGTTGATTGAGGGTGCAGCTGCAGCTGCAGTGACAGAGCCCGTTGCAGTCGACGAGACAAAAGACGACATTGACGTGGGACTGTCTAGAGCCAGAACCATATCCGAGGCAGTAGACATAGTAGACCCAGCACCAAGCATATCAATCGACGACCCCGGAAGAGAAAGAACACAATCCTGCGTCATTGCGTTCGTCGTAGTTCCCAGTCCATCCATAGTCATACCATCACCAGCACCACCGCAGACCGACGGCTCGATAGGCATACCATTCACACCGTAATAGTGTGTCAAGTGAACGGCCGTGATAGTGATGAGACTAAGGGTGAGTGCTCGGGTCCTGGATCGTGGTCGGGATTGGTGCTGTGGATGATGTCGGAGTTGTGGCATGATGGTAGCCGGACTTCTCTAGGGTTTCTGGCGGCGAGAGTATAGAAGGAGAGGATATGTTGGGATGGTTGGTTCATATAGCTCGGGCTTGTAGTCAAGATGATTGAGACTGGTGGGCTGGGTGGTGGTGAGACATAGGCTCTAGACTCCTTGGTTGGCACTGTTCAGTCAAAAGCAAGACAGACTCCAGACCTAGGAATAGCTTGATTACGATCATTGAGGTTTAGAAACGGATAATATTCGCTGGGATGTAGGTTAGAGATCATGGGGAGTCTAAACATGAATTCGAGTGGATCATGGTCGAGACGAGGTTGAGGTTAGAGGAAGAGGGTGGCGCCTAATATTAAGCGCCACAAAAGTATCAAGCGCTGTCGATCGTCCGTCTTATCTGATAAGATCACAGTTATCCAGATCTTCCGTCATCATCCCCTCGCCATCGACATCTCTCAGTCTCGCCACACACCCTCCTCCCTACCTCTCCTCAGTGCTCACTCCTTCAACTCACAATCTCATCCCCATCAACCCAAACCCCTCCTATAACTCTAGATTAACCTAGCACTTAACAGTACACGATGCCCCCCAAAGGTGGAAACGCGAAGAAAGAGTCCGGGCGGGCGAAGAAGGCGGATAACGAGGCTAAGAAAGCGGAGGCTACTGCTGCTGAGAAGGTATGGGTCTTTGATTTTTCAACCCTCTTTATCAGGGAGTGGTCTTTGTACCGTTATATTCGTCCCGCTCGATTGATTGATCTGTACATCTTGGTCTCATGCTGACATATTCTCCCATCCACTCTCCATCCTCCATCCTCCACCCACCCTCCTCCTATCCATTTCTTCTATCACCCCATTATACACAAACCACCCTCTAGGAACGTCTCGAAGCTTCCAAATGGTCCGACGCCCCCGCTAAAGCCTCAAAATCCAAAGAAGACAAAGAAGAAAAACGCAAAGCCGAACTCGCGCGCAAAGCAGAGAACGCACGTTTGCTCGCCGAGGAAGAGGCTTCTGCGCCTACGAAACCCAAGCCTGCGCCCAAGGCTAAAGCCGCTGCTGGAACGAAGGGCGGTGCTGCAGCGAAGGCAGGAGGGAAGAAGGCAGAGAAAGAGAAGCCGGCGGGCCCGGGAGCGATCGCGGCTGGTGGTGGATTGGGTGGTGAGGGAGTTGGTGAGGGAGCAGGTGGGAGTGGAGGAGAGGGAGGAGAGAGACCTGGAATGCCGGAGAAAGTAGAGAGTTTCAGTGCGACGGGGATCGATAATGCTCTGGATTTGTTGGAGGTCGTCACTGCGAAGATGGACAAGGCGAGCGTGGGCAGCAAGGCGGCTGAGATCGAGAAGCATCCCGAGGTCGGTTTCTCTGTTTTTTGTGTGGAGTGGTCAAGGAGTGGGATGGGCAGAGTACTGATTAAATGATGTTGGTGTCTTCAGAGGAGGTTCAAGGGTGCATTCGAGGCGTATTCGGAACGCGAGCTGCCTAACCTCAAGCAAGACGTGCGTATTCATATTTCCACCATTAAATTATAGTGCGAGTCCAGTAGATTGACTTGACTCCGCTTTTTGGTTTCTTTGTATGATTACAGCGTCCTGGGCTTCGCCTGCAGCAGTACAAAGATCTGCTCTACAAGCAGTTCCAAAAGTCACCCGAGAACCCGTACGCGTCCTCCACTCTTCGATCCACCACCATCTCTGCCTTATCATATCTTAACGTTTCGTACGCGTCACGACACTAACACCCGCTCGTCATCAATCCGTAGGTTCAACCAAACGACAGTCGGCTACGATGCCACGAAAGAAGAAAAGGTCGAGGCGCTCAAGAAGAGACAAGCCGAGGTCGAGCAGAGGTTGAGGGAGAAATCATGAGCCACGTTCAACGTTCAACTCTGCAGCGGGTTTTACGCGCTCTTACGAATGCCGAATGCGTGTTCGTGGTGGGTAGGAGGGATGGGTCTCCCGGAGAGGGTGGATGGATGGATGCAGTGCCCATTGGGGGAAAGAAAGGAGGCGACGAGGGTATCATTTGCAAGGATGCTGTATTGAGTGTTGTATTGGGGTTTACTGTCAGTGTTGTTGTACTGTAATCCTGTAACTGGATTATGCATGATCGATATGATGCTCTAAGTCTCTGATTCTCTGATTCCGAACACTGCACCAACGCTCGGGGGGTGGTGGCACTGCCCCTATTTGTCCGATTCCGTTCACCTCAGGCGCACGCTGCAGCCTCGAGGCATCGTCTTCTCTTCTCACTGTCTCCTATCATACACAATATTTTATAAACCCTTCCGAGTCAATCCTCGCCACCCAATTTCCCTGCTTTTGATCTTCACCATAACCCATCTTCACCCATTGTAACTTTCTTCTGAACTTGTAGTCAAAGGAACAGGCCTCAGGCCTCTAAAGCTTTCATAGCTTGCTTCGCCCACAGTAAAACCCTACCAAACGCCCGTCGACGACCGTGACAGATGGCTCAATACGTCCCGAAATGGGCGGCGGGCTCGCACTGTGCGTTTCCCTCCATTTTCTCTCCCATTCCCTACGTCTAATTAATCCCTCCAACGATCGCGATCACAACACGGACCTTACCACCACTTCTTCGACGAACGAACGACGATGGTGACCACGATTCTAATGATTACGACGAAACACAGACGGCCCCGTCCTGACCCAAACAGACCTTTACCTCCTTGCGAGCGCACAGCCGCTAGAGCTGCAGATTAACCCTATTTTGACGAAATCGAGCCCCGATTTCAGTCTGGTGTTTAATCTTTGTACTGGTACGTACGTCTCTGTGATCGGGTGGTCGATGTGCGATATATTGTGGCCGACGTGTGATATGTGATGCGTTTGTGTGGTTGATGGGCGATGTGTTTGAGGATGATACGCGTGGGGCGGTGTGCGATGTGTGGCGGGTGAGTGGGATAGGCGGCGGTGGGTGGGATAGGCGGCGGTGGGTGGGTGTGTACGCCACCAGGATGCATATTTTTGGTATTATCTGCCACCCACGCCATAGCATTTCGAACCCTACCCATCCCACCATTCCTCCTATCCTCGTATGGCCAATCATATGAGTCCTTCGTACTGACATCCTATCACCCCTCTCTTCCCACCCACCCCCACAGGCTCCACCGGCGGCTTCAGCGAATCCGCAGACCGCGACCTCCCCTTCACCGCCGTCCACGAGCCGGCCACCCTCCCCCGCGTACAGGAAATCGTAATCATAAGCGAACATTCGCCCTGGTGCACGATCGTGAAGAATGAAGATGGGGTGACATTGGGGGATATATGTAATCAGATGTGGAAGGAGTGCGTGTTCACTGTTCCCCTCGTCCACTGTTCTTCTTGTTCACTGTTCCCCTCTTCAATCCTTATGCCATGACTCGGAGCCGCATTGAGTACTAATACTGATCTGCCTGCGAACCAGTTACACCGAACATACCATCACCGAAGGAGAGTTCACTGCCCTCCCGCCACGATTGCAGGAGACGGTTAAACGTGCGAATGCTGTCAATGGAGGTTGGGGCGGGCCTGGGCAGTTTTATTCGCCGGCGCCGAATCCGGGGAGGTATAAGAGAGTTGGTTAGTTATCCATCCCTCTTCCCTCTCTTTTTTCCTATTCACGGCACTATCCACTGGGATCGCCACGAGACGGTATACTGATTTAAATCTTCTCCCCCACAACGCAACGTCGCGCTCGCAGATTGGCTCCGCGACAGACTCTTCTTCGAATCGATGGGTAGGGACCAGGGCGATTATATCAAGTCACGATTGGGGTATAACGCCCCGAATATATTCGTGGTGAAGTTGACGGCCTTCTGAGCGTGCGTGCCAGGAGGGAGGAGGGTGGGAGGGAGTGTGCGTTTGTGTATTTGCTGTGTCGTGAAGCCCCCCAGACTGTAGAGGCTCGCTCACAGTCTAGTGCTTGGTGTCGTAGAGTCGTGGTTGTCGCAGAGTCGTGGGTGTCGTAGAATTGGTGGTCGTGGTGGACGGATGGATGGAATTGTTGTATGCTTTCCCCCGATGTATTTCATCCCCCGATTGTTGTTGTCGTCGCTGTATATCTACCCTTGCGTTCTATCTCGTTTCACTCTGTTCATTGCCATGAAGGATCGTCAAAAACCTTGCCAGTGAGCGCCTGTTCGACGCTTCGCCACACTATGGGCGACGGTGTGGCGTGTCGATCATGTTTGGTCTTGTGAGGATCAGAAGCCGTCTGAATTTCAATTCCGTCGGCATTCACGCTGAACTTGTCAACAAGAGTCTCCTGGTTCTGCTTCACAAAATCTGGACAAAAATTCCTATCCAAGTTCTATCCGCACGCTATCATCTCCAGGTTATGGCCCATATACATCATCACCACTCTGAGCGTGTGCCATGAGGATAGTGTAGAGCTCGAGCGACAGTTCTTTAGATCTAGTGAACGATCAGTTATCAAGCCTTCCCAGATGCAGAGTGCGCAGAGACTAGCTATACCTCTCGAACTCGTAAGGTATTGTTTGGATAGACGGGCAGAGTTCCGAGCTTGCTGTGAGCTTTAGTGAAAACCCGTCAGCTTTCATTGTACGCACCGACAACGGTGAGAGAAACGACCTACCTCATCCCATTCTTTATCCCAGACTTCCTCGCCTCATGACTCGCAGTCGCTATCTCGTTCGTACTGCTCTGCCCGCCCTGTCCTTCCTGTGAATGACAAACCGCGACCGACTTCCCCTTCATCTCCGGACGGTCCACCAACCCCGCCGACACGGAATGGGCGTCGAAATCGCAGTGCCTGATCACTCTCACTTCGTCTTCGCCCGTCTTACTTTTCGATTTGCCCTTTCGTTTCGATAAATTCCTCGATACGAGCTCCGCACCCCTCATACTCACATTCCCCTGCCTCCCCTCCTTCCTCTCCCCTTCGCCAAGGTCTCCTCGGCCGCTTTCTTCCCCACCACCACCACCAATCTCAATCCCCACACCCCTCTCCACCCTCCCCTGCACCTTCCCCACAAGCTCCTTCGACTCCGCCTTCTAGCTCGACAAATGATGCAGCCTCAAATGCTTATAATGCTCGTCCATAAAACCTTCAAGACGGACGTGTGGGCCGCACGCCATGCGGGTTCGGCCATTGCGCGCGAGGCGGCGGTGTTGGATGCGTGGGCGGCGTAGGAGAGGAGCTTAGAAGCGTGAGTTGGGGTGAGGGGGCCGGGTGAGTGGGAATTGTGGGAGTCGGGTGGTGGGGAATGTTTATGAAGGGAGCGTAAATGTGGCGATGTTAGAGATGTGTGAGTGTGGCGCGTTGAAGAGAGTAGCGACGATGATAGGGGTTTCGGTTTTGCTTTGGAAGGCGTTCGAGGAGGTGACCGTTGCTCTTGCGAGGGAGGAATAATAATCTGTCCACTCACACCCGTGTGCTCTGATGTAGAGGTAGAAGTCTTGGGTGGTGTCTTATGCCAATCCGTTTTCTGAGACCTAGACGAAGACGAATCACCAGAAATCCCCCTCAGTCGTGGTACCATAAACCCCGAAATGCTTCGTGATCCGGACGCAGACATCGCTTGAGATCCACCCGCAAATCCAAATAAAGACTTCAGCGCGTTCGCAGGTCCCCACGAAGCCTCCATCATCTCCTCCGGCTTATATATGAAGTCTCTCCAAGGGAGTAAAGCCCCGACTTGTGCGCTTTGGACAAGCCATTCTGGTCTTACGACTTTCATGGGCGTTCTGTCTTGTGTGGGAGTTGATTCAGTAGAGAAGAAAGGGAACGGAGGGAGGGAGGAGGACTTACACGAGGGATTTACGATATAGGCAGGCGTGGTATTCTTCCCCTGCTTGATGATCAGTTTGCGCAAGTCTTGGACGGAGGGCCTCTGTCCATCCGTTTATCTATTAACATACAATCAATTCATGGTCAAGCTCGGCTGCTGCGAGAACGAAGAAACCCATAACATACATATAAGTATAGCCAAGCCCTTAAAAACCAGCCGCCTCATAATCTCGAGTTTGTCCTCCTCATTTTCGTCAGCAGCTTCATCGTCAGGCTCGACGTTCTGCAATTCCAGTTTCACTCGTTTCCGAGACATGTATTCGCCGCTGAAGGAGGCAGCTCCGTGGGTGTTCGTGTCGTCCAAACGGTCCATATACGAAGACGAAGAGACATTGCCGCTAGTCAGGGCTTTGTTCGTATGATGAGAATCGTGTGTTGTGTCGATGTCATCACGTTGTGAAGAGTCCGAGAGACAACGTTTCCTAGGCTGCGTGCTAGGTGGTGGAGCCTGAGTCAAGCCATGACAGAGTTCACCAGAGGTCGAGGAATCAGCTTCAACTCCGTCCTTGAGGTTCACACCTCCAGAGTCTACATGTAGAATATCGCCAGGCAAGACAGCAGAGGCTGGTGCCTCCATGAAAGAAGGATCGTCAGAGCCGAATATGTCAGCCTCTATAGTGAAGAGGAACGATTGTCTTCCTCGATCTTTGAGTCTGGATTTCGAGACTAATGTCAGCCTAGGAGTTGGTGGCATTGCTTGGTGGAAGTTCATCGTCATCATTTGGCATAGATGCGACGCGAACACCGTGTTGTAATAAGCACAAGAACAAGACCCTGTAAGCGTTTGCATAGTTCCCTTCGCCGAGTATATAGGCGTCAAGACAGAGGGCCCGGAACACAAGCTTGACACCTTGTCAGAGCGTGCTCATAAATTGCCATATGAGCTGACGGCAGACCCCGGGGTGCAAACAATGGAGTTCACACAGCCCGGATATTGCCGACCAAACTCAACATCGAGGGTTTGTGATCACGATAATCTTCCTTCCTTCCTTCCTCCATCATCTGCAAACAATGTCTTCTTCACCCGCCTCTCAGCGCGCTCAAAAGCGATCTCGCGACGACGATGACACCACAGGCTCCAAGCGGCCTCATCTCATGCTCTCACAGATCTCTGAAGCCACCGACGACACGCGCATTGCCGCCCGCCATGCTAGGAAGGACGTGGCAACCATGGACTTGCTTGAGGAGATGGAGTGGGATTTGGATACTGTTGACACGTCCCTCGAAAATCAGCAGCTCGCTGCTGACATCCTTCACGCCGTCCGAAAGAACCACGATCAAACCAAATTACACGCGCACCCAGATTGGGCTGTCAACCCGAACGCAGGCCCCGAAGAACGAGTAGCATTCCTTGAAAAGGCGATATATGTCCGCCCTCACATCAGTGAGGCATTATTGGATGCCTTCAAAGATGGGAAATTCCAAACCATTCGAAACGCCGGTACGCATACTATCTTGTCGAGACTACACTATTCTTGTATTCTGATGTCTTGTCCATCAGCCTTCTTCAAACGACCGTACGTTGGGCCTCAGGTCTCTAAGTCAATGGAAAACCCGGAGGTTACTGGTAAGTCACCGGTTCCTCTTTCTCGCCGCGGAGGATTCAGCTAATCACCGACCGGGACGAATCTACCAACAAGAACGAGGTGAGTCTCATTAACCAAGTATTATATCTCACTCAGTTACTGACCATTCATTAGCTGTCCGCGACGCATGGAGGACACCATATATGACTGATGATCCCGGTTTCTTGTACGATCTCGTTAATAATATGAAGCGGAAGAAGTGGGCGGAAAACCAGCACAGTGACGATTACAGCAATACTGTCGCGATGGTGCAGAGCTCTGGGACCGGTAAATCTAGGATGGCCGACGAGACGGCACGCCTCGTTTTTACTTTTCCTTTCAACCTACGTTCTGACCAGGAGTCCGAGAGTGAGTCTCGCCGTCGTCACCAAAGCTTACCTTCATTGACGAAGACGCTTCTTCCACTAGCCATGGCGTATCCTTTGCCTGATCCTACCGTCCGTGACTACATGCTTGCTACAGACAATAAGGACCGTGCTCGTAAGCGCTACCATATCTTCCTCCAGTGTCTCTTTCGATTGGCGAAGGAGGAGCTCGAAGCCCTTTACCAGGGTCCCAAAATCCCTCAAGAGAAATTGGCAGGTATATGGCGGGAGCACCTAGAGAACAAAGCTGTACGCGATGGGTTCTATGGGCGCGTCATCGAGGCGGCTTCGGCAAGTTATTCGACGCTCCCTATTTTCGCTTTCCTGACCTAGGCATCCACTCATATTATAGATTCTTCTTTTGGAAAGCACGGCGACCACGATAGATGTGATCAAAAATGCAGCCATTCAAGAGATCTCGCAGCTCATTCTCACCCTCGATTCTGTGGTCGACAACCTGACAGCGAGCGTCAAGGTCCTCCTATATTTTGACGAAGCCCATCCGCTGACTTCGACCAAGTGCCTCGGGAGTATGGATACTCTCTACCCGCTCCTACTTTCGGTTCTGAGTGATTATGTTCGCTGTGCACTCTTCGTTGTATTTCTTTCGACCACTTCTCATGTCGCTGATTTCGCACCTCCACGGGAGGCTACGAAATCCATTCGTGCCACAGAGAGTGGAGCGCATCAAGCCCCCATTACTGAAACTCCCTTCGATTGTGCTCCTGATATCCGTGTCAAGCAGAATACTTACACCCGGCGGGATGTCGCAGACGTGCGATTCATGTCCCGATTTGGTCGTCCTTTGTGAGTTTTTAACATCAGTCACGTACTCGGAATCGTATCTCAACATCAACCATACAGCTTCTGGTCTTTCTTTTCCCAGATCAAAGACGCAGATATGGATCGGTCCATCCGTTCGTTCCTCGGTGTTGTGCGCAGTAAGCTACTCCACAAGATGAATTATGGGAAACCACTTGAGGAGTGCAGTGAGCTCGGACGGTTGGCGGTGGTGGATGTACGACTCTGCCTGCAGTATGAACCACATGTCGAAGGGAACCGAGCGATGGACACGCAAGCGCGCCTCGTCGCAAGCCACATGCGCCTCGCCTATTCAGTCCCTACACATCGTCAATACCTTCGCTCTGGTTATTCAAGCGAACCGATATTAGCGGAGGTACGTCCATCATCTATCTCTCTGTATCCCGGAGAGCCATCTCCTGTAGAGCCTGTATTGATGATAGTTTCTAGGCTGCCGCACAGCAACTACATGATTGGCGCCAAAACAGAAGGACAGCGTTCCTCGATATTCTCCTCGAACATATGCAAAGCGGCCTTCTGGACCGAGGTGAACGGGGAGAGGTCGTCGCTCGTATGCTCGTCACCGAGGCCTACGACCGCGCCGTAGCGGAGAATGCGACCAATGAGCAGACCCTCCTTTTCAGCTTCGGTTGCCGCGTTGTGAACTTCATAAGACAGTTATTCTCAGCAGCTCGTGCTGAAGCGATCCTCAAAAGCAAGCCTGCGAATTGCGATGGAAAGACGTTTGAAGAAGTCTTCGGCGACGCATGGATTCGGTTCACACATTTCGCCAAGTCCGCCGACGATCACATACTCAACACGCACTCGATGTTCGCAGCTTTTGCTCGAGGCATGGCGTACACTTGCCGGAACGGCGAAAGCTTCATCGACTTCATCACTCCCATTCTGCTTTGGGACGCGAAGCTCAGCTCGTGGGTCATGTCCGCCATTTTCTGGCAGGTCAAACGACGCGTCAGAGCTGGGAACTACGAGATAGATGCTGAAGCTCTAGGCTTCTTCCATCCCGAGCCCGAGGGCACGTTTCCACAGGGCGATAATCGCCCATACATCACGATCGTCATGGATCTCGGTGTGCAGAGCCCAATCCCGACTTACGCCAAGCCTGCGGCCCAGAAGGTGATTCAGAAAAGCAAGACAGCCGATGGACGAAAGGGCGTCCCTCAGGTATCGGCCTCTTACCCGCAGACGAGAGCGCCGCCTGCTAGCCCTTCCAAATTCAAGGTCTCCGCCCGGCCCGAGAAGCTTCGTCCCCTCCCCGGCGTAGTCCATCCACGCTACGCGATCTATGTTTCCGGATGCTCTAGCACGAACTACGGAGTTATCGGAGAATCTGACCGGGAGCTCTATAGGCAGCTCCTTCGCACCAACGACTTTCTATACGAGCATCCACGTCCAGAGACCATTCCCAAAGTGATGGCACAAAAGCCTGTTTTCGCGCTCGGTTCGAACAGCTACTCCTGGGTCGATTCGGACGTGCTCAATCCGAAGGATCCTGCGGCTGCTTACGACAACGACAACGACGAAGAAACTTTCCTCATCAGTCAACACGTCGAAGCAGATAGTCCCATGTAAGTACATGGACAGCGGTGAATGTCTCTTGTCCCTGTCTAAGCATCTTAGTATATTCTGTCCCCCCCTTTCCCTTTGCCCTACTTACTGCTCGATGTCAAATCTGTCTGCTATTCTTGCCTGCCCCGATTCCCTTCACTTTCGTTCGACATGCTATCCAGTTCCTATTCTATTTGCCTGCTGCCTCTGCCATGCCTTCTACGTTTGTCGATATCTCGTCTCACCTCCGAATAATTGCATTTGTGTGTTCGGTAGCATGACCTTAGTATTTACCCATGCGTGAGAGTCCAACGACAGAGGTAGATAAATATATAAAGCATAATTATAGCAACAACAATCGAATCCAGCGGGTAGAGTACACTTCGGTCAAACAACACCTCACCACCGGACAAAAGAATCAGCACATACCCGCTTTGGATACTGGTGGCGAGTCCGCATGCATCTTCCCCTTCCCTTCTGAGACTGGGTTGCCAATCTGATATAATTCTTATGCCCGTGATCCGAGCCTTGCTTTATGACGTGAGTCGACTGCATACTAACAACAGTTACTCTTGACTCCGAGTGTAGGTTATCCGGACGTTCCAGATCATTTTCCTCCTCGTTCAGCATGTATAGTGTAGTAGCGGAAGCGTTTGCGAGATTATGAAGTTGACGTTCGCGTTGAGTGGCGCATATCGGGGGGAAGGGGGCTGGTAGAGGTTGTGTCAGTGGCCCGGGTGGCGATGTTCGTGGATGGATGAATAGATGGAATTGTACTTATACTTTCCCCCGATGTATTTGATCCCCTTATTTTCGTTGTTGTATATCTAACCTCCATTTCGTTTCGGGCATTGAATTTACCATGAAGGAACGTCGGAACCCCTGTTCATAGCGCTTCGCCACGCTGATCGACGGTGTGGTGTCGATCATACAGTGTTTGGTCTTGTTAGGATCAGAAGCTGTTTGAATTTCACCTCCGCCGGCCTCTGTTTCAGCGTCTCCGTGCCTTTTGGTTCATCCTCCTATCTACTCAACTCAACTTACCTCACCTTCATCTCAAACTTACTGGTGAACGTGGACTTTCTATATTGACGCCTCTGCAATTCGCAAGAGGGACTTCACGAATCCTTACAGGCTCTTGTTCTTGTGCTTATTGTAACGCGCTGTCCGTGTCGTACCTATCTATGCCGCAAGATGACGATGAACTTCCCCCAAGCAATGCCACCAACTCATCTGACATGTTCGGCTCTGATGATCCTTCCTTCATCGAAGCACTAGCCACTGCTACCTTGCCCGGCGACATCCCACATGTACACTCTGGAGATGTGAATCTCAAGTACGAAGCTGATCCTTCGACCTCTGGACTTCTTCATGGCTTGATTCAGGCTCAAGTTCCTCCACCCAGCACGCAGCCTAGGAAACGTCGTCTCTCTGACTCTTCCCAACCTGACGACTTACCACCTACTTCCCATCGTGCCCCTAGAGATTTGACTAGTGGGGATGGCTCTTCATACATGGACGACACGAACACCTACGGAGCTTCCCATTTCGGCGATTTTGGCGAATACATGTCGCGGAAGCGAGCGAAGCTGCAATTGCAGAACGTCGAGCTTGACGATGAAGATGACGATGAGGCGAGTCGGGAGATTAGGAGGCGGCACGTTTTTAAGGGTTTGGCTATTTATGTATGTCATGAGTTTCCCTTCGTTCGCAGTAGCCGAACTTGACGATGAATTGATTATATCATTGACAGATAAACGGATGGACAGAGCCCTCCGTACAAGACCTGCGAAAACTGATCATCAAACATGGTGGCGAATACCACGCCTATTTGGGTCGTAAATCCCTTGTGTAAGTTCTCCGCTCCTTTTCCTCCCTTCCTCCCTTCCTTCCTCACCACACACACAAGACAGAACACATATCATAACCTGCACCCTAACCCCCGCCAAAATCAAAGAATTCAAGCACATGAAAGTCGTAAGACCTGAATGGCTCGTCCGTAGCGCGCAAATCGGGACTTTACTCCCTTGGGGAGACTTCATATATAAGCCCGAAGAGAGGATGGAGGCTTCGCAGGGACGGGTGACCGCGCAGAAGTCTTTGATTGGTTTTGCGGGTGGGTCTCAGGCCCCGTCTGGGAGTGGTTCGTACTCGAAAGCGGGACCCGTGCCACGCTTTAGGGGGGATTCTGGTGACTCGTCTGGCTCTGTGAAAACCGATCGGCATAGGACTACTTCTACATCAGATCACACAAGTGTGAGTCAAACGGCGACTATCCCTCCATCACAACAACATTGGTCACCTCGAACGCCCTCCAAATCCAAAACCCAACCCTTATCCCTACTCTCCCCAACCCGCCACACTCCCACCTTGCCGACATCACCACACTCACGCTCTCCTCATAAACATTCCCCACCAACCGACCCCCACATCCCCTATTCGACCGACCCCCTCACCCCAACCCACGCCTCCAAACTCCCCTCCTACGCCGCCCACGCATCTAACACCGCCGCCTCGCGCGCAATGTCCGACCCCGCCTGGCGCGCGGCCCACACGTCCGTCTCGAAGGATTTCATAGGCGGGTATTATAAGCATTCGAGGTTGCATCATTTGTCGAGCTGGAAGGCGGAGTTGAAGGAGCTTGTGGGGCAGGCGCAGGAGAGGGCGGAGAGGGTCGGGGTGGGGATTGGGATAGGTGGTCGGGAAGAAAACGGCCGAGGAGATTTGGGCGTAGGGGAGAAGAAGGAGGGAAGGCAGCGGGATGTGAGCATGAGGGGTGCGGAGCTCGTACTGAAGAATACATTGAAGGGAAAGGGAAAAGCGAAGAGTAAGGCGGGCGAAGACGAGGAACGGGTGATCATGCACTGCGATTTCGATGCGTTCTTCGTGTCGGCGGGGTTAGTGGACCGTCCGGAGATGAAAGGGAAACCGGTCGTGGTTTGTCATTCGCAGGGTGCACAGGGTGGACAGGGCAGTACGAGCGAGATCGCCAGTGCGAGTTATGAGGCGAGGAAGTTTGGGATAAAGAATGGGATGAGGTAGGCCGTCTACCTCTCGATCCTCTTTTCTGCGCGAACAATGAAAATTGACAGTGTTTCGCTAAAGCTTGCAGCAGGCTCGGAAACTCTGTCCGGGTATTCAAACAATACCATACGAGTTCGAGAGGTATATATGGTCTCTGCGTACTTTGCATCAAGCGAGCCTTCAGACCTGATCGTTCACTCCCACAGATACAAGGAACTGTCGCTCAAATTCTACACTATTCTCATGGCCCATGCTGATGACCTTCAGGCCGTCTCGGTTGACGAAGCCCTTATTGACGTCACCTCTACCGTATCACAAATGAAGGTCATACCTCTGGACGGAGAGGACACACTGGACGATGAGCCTCTCTCGGACCATTCAGATCCTGCTAAGCAATTAGCTGAGGTCATTCGTGCTCAGGTTCGGGATGCCACACGATGCGAAGGTATACTTCCCAACGTTCCAGAATGCCTGATCATAGCACTCACACTTCGTTCTTAACTCGACAGTCAGTATAGGCATCTCTCACAACATCATGATGGCGCGTCTCGCCACCCGCCGAGCCAAACCAGCAGGCTCATACCATCTCCTCCCCGAAGCCATCCTGGACCTCCTCTCCACCCTGGACATCCAGGACTTACATGGATTCGGTTGGTCGACGAAAGATAAGGCTCAGGAGAAGCTCGGAGCGACGAACTTGGGCGAGCTGGCGAAGAGAAGCAAGGCCTTGCTATGTGATGCGTTAGGCGAGGGGACGGGAGAGAGGCTCTATAAGGCGATTAGGGGAGTTGATGATAGGAAGCTGGAGAGCGACAAGCCGAGGAAGAGCGTTTCGTGTGAGATCAACGTCAGTCCGTTCGCGTTGTTTGTAATATTTGGAGTGCCGGAACTGACGCTGTGCTTATCACGTGCAGTACGGGATACGGTTCGAAAGCCAAGAACAGGCAGAGGCATTCGTGTACCAGATGGCTGAGGAGGTCAAGAGAAGGTTGGATAATGCAGGAGTCAAAGGGAAATCTATTACGATGAAAGTCATGAAACGTGATCCCTCTGCTCCAGTTGAGCCTCCCAAGGTATGTTCTCCACATTCGATCTTCGTTAGCCATCTGATTGTATCTAATTTCGTCTAGTTCATGGGCCATGGCATGTGCCTGACGTTCAACAAACAGTCCCCTCTCGCTGGCGCAAATGGTCGAGCTACATCGAACGACGAGGTGATCGGCGCTCAAGCATGGAAACTGCTCAAATCGTTCAATATTCCGCCACACGAACTCCGGGGTCTCGGTATACAGATTCAGAAACTTGAACCCAATAACGCCACAGCAGCGCCTGAACCAGGTCAAGCTCGTCTTCCTTTCAGACCTAAGGAGGTTCCTCCAGTGCAGAACGCAGAAGACATAGAGGATGATGTCCCTGACATCACGATTCAGCCAGCCTCGTCGCAGCCACAACCCGCCGAGGAAGATAAATCGAATCTCAGTCGTCCTCCAGAGCCAGATCTGCCCTCTTTCTCCCAGGTCGACATGTCCGTCTTCGATGCTCTGCCCACTCAAATCAGGGGAGAGCTCGAGGCCGAATATAAGCGACGTTCCATCTCTCCCTTAATCACCGATCCAGAGCCCCATTTCGATGCAGGCCCGTTCAACAAACCCGTCAGCACCAGCGCCACCGTCGCAAACCTCAGTCGTATCACTCGTCAGCTCGCCCCTCGTGCGCCAGGGACGACCAAACCCATCCTTTCTCCCACTAAGAGCCGACTCTTCGGTATCCCGACAGTACCGCGCGCAGGGCCATCCGGAGTACGTGTCAAACCCGAGGAACTCAAGCAGTTAGGCTTCGACCCAGATGTCTTTGCCTCTCTGCCCATCGATATACAGAGAGAGGAACTAGCGAATGCGAGGGCACTGAAGAACGGTTTGTTGAGGCCTGTGAAACCTGTTAAGCCGTTAAAGGCGCAGAAGGTGGTGCCGAAGATTTGGAGGTCGCCGACGACGCATCCGCCGAGGAGGCCGCCCCCGAAGGCCAAGTTCGATGAGCATCCGATGTTGATGACGCAGAGGAGTGCCGCAGACGAAGGTGGAGATGGCAAGGCGCGGGTGTGGGAGGCTGAAGACGTACAGGCGTTGGTAGGGGACTGGGTGAGGGAGTTTGAGGACTACGCGCCACATAACAGGGATGTGGATAATATCGCGAAGTTCTTGTTGAGATGCGTTGAGAGCGGGGGCGCTACAGGGTTAGAGAGAGCTGTGGATGTGATGAGGTGGTGGGCGGTGCAAGTGAGGCGACGGTGGGCTGCCTCAGAGAATGTTGAGGTCGACGAAGACGAGGATCTGTATGGATATCCGGATGAATTGAGTGTGGAGGAGATGAATGGTAGAGCGTGGTGGTCGGCGTACCGCCAGGTGAAGGATATTCTAGATCATGCCGTCCGAAAGAGATTTGGTGGTTCTCTCTCGCTGAAGTGACCGAATTGTGTATCATCCTTCCTCATTCTTCCGGGCTGTTGAATACTCGTGTACATATATGACCCTATCTATCCTACATTATTGTTTACATTGTTTTGATCATTGCTGCCCATCTGGTTTCGTACCCTTTGCAATAAAGAAATCGACGTGTTTTCCGTGTTTCATCGCTGTCGTTGCTCTTTCGAAACTGAACGACTGGAGCCCTGCACCTTCAAATGCCTCTCGCATCTCGGATTCGCTGAGTCCACCGGTGTGCGCGACGACGTGGTGAAACTCTTGTGGAATGACCTCCTGCCACTCATCTCCTTTCATTATATCCGCCACCAACAAGCATCCGCCTGGTTTTAGGAAGTGCGCAAGTATACTTGACACTTGCAGGATTGAACTGAAGTGGTGGTACGCCAACGCACACTGGAAAAACAAATTGATCAGCATTGTGGCGCGAGAATATGGTCCCGAATGATACCTACGACGATGACATCGAACCGGGCTCCGTCAAGCTCACCGTCCTCGCCCTTCAGTTCGACGCATACGGCACGCATCTCCTCGGTAGAGATACCCTGGTTCATCACACGGTGGTTGTACTCATCCACCATGCCTTGACTTATGTCGACACCGACCAATGTCTTTGCTTCCGGTGCAAGCTGCCGCGATATGAGCCCTACGGGGAACACGGTATATGTCAGTCAATTCCGAGAGGCAAAGCAGAGCCGTTGATCCTTTATTTTGCGCTCTCTAATTGCGAGTCAAAATATGATCTGACAGTGCTCTGCAGGACAGGCGCAAGACAAGTACCGGTGCCACAAGCAAAGTCCATCACTTCTGTTTTTTCTTCATCAAATTGATAAACCCGCAACATCGCCTCCGCCAGACGTTTTGCTAGCTTTCTAGCCGCCGGCAAAGCGTCGTAGTTATGAGCCACGGCATCAAAATAAGCGGTGTTAGCGTCAGAGAGGTTTTCATGGCGGTGATGTTGGTCCTGGTGAGGGTCAGACTCAGAGTGCGGGTGATGTGTATGGGCCATAACCTGAAGATGATAGCGTGCGGAAAGGGCCTGTATGAGAATATTTGCCCAGATTTGTGAAGCAGATCCAGAAGACCCTTGTTGGCAAGTTGAGCGTGGATGGCGGCAAGTCGGGAAGGTTTCAATTGGATGGAAGCGGCGTTTACGATATGAAGCCACGTTTTCCCACGTGCAGCATGTCCCCGCCGCCGGAACTCTGAAACGGTTGGGCCGTTGGGGACAAAGGCGCGAGATCAGCGGCACCCACCACCATGCAGCGCCGTATTTATATTACATCTCCCCCTTGCTCTGTTCCAACATCTTCCTTTACGCTTCCATCGCAAGCGAGTCGCCGACAAGCTTGGTTCTCTATTCTCGAGGGCAAGCTGTGGCGTACAAGGTGAAACCGCAGAGGTTCTCACAGAGCACACACCACACGCTTTGAGGTTCGGTGGTTTCCATTTCTGGTGTCGGCTTTGTTTGGTCATAACAGTTGAACTGACTCCCAGCGAATGTAGAACCGCTATGAGCGTAGTGGAGACGGTTCCACCCGCAGCATTGTCCCAAGGGGAGCCATCCTGTGGCACAGCGGACGCGACAGACGTTGAAGAGCAGCATACACCTGAACAGTATGCGGACTTCGTAGTCCTCACACCTGATGAAGTTACACAGCGCCTCAAGGAGCTGGCACGGCCCGAGACCGCTGAATTTGCCGAAATTCACAGCGTAACGTTGCAGCCGTGCCGAAGCTACAGCTCTCAAGATCGCCACGTCGTTCAACAGCTTCGCGTTCACGACCAGCTGTGGACCTTCACCGGAGTCTTTGACGGTGGGTTCACAATTCTCACTGTATACTCTGACAGCTTGTGCATCATTGTTCCACCGGATTTTATTATGATTTGATGCCATGCCACGGTGGCAGCCTCTTCCATCTCTGTTCAAGAGGTTGGATGCTCGCCGTGCGTCCGCACAGTTGTCTGGCACGGGCCTATCTTTACGCTTTTGCCCGTGGTCGGCATGACCGCCCGAACTGAGCTGACTATGGACAGCCTGGTAATAACAGCCGGTGTTAGTACCCGTTTTTTTTCTGCGCAATTTGATTTCAGCGCACAGGCGGCTTAACAGCCAAAGAACATGTTCTCGATGTTATTTGCGTTCACTATTTTATCTGTGACGCCTAGTTTTCGTCGGTCTTCTGCAACATACTGTCGCCATGGCATACCATCCCGATAGCCATGCGTGCATGAGAGCGGTGCAGTATATCTTTGGACGCATGAGATCCGGCAATGCATATGAATGAACTAGTCCTGCCCTTGCGATTCGCAGCTCACACAAAATCGTGACTCCGGCCGGATCTATATATCGTGCTGACCTTGCGATAAACCACCCGTGTCCGTGTGGCACGGCGTTTATTTACTGCCTCTATAGATACGACTTCGGGGGTGAAAACCCCGTCGAACATGTATAGCATTTCACAGCACTCAAGGATTTCTCATATACTGCCTACTATCTTCGACTTCGTATGCAAACGTGATTGATGACAGCTTGACGGCTTTACTGACTAAAACATTCCACAGGACATCTGGGCGATGCCACGGTCCAGCATACCGCCTACCACCTCCCTATCATCGTCAAACAATTCCTCGAACAAGCTCTGTCACATTCGTCAGAGAAGACGCTCTCCCCACAGACAGTCTCCGACATCCTCTCTCATTCCATCACGTCTTTTGACGAAGCCATCGCTGGTGATGTCTTGGAACTTTTCCCCGGAGGGATCGACTCTCTCCCAAAGCGTACGAATGAAGAGATTCGGAGCGTAGTCAACGACTACTATGACGGCGGGGAGAACTACCAGAAAGCCAGGTTGGCGATGCATGGCACTACGGCTCTCGTTGCTCTCGTTGATCCCGAGCATCTCAATCTTTGGATCGCAAACTTGGGCGATTGTGAAGCTGGTATGTTTTTTTTTCAGTCACGCTTAACCGTTCGCCAGACTGAGGGCCGATATGAATACAGTACTAGTGACACATAGCGACGATGGCCAGCGGAAGGCTGAAGCCCTCACGAGCGTTCATAATGGCGGTAACGAGTCAGAAGTGCAACGCGTTCAACGAGAACATCCAGGAGAATCTGAAGCCGTCGTCAATGAACGGGTCCTTGGGGCGATTGCACCTTTTCGCAGTACGTTCATTGCGTATTATTTTCTTTCCCATTATCACGATATCTGATATCAATCGTAGGCATCGGTGACGCTCCCTTCAAACAGCCAGCCCTTTTCACCCGGCGCGTCTTGTACAACCTTTACCCTGGCATTCCGGACAGTTCGCCTTGGGATACGTTCCTGGATCGAAACAAGTCCCCGCCATATATTTCGTCGCAGCCGGATATTCTTCACAGGCAGTTACGGCCCCAAGATTCTGCGGGTTCTTCGATATCCTCATCCGTACCATCCACAAGGCATCATCTTATTCTCGCCACCGACGGGCTAACCGAACTCTACGAAGAATACGACCGAGAAACGATGATAGACGACTGGGCATCTTGCATCTCATCCGTTTTACACCCTCCCGCCTCTCCGACTTCGTCTATACTGGGTCTGCCTTCAAGTCTACCTGCTCTAATATGCAGTCTTCCCGCTTTGGCAAACGTGTTCACTACTTCGTCCAGCGCCAAGGGCCTTCAGAAGAGGTCTTCCGCAGGGCACAATGGTCATGATGGTCCCAACGGGGCGGACTCCGATCGCAACCTCGCACTAGTATTACTGCGAAGAGCGTTGGGCGGAGAGCCGATGGACGTGACGAAAGTGTCTCAGATGTTGACGCTAGACATGGAACGACCCTGGATGGACGATACGACAATCATCGTTCAAGCCCTATGATCCACTCATCCTCTCTCGGTTTGGAGTATACTATGTTTTTGCTAATCTTGGTCTCTTCATGCTTTCTCTCTTTCGTTCTATCGTACTCTGCTATCCTATACCCACGTATTGTTTGTAATCCTCATGCACATCGAGATTATTTCACTGGGCGTAATTCCTTCACTTATATTTCATCTTGGCTTTCGACGTGGTTTCACATGGCTTTTGTCGTACGTAGGGTGTTTTCGAGGTGCTATTCGTTATACGCTATCTTGGTCAGTAATCTATGTATCCAGACGGTCTAGCTGTAGACAGTCCTATGATAGCCGTCGCCGGCATTGGTTCTCTGGCACGCTCCATTTTCGACAACTGCGGTTGGAAGTAGCGAGTGAGATAGAAGAGTGGGATACTTTTCTGGGGACCTTTCGACGACCCATGGGGGAAGCAACGGTGCGCAAGATGAGCGTGGAGGAGCGGCGGGGTATTTTCTCTATCCTTCCCTTTTCACTGAACTATAACGAGCCACAACATGATGTTGCAGGGGTTTGTGGATCTATAAACTGCACTATGGCTGACTCTATCTATTGCGATGATCATACATGTTTAGAAACGACTTCATCAAGCGCGACATGTGGCACATTCTCAGCCTAAAATTGCAGGCATTTACGCTCGAAAGATGGATGGGGGAGAAAGGGTATAACGGAACTATTGAAAAGATCATACCGAAGGCAATGCAGGACCACGATACAGTGCATCCGTATACGTAGAGGGCGACAATACTTAAAGTTGTAGGCTGAGGTAGCTCTACGAACCATGAATCATCAGAACAAGAAAACAATAAGAAGTGAGGAATTGGTGGTAGAACGCAAGGTGCGAGTTCAAGAGTGCACTCTTAGTGCGTCAACCTCGCAGGTACTCAAGCATTCATCACAATTTGGGCACCTTGAGGACAGTAGCGGAAATACGGATGGTAGTAGAGGTCAACGTCCTCAACTGGGCTGGCCACATTATGTCTTTTGGATCCGGGTGGCAGATGGTAAGTTTTTTGATAATTGGCTTCAAAGTAGGCACTTACGATTGTCTGAGATGATCGACAACAGCTTCCCTTGTCATCCATAGCTCCGACAACAAGGGGTCCTCTCTCGAGCTTTCAGACTGCGTAAAGTGCACCGTGCAATGGCAGCAGCCCCATGGCCGACGAAGCTGCGACTCGCGCCGGAAGTCGAGCTGGGACCTTGCAGTCTGCGCCTCTTCGTCTGATAGAACTCGGCATTGACGCTCTGCGTGTGCTGTACCCCCAACGGATATCACGTGAATTTGATGATCCAGCTGTGGGAAAATATCGTGAGGGTGGAGTAGAAACATCAACGCGATCACATACATGGGTTCGCCAGTTTCTCGCTATCCTTGCCACTTTGCCCGCCTTCGTGGAAGAGGTTCCACCATGGCAGTTCAGACAGACGAATAGCGGATCTAGCTGGTTAAGTTGGGCGGTCGTTGTCGTTTCTGGGGGAAAACTAAGCTCATCAAGCATAGACAGTACCACCTTTCGTCCAGTAGAGCTGAAGACGGGATCGTCGCTGTTCGGGATCGGAGGGTATAGAGCCCTGAATATCTCTCTACCGAACAATGACGCTGGCGTTCCAAATTGAGAGAGTTTTTTCTCTTCAAACACCGATACCGCGAGATCCAGTTCTCGTGGCATGTCAAACGTGGAATAACGTGAAGTGTCGACGACTGCCGGTATGCTGGCAAGGACTTTTCTTTTCCTGGATGCAGCCCATTCTTCGATCTCCAGTTGCGAGTCAAAGACCGTGGCGGATACTCGAACCTTGAATTCCTCCGTGACTTCCATGTCGTGGTCGACAAGGGGTGTAACACTCTTGAATTTCAGAAAGTCGTGTCTCTTTGGGTAGAATACGAGGCTGAGTGGAGGGAGACCCAGGCAATGGGTTTCGTATTGAGCCATGATTGCCTTGATCCGCAGCTGTTTGCGTTGCATACGTTCGCGCATCAGTCTTTTGTCTCTTGCCTGATCTAGATCGGGTTTCAGGATAGGGAACACTCGAACCCAGACTATGATGAGGTGTTAGAGAATGGATCTGTATCAGAGGAAATACGGATCACACCTTTATCTGACATTGGCTTTTCGCACCGGACTTCTCGATGCTCGCCCACTTCATCTACATCGGACATCTTGTACTCGAGCGCAAGGCATCGTTTCTCGATGCTTCGTCATGAATAAGATTAGCGTTGAGATGGTCCAAACGATGGAAGGTTGAAACACTTACCCTACCCGTCTTGCCGCTTCTCGATGCGCTCGCTCTGCCTGCCGATGACCTTCGAGGTCACTGAGCCATCGTCTACACTTCTCAGCGTACTGGAAGTAAGGAGATGAGCAACTCATACTTTGTAGATGCAAGGACTCAGAACTCAGCCAACCTCATTTATCGTTCGAGAAGTCTCCGTTGTAGATGACTTCAGTTCCTTCAACTGCGTATTCAGTTCCTCATCAGCCGCATTCTTTAGGATGAAGCCATACTTGGCGTTCAAATCGAGTAAGTCCTTCTTAAGCCAGTGTTCGGTCCGAAGTATGCCGTGCCTTCCTCGCGGGTTGACTGCAATGGTGCTAATGAGCTAAAAGCACCAGCGTAAGATGCATAGAGACACTGACTAGAAGCCATGGGAAGACGCTTGATCAGGTCGTACGAGAGCAAAGGCGCGATGAGCACGGCATCTTCTAGCTTGAGAAGGCTAAACGGAGGCCCTTCAGTCGCGCTATCGATGGGTACGTTAATGACGTACCCGCTCACCTTTGACTGAGGCAAAAATTGCAGGTCCGGCGCCGATGAATGAAGTCTATCTTACTGACTGGTTTGGAACCGCAAGTCTATGGAGGAAGTCAGTACCCTCCTTAAAGATATGGAAAAGAGCATTCTGACATGACAGTATGCGCCTCCAAAAAGAAGATTGGTCCAGGCAGGCACAGACATATCCTCGGGACACAAAGGTGTGCCAGGTATATTGTTCCACACTTCTTTCCAAAGCCAAGCTGAGTCCCGGGTCATAAGAATTTGTCGAAACGACTTTGAGACCCACGCGAGTCGCAGCAGATCAGCCGGTTTGAGGTGTACAAAAATCTGCGAGAATATAAGATATTTTCCATAATTGGCAGCACTCAAAGATTGACAGGTTGAGAAGCCGAACATACCTCGAACAAGACATCGAGATTCAGAGTAGGGAGCCTGCTAAGGCGGCCTTGCTTCTTCCTGGATAGGCCCTTCGTCTGGCGCGTTTTCCCTTTCACCTTCGATATCTTAACCCGTCTTACCACTTCTTCTGCAAACTATAAATCAGTATCGGCAGTTATAGATCATGAGTCCTTGTGTAGTACTTACCCTCAGACGACGACACACCAGTGTCGGCCGCGCTTCCCGCATTCCCTTTAGCGCTCTGCGGCGTACCATTTTGACTCCTAGTCGTAACTGGCATGGAATACTTCGAGGTACGAGCCGAGCAGGAGAAACGAAGATGAAAGTTTTGTAAAGTCCTTGACGCTGGATGGCGTGAAGATGGCTGTTCGATTCAAGAGCAGTTTGGCCACAATCGTGTCGCGATCCGCGACGCGACAAATGCATTGCACGGTCACATGATTGCTGAGCGTGGCGATAAGAAACCCTCAGAGTTGCTTCAGTAGCGAGAACGATTATCTTCGAAGCAATAAGATAAGGGCTGTAACAGAGCCTATTGCTTCAAAGACTATCCTCAAAGTCCCTCAAGATGGATATAATTTCAATCAAACTGACTGGTATCATTTGAATTTGAATATCATGATCATGAACTGCCAGCTGGTACAAAGGTGTTAATTACACGAAACCGAATCGTGTTTTACAAGGTAAGGAGCCGCAGTAAGTATCGGGAACGAAGAACCATGAAGACTCCCACAAAACTCATGAGCAATATTCGTTTTTCAAGATCATGATGTCCGTCCTGGGGGGAAAGTGCGCCTCATAATGGTAAGTCAACGAAAACGGCCTTGTATGACGTCCCATGTTCCGATTATCCACAACGGTGGTAAGCCATTAATCCTTGACGACTCCTAGAGATGTGAGCGTGAGGTACGATTGTGGGACTGACACACCGATCATCTGGCGCCTTTGTCGTCAGGTATTCCACTCTCGTGCGCGTCTTAATCTTTCGGCCTTAGTCTCATCTAGAGCCGGTTTGAAAATTGAGAGAAGTCGGGTCCATACTGGCAATTGATCAATGCTAGAAGTTTAGCACTTGAACGGTGTCTTGAATGTGCTGAGAGCACGTACCTCGGTCAGACATTGGCTTATCCACCTGGCATACCTCGCGATGAAGAGCAATAGCCATAAAATCTCCTTCATCGTATCCCAAAGCAAGGCATCGGCGTTTGATACTAATACAGATGGAGGTAACCAACCAGTTGTGATTAAAAAGTTATTCGAATGACGTACTCTTCAGACCGAGCGGTTTTCCTGCACTCCTTCGCTTCTATCTTCTGTGCTTGGAGATCATCGTACCATTCGAGCCAGAGGCGTGCGTTCTAAATATTAAGAACGACGAATCAGTACCACAGTACCACATATGTAAAACATATGTAAACAGACCTCTTCTCTCGCCTTCAAAGCCTCCATTCGCGAATCGTGCACCTTTCTCAGTATCTTCTTCCGTTCATTCGTGGGCATCTTGGTGGTAATGAGGTCTCCTACTTCATTTCGTAAGCCTCGGATGTCATCTAAGCAGTACCATTCACGGGCAGCGGCTCGGCTCCCTGATGGTTTCACTGTGTCATAAAGAGTGTAGATATTCCCATCAAATGTCACGTTGACGAAACAAGCTTTGACAGCTGAAGACGTACCCTGAGCTGCGGGCAGACAATCCAGAGAGTAGCAAAGCACAACATAGGAGTGTACCACCCCATGGTAGTTGTTACTGTGATAGAGGCTATGGAGTGCGTTAGTGAGTGCTAGAGTACGGGTGAAAAGTACAAATATATTCTCACCACTCTGTAAGACATGGCTTGCATGTCCGTCGACGAAGCGTAAAATCCGGCTTATTGTTGGTCTTTGTGCCACAGCGCTACGCGAGTCCCAGGTGAGACAAAGGTCCCAAAGAATAAAGAACAAAACGTACGTGGCAGGAAGACTCTCCGAAGATAAGACGGGTCCAAGCAGGTACAAATATATCATTGGGAAATTGCGGTACCGTGGTATCAAGGTTTCCCCACACGAATGTCCATAGCCAACTCGTAGTGTGCGACATGAGAACTTGCCTGAAGGACTTTGATAGCCCAGCCAGACAGAGCAAATCCGCGGGGTCCAGATGCTTGAAGATCTATAGAGATACTGACTCAGTACTGGAGCAGCGCGTTATCTCGACGCAGAGAAGTGACAGAATGGACAGACTTCGTAGAGGATGTCGATGTTCAATGAGGGAAGTATGGAGAGTCGGCCTTGCTTTTTTCTAGACAGTCCTCTCGCTCGCTTCACGAGCGAGGAATTGGCGGCTTTGGTTGGCTTGTTCAAAAGTTCGGAATTGTCTGAGAGGTGCACATAAACAGTCAGAAATACTCCACCTGCAAATAAGAAGAAGACAGACCGTCTAGGATACCATGCGATGTAGTAGCTGCATGGACATTACGAGGTGGATCGGCCTTGTTGCTCGGCGGCCCAGGCAACTTCAAGTTTCCTGTTTGACTACGAGTCGTGACTGGCATATTGTTCTTTTCGAAGGTAGTCTAAGTGGAAGATCAAGACCGAAACGAGGATTGCGAGGACTGAGGCAGATGGAGACCTGTGTCGTCGAGGAAGAAGAGGCGCGATGGCGGATCGAACCTTTCAGTCTTACCAGCGGAGTTCGAACACTATCTAATCGGGCAAGCAATGTGTCAGTGATGGACACGCAGTGCCACTGTGGCGACCGACGCGGAAGCCGAGGTATTATCTATACTGTATCTATGCTGTCATTTTTTTTGGCGATATCCACCCATTGCCTTTGAGGATGATGGCGACTGGCTTTCGCGTGTCATAGATCAGCTACTTTAGACAAAGTCTGAATCTGAACTCTCTAAGTTAGACTGTCTGCTTATGAAATATGTGTCTTGATAAACTGACATCTGCTGGAGGCACCAACCAAGTTGACAAAAAAAAGCGTACGGAAGTTCATCCAAGTTGTCTCGACAAGTCACGACTTAAGTACCACGCCGAAGCCAAGTACTGTGGCCCGCCCACCTAAGCACCTATAAGACGAATCAGTGCCGTTAGATACTGGCAGCACCCCGCGGGTGGACCTACGAGATCTCAACGCGGGATAAAGGTCCAGATGACGGACAAGAAGGAAGCTGCCAGTTTGGGCGTGGGCGCTACGGTGTCAGCCATCTCGGGCCGATTTCATCCGAATCCCGATGGAATGTTCCGCCAATCAGCGGCCAAGGCTCGGCTCCTCGATTTCGATTCGCATTTCTCTCCCTACCTTTGCCACCTGGTCACTTATCTTGCCTTTTGTACTTGCGTCGTCCTATCCTCAGCATGGGCTCGTAGTACATGTACTTGCGCACATTCAAACAGTTCACACTTAGGAACACAGGCTTGAACTTCCGCCGGCTGACTTCTCGCGTTTTCCCTCGCCGTCCAAGGAGTTGGTCTCAACAAGGTCTCAACCCTTCGATAGTCGACTTGACTGGCAGTTCCGAAAGGAATAATGCTCATGCCGTCAACTTGTGTTCAACTCATACGGCCCACAGACCCCTAGGCGCCATTGACAGCGGTGATTTTTGACCTTGGAACTTCAGTAACCTTTCGGGTTGCGTAGGCCAGACTCTCGTTGAGCGCCAGTCTTCGTTATGCTCTGGTTCTGCAATGAATGCGGTCATTGTCCCTCCTCTTGAATGTCCGCGAAATGTATGGCCAAAAATGGCCGTTTCGGCGGGCAAACGTACTAATGGAGGTGATAATCATGATTATCGGCTTGACTAGCACGCGAAACTTGCTTCAGTTTAGCCCAAGATGCCTATTACCAGACTGACAGCCAGGACATTACAGGTAGCCCCTCATTCCGAGGCTCGAGCGCTAACTGAGTCCACAGCATAGAGGCCAAACCTATATAAATACTCGCCTTGACCCTGTCGAATTCTGAATACATCGACTTCCTCCGTCCAACCTCCAAGAATCTCGAACTCCTCAACAATGAAGTTCATCAGCGCCCTCTATCTCTCCATCTGCATTCTTTCCCCTTCCTTCTCCGCTCTTGGCTCAACTATCAAGCGTGACTCGATCGTTACTCAGCGCGCGAGTAACCCTTCACTAGATTGTATTGGGGCGGAGAAATACCTTGGCATAAACAACAACGTATACAGTGCAGCTTGTAACGAACTCGTAAGTACTTCTCTCCCTCCTATTTACTTTCATATCAGGTCCATTCCTTGGTCATAAAGTACTGAATCGAGTGTTTTTGTTATCACATATGATGCATAGGCCGAGTCTTGCTTGTCTGCCTCCAACTCCGGGACGACAGCACTTTGGAGTGTGAAGAGCTGTGTGGCTGCTCAGACCTGTGACCCTGTATGCTGTTTCCTCTTCTTGTTTCGAGTGCACTGCAGACTGATAAGCATTGGTATAGAAAACGGTGTTTGTCGCGCAATGCCAGAATAGTGCTGTTGCGAACGCGACTGACATCCCGCACTTGGACTACAATGTAAATCTTGTTCCCTTTGTCTCTCCTCATAACCATACCTAGACTGACGCAACGAATATCCTCTCCCTCCCACACCTCTTTACGCATGGTCCCATCGTCTCCCGCTTCATTCACACCCTCCCTACTCATAGATCTACGCTGGCATTGTTGGCGACTGCGCTTGGGCCGAGGGTGGTTGTCCTATCACCCAACAGAACTATATCGATCTGATATACAGCGCATTGAGTGACATCGGGTCGACCATTTGGCCGAGGTAAATACCTTGTCGGAACCATTTTCCCCTCTTTTTTTTCTCTTTGTTCTCCCTCGTCTGGGAGCATTCATGGTGACCTCTATACCTTTCAGCTCGGCCGAAGATGTGGTCAACGACTGGTGGACTCCCATTCTCGACTGGACGGCCACAGGAACCACTATTCCGTACACGAACTTCGATGATTGGCTGCATTATGATGCATACTCTGTATAAACGATAGTTCAATGTTCCAGTGCTGATATACTGACACGGCAGGAGGCAGAACGATAACTTTGCATTGTCGGAATTTGGGCTTTCAGGTTTCGAACTTTGATATTGACCATTTCGCTGATGTCCTTCTTTACCTGCAATGGAGATGGCTGGTCATTGGTGGTTACAGTGTTGCTTGACGCTCCCGTCTATTATCCCATATTCTTTCACCTACCAGTGGACCGGGCACCAAGATCAAGGAAGAATGGTTGTTCAGTTTGCGTAGGAGAACTCTGCGTAACCTGTTGTAAGTAACGCCACAATCCTGCCGCCACTCCAACCTTGGTTCTTAGACGCTCACGACGTACCGGGTTCTCCCGTCTCTCCACAAAACAACACTGTTCTAGACCATTCCCCTCGTTCCTCAGCTACTACCTTCGACTTTTGTCAGTCGGAATGCCTTGATTCTGCGCTTGAAGTTTTCACTCACCTCTTGTGGTCACAAGTTCTATTTCTCTCCCAGGTCTCCAAGCTTCGTCGGTCAAGGTCAGCTCAATAGCCTGACTGTACCACCTTCACTTTGCAACGGTATACACAGTACGGTCTGTACACCCCGGACCCCAGAGCGCCATCGAAGGCGACGAGCCCTTACCTTGACTCGCAGATATCCTTTGTCAGGAACTTTGATGACCTTTCGGGTATCGTACGCCGATTCATATTGCATTGCATGTGGATCGACCTCATGCTCTATGCGGAAACAGATGCAACCATTGGGTACTCTTGTTGAGAACTGGTGGAATATGGCCGTTACCCGGAGGCACACGTACTGAATAAGGTGATAATCTTCTCAGAATAGGACACGAATACGATTTTCGGCTGCATTGCATTAAGCTCGAACTTTGATCTTGTCAGCAACGGACTCGGATGTGGCCTAGAGTTGCTCCTCGATGCTGTGCGAGCTCTTAGCAGAGAGCCTCGGATCCTGCAACGAACTTTCTGGCTGACCGTCTAGTATAAAAGCCTGTCCGTTATCCCCAGTCCAACTCTGAATTTATCGACTTCCCCTCTCCTCCGCCATTGTTCGTTCTCATCGAACATCTCCACCTTCTCAATCATGAAGCTCATCAGCACGCTCTCTGTGTTCTTCACCCTACTCGCCTCCATGCCCACCTCAGTCTTTGGTGCAGCCATCGAAAGAAATCTCAACGTCGTTAAGCGCGATAGCAACCCTTCCCAAAACTGCGTTGAGGGCGAGAAATATGTTGGCATATATGGTATTAATGGTGTCTATAGTCAAGCTTGTGCCGTGCTCGTAAGTCCTTCACATCCGTTTCTACTCGAGTACTGACTGATGATCATGTGTTGCTATAGGCTGGCAACTGCTTCTCTGCTGCCGAAGCCGGGACCACGGCGCTTTGGAGTGTAAAGAGCTGTGTGGCTGCTCAGACCTGCGATCCTGTATGCCCTTCCATTTTCCTCTCTCGAGCATGTATTTATTACTGTGCCCTCAACTAGAAAACCGCTTTTGTCGCGCAATGCAGGAATACCGCTGTTGCAAACGCTACCGATATCCCGCATTTGGACTACAACGTAAGACTTTCTGTGTTCATATCCTCACAACTATTTGTTCGACTGATGCAATGATTTTCTTATCCCTCTTCTACCATTCCTTCTTCCCTCACCCCAATCCATAGATCTACGCAGGCATAGTCGGTGATTGCGCCTGGGCCGAGGGTGGTTGTCCCATCACCCAACAGAATTACATCGACTTCATTTATGGCGCCCTGAGTGATATTGGGTCGACAACCTGGCCGAGGTATGTTTGCTCTCTGAATGCTGTCCATTAAAGTCCTCCTACGCGCTCCCGTCCTACTCCACGGAACCATGTTAGGTCTAATATTGATGTCGGTTCTTTGTAATGTGTTGTAGCTCGGCCCAAGACGTGATCACTTACTGGTGGACTCCGATGCTCGATTGGACGGCCACGGGAACTACGATCCCCTACACGAACTTTGACGACTGGCTGCATTATGACGCCGTGTCGGACTAAACGTCGAACCGTCAATTTTTGTCATTTAGGTTTACTTTTCTCATACCCCTCTACTTCCTCTGCTCCTTCCGCGTGCCAGTACGATTTGGAAGGACAGTTTGCCGTCGAATGGACTTCTGCACTTTGAACACTTGCTCGAATGAGTAGAGTACTTACTTGAATATTTCACTCGTTTGTTGTATTATCGTTAGTGTGGCTGTGTTGCTCGATAGTTGCGCATAACGTCTTATAATAAATAACGTATTGTGCTTGCTTATATTCTTCTCGTGCAAGTGATCACCTACAAAGCAGATGTCTGCCATGATATCGATTCAGGAATCCACACACTAGATAAATGATCGACCATGGAGGCTGGACAATGACATTTGACATCGGTAAAGAAATTGAGGGCGTGCTTCTAAGGCTCCTTCACTGTGTCTCCGTTATAAGGAGTACAACACAGGGCCTTGCTTTTCAGTGGAGCGATATCGTTGCAAAGCTCAACTACAGGGGGCCACAGTGCTATCGGCGCCACCCTGAGCGTGTCAATGATTCGGCTCTCTCCGTACCGGTGCTACCCGTCCACGATAAAATACCGTTGTCCTTCCCCCATGACCATTTCCTGCCTCGAACTTTATCATTCCTACTTGCTCTGTTCCACTATCGAGAATTGCAGTCGTATTTTTGCCGCAACACATTCTGATGTTGAACCTGACTCTTTTCCCCCGTACACCTCCGTACACGCTCTGACGGTCTTGAAGGCCTGGCAGGAGTTGACTTGGAATGATGCCGGCCTACCACCACCTTGTGCCTATGTCTATACTGCGGCTTAAGCACGCCGGTTACTAGACAAGAAGAGCTTGATATGAATTTTGACCTCAACGCTCCTCGTGATTAGTTCTCGGTTTATGCCACTGACATTCATTCCAACCTCATCAGCTTGTCATCAGCAGACCGGAATCGGTGATGCGTTCTGTACCTACCCCGGAAGACCCTTTGAGAACCTCATGCTCCGTGTCCACAACTGTGCCCTTTGGCTTGACTGTGAAGTCCGGAACCTCTGCTATGTAATTCGGCCTGCAGTGGACGTGGTCCAGAATCACGCCGTCTTGATGCTGCATGAGCTCAGTTGAAACCAGGCCTCCGATCCCGATATTGAATTCTGCCCAGATATATAAACTTTCACATTCTCCTCATTCAAATCCCTGATTTCATCCTCATTGCTCTTTGCTCGCCCTCCCTCACACAACTTCTCAATAATGCAGCTCCTCGGCCAAACTTCTTTCGCGCTCCTCGCTGCTATGGCTACCTCTACTTTCGCAGCAGCTATCGAGCGTGATGTCCATGTCATCGAGCGTGCAGACCTCCCGTCTCAGCAATGCGTACAGGCGGAGAAATACGTTGGGATATACAATGAAGTGTACAGTCCGGCCTGTGTTGTGCTCGTAAGCCTCTCTTTGTCCTCTTTCCCTCCTTTCTACAGTTCATACCTCTATCATTGATCTGGCTGGATACACTCTGGCGTTCCTTTCCCCTTTCATAAATTGTTAATTGACGGTTTTGATGGTATGTATGGAGGCGGGCTCTTGTTTCGCTGCCTCTAACAATGGGACGACGGCGCTGTGGAGCGTGAAGAGCTGTGTTGCGGCCGCGACGTGCGATCCTGTACGTTCTTTCTCACCCTTTTTTTTTCTTCACTCTGTGCCAACTGTGTCTCTCTGGCCTTCTCCTATGTTGCGTTCGGTACTGATCGGTCACCGGATGAATCCTTTAGAAAACCGCTTTCATAGCTCAATGCGAGAACCCCGCAGTTGCGAACGCGACTGAAATACCCCACTTGGACTATAACGTACGTTCCTCCCCCTTCCCTCTCCTTCTTTAAATTCTCCCATCTAACTGACGCCGTTCTACTGCATTGCTTGTATGATAAAGATCTACGCAGGCATCGTCGGCGACTGCGCCTGGGACGAAGGCGGCTGTCCCATTACCCAACAGAACTATATCGATCTGATTTATAGCGCGCTGAGCGATGTCGGGTCGACTGAATGGCCAGAGTGCGTCCATTTTCGAATCATATCCAACCCCTTCTCTTCACTTCACTTCCTTCTATTTCAAGTACATTGTATACTGCTTACTGACGCCTATGTGTGTTTCTTAGCTCGGCAGAAGATGTGATCAATGAATGGTGGACGCCTATGCTCGACTGGGCGGCCACGGGGACTACGATCCCGTATACGAACTTTGACGATTGGTTGCATTATGCGGCCACGACGAGCTCCGTTGGTCGCCGTTGAACTTTAGGGAAACCTCGACCTTCTCGTCAATGATACCCGCTACTTCGTCTGTTCCGTCCCACTATGCATCAACTTGATGTGATTTGTAGGCAGAATGTAGCATCGAATGGACCATGGACTTGAACTTCATTGCATTACTGTTTCGTTCCTTGTTTTGTTTTCGGTGACGACACGGACTCGTTATGGTAGTACTAGTGTTGCTCGCTAGTTGTTTGACAAGGGCTTATTTTCTTCCAAATAGTACACTTTACGTGCCTACGTTCTTTCTACTTTTGGCGAACAAAACTTGAACATCAAAGTTGAGTAGGATAAACATAGCATCAGCGGAACACCAGGGCTGCTGCGGCGCCGTTGGCAACGGTCTCTGCTATAAAAAGGATCATCGTTGATCGTTTCCCTTTCGACCTCACCTCATTCACAACCTCTGGCACGATAATTTCTGATGAATCCTCCTTACTGTAAACGTGTGGGCGGAACCCTCCCTTGTGTGGAGGGCCATCACGCTCGTTCGGCCCTCACTTCGCTGCGAGCCAGCGGCACGTATGAGTATACTATTAGCTCGTTCTCAGCCTGATGGGTGATGGCATCGAGGCGTAGAGAATGCCTGATTGATGTACTTATTTTCTCCGCAAGTGCTGTATGGAGGAAAATTTGTAAGTAAGCGATCTCAGGTTCACTTGTCAGACTGCAACTCCGACGTCACGATGCATTCACCCTCTTCGAGCGGACTCGGTTGTGGACATCGGTCGGCCTTGGGCTTTTGCGACTCGTGCAGCTACTGGTCAGCATACCGATGACCTGTGTAATTTTGTGGTTCTTCTGTCCCAGCCTCTGAACCTCGCTATGTTCTCGCTATCATTCTCGCCACACGCTCGCCACATGCCAAGCCCAAAACTCAAAGCGCTGGTGCCTTCGCGTGTTCTCTCCATGCGGAATTTGGTCCCCTTTGGGCCACAGCGCAGGGTACAAAAGCCTGTCGACTCCGGCTCTTTCTTCTTCATTCCCTCTTTCTTTGTCGGTCCCTCCTCCCATCCTCCTCCCCTCCCCTCCTCTTCCATCCAATACCCCGGAAATCACCCACCCTCTTGTCCATTGAAGCCATGTTCTCGTTCACCATGTTCTGTGTCGCTCTCTTCGCTCTCTTTGCATCCGCTGTGTCTGCCCTTCCCCTCGGTGGTCACAATCACGTCCGCCGGTGCCACCACGGTGGATCCTCCAGTGCATCCGCCGCCATCACGAGCTCTGCCACCTCCGCCTCCGCCTCGTCCTCTTCTTCCACCAAGTCCAAGTTCTCTTCGTTCGTCACGACTGAATCCGCCACCGCATCGGCCTCTCCCTCTCCCTCTGTCACCTCCTCCTCTGTGAAAGCTTCCGCTTCCGCCGTCGCCACGGACCCGTCCAACTTAAGCACCTCTTCTTCTTCCTCCTCGTCCACTTTGTCCTCCCTCCTCTCGATCCTGTTCCCGGTCTCCCAATCTGCCTCCTCGTCCTGGTCCACCGTATCAGGCGCCGACAACTCGGTTCCGCTCTCCGACTCCACCTTCCAGCTCACGAACCTCATCTCCGCTCTCTCCCACGACTATGTGCAATCGCCCACCCCTTCTGCGTCGAACTCGTCCAGCTCGGACTCAAAGCTGTCGATGCAGGCGCATTACCCTAAAGGGAGCTATACGTTCACGCATAGTCCGGAGGGAGGGTTGAGTTTCTATGCGCCTGGTCCGGACGCTGTGGATCTGACGACGGCGAAGGAGGCGACGTTTGGGTATTCGGTTATGTTTGAGGATGGGTTCGAGTGGCAGAAGGGTGGGAAGCTGCCAGGTCTTTGTGAGTATCTTTCCTATGTCGCGCTCTATCATTATCTTTTTTTTTCTATCTGGCTGCATTTTTCGAAAGCACAAATGATTGGAGCACTCGAGATGTGCTGGCAGTTGAGCTCAGATGATTGCCGGTTTTATGATCTGTATCGCACGGACGGGCATGCCTAACCGAGTCGCGTGTCATGCCGAATTATGGAACACCATCTCACGATATTGATTCGGGTGCCACTCCTTGTGGAGGCCCTATTTGTGGCGCATAATGTCCACATGAATATAGACCAATGAGCAGAGTCAGTGGACCACTGCTCAATTTATCTACCACGAACTCTCAACCCTGCGATACTTATCAATCGACTCATGATTTTTCATTGTAATTTCCCACCGTTTTCGAACCCTGCTGACACTTCCGACACTTTCGTCATTCCTATTCACAGTCGGCGGTGACTCCTACGACGACTCCATCTCCTGCTCCGGTGGCCGTCGCTCCGACGCCTGCTTCTCCGCCCGTCTCATGTGGCGCGCCGCCTCCGCCGGCGAGCTCTACACCTACCTCCCTCCCTACGACGACGCCTCGGGCGACTACACCGCCAACAAAGCCGTCTGCGACGTCGCGCCCTTCTCGACCTGCAACCCCACGTACGGTGCGTCGGTCGGCAGGGGCGCGTTCTCGTTCGTCGCGGGCGGGTGGACGACGATCAGTCAGAGGGTGAGGTTGAATGATGTGGGGCAGGCGAATGGGGAGTTGGAGTTGTTTGTTGGGGGAGAGAGTGTTATTAATGTTAGTGGTTTGATTCTGAGGGCGAGGGATGCGGGGAGAATTAGGGGGGTTCAGATGCAGACTTTCTTTGGTGGTGAGTTTCTATTTTTATTTTATTCATTTGATGTCGTACTTGTGGCGAGAGGTTGGAGGCTTATCGTTCTGGTGCTTTACAGGCTCGACGGAGGACTATGCATCGCCGAAGGACCAGAACACGTACTTCTCTGACTTCTCGGTCGCGATCACGGAGACGCTCTAAGCTCCACGAGTAGCCTCCACGACCGACACACGCTTCATCACACCTTTCCGACACCGACATATTCACGACAAACACGCACACACTTAAACACGGCGACGCAACAAGCAACAAGTCTTGCCCTCGCCAGCTTCGTGCAATCCGCACATCACATTCTCTGCATCTCACTGCTCAAACTCAACAATCCGTCCTGTCTCTATTCTATTCTGGTTTCCATGATGGCTCTCACGATTTGATATCCTGATATCCAAATATCCTGCTTTCAAGCTGTATCTATACGCTCTCCATTTCCCCGCTTCGCTACGGTCTTGATTGGCTGCAGCTGCTTGCTTTCATTATCACTTTTATACCTTGATACCTTGATTGGTCATGCCTCGGTAGTTATGACTTGATGTCTACTTTATCTGCTACGTACGGAACGCTTGCGTTCCTCTCTTTCTTTTCTCCCTTGCTCTTACTTTTTTTTTATGGGTTTTGGGAGTTTACTTTTATTGTGCTGGATGGGTAGCGTACTGTAGCGTGCTACGGAACCTACCTCTGCTTTCTGTTTTTTCAAGGTGTGATCGCAAGGGAGATAAGTCGAACTCAAACTGGGATCATCTCGTCTGTTGTCTCCGATCCTTGTTCATCGAGCCAACGGTGATCTTGTTACCCGACAGACTGTGGTAGGACCCCCGGTTATAGAAGGCGAGGACGTCCACGAACCTCGACGAACTGACGAAAATTTGTCCGGATTTCGGGTACGGCCTCCAAAAATAAAAATAAAATAAAAGAATAATAATAATTGGCCTGCCCCAGAATCGCTCTTTGAGCACATTGTGAGGCTTATTTTGCCCTTCACATTGAACAAACTGCCATTCGGACCGTCAGTGACCCCAGAGAGGCCCAAGCTGGGGCTGATGCCACAGCCTCCGGCGGGTTTTTGTCGGGACTGGCGGACAGCCTACCCCCCAAAGTGCCCAAAATTTGTCCGGATCAGTGGACGTCCTCGCCCTCTATCACCGGGGGTCCTACTGTGGTGCATGGACGACCAGACTATTTATCGGACACGGTAAGGTCCCGCCGGCCTGATAGTGAGTAGTCAAATGCGGTGTTCAATTTCGAGGAACGAGGACCAGCAAGAGATGCGTACCTGTACAGGTGCAAGTTTGCAATTGGTGGTGTGCTGGGTGGATTGGCATGGGTGGCGCAGATAGGGGCTGAGTCGGGAAGACACCACCATCACCCTTACAAGTGCTGAGGCCAACAAGTCTAGCACTGCTCAAACTTAAGACGGTACCAACAAGGTACGGTAGTGGAATAGGTGCAGAGTCTGAGAGATAGTAGACATTGCATAGATAATGAGGCCGTGACAAGCAGGGAAGGAGTAAGGTAGGAGGCATATTACTTCGCATCGACGTCCATACATTTATTGTAAGAGAGCTCAACACTCTCAGCCTCATCAAAGTCGCATAATCATCTCCGCCATCGGGAACGAGGGATTATAATAGATGTCCAATCCTTCTACAGGCTCGCGTGTGCCCAAATCATGGCTATACGTACGCAGAACAGGCGAGGCGTAAGCAGACAACAACTGAAAATAGAAATGATTCAGACTCGCCTATCTCTCAGATGCTGAATAACCGGGTCTCGTTCCATCCACCTCTGAGAACCGCTGTGTACCTCAACTTGAAGATGGACAGCACAATGTCCGCACCCCCATATATAGCTTCCTTGTGTCCACGATCGGAAGTCGACCATCACTTCAACAACGCTTGGCCCTTTGTTCATCTCGTCTGTGCTCCGCGTGAATCGAGGGACGTCGTGCTCAGGGAGTTTCAACTGATGGCTCAACTAGGGAAGAATATGTAATCAGCAGAAACTCAATGACCGGTGTGACAGAAGACATACAGCCTCCCTCCAGTTCATCTTTGCGCGCCGCCCCGTGAAAGTAAGGTCTAGGAGAACAGTCGACCCTTCTGGTTCCTCTGTCTGTAGCTTCGCAGCTTGTAAATGACAGGCCTCACACACAAACAAGTCATGCCGATGATCTAATTCCTGCGTGGTCGTCGTCGCTCCATCCAATCCGCACAATTCTAACAACGCAAGAACAGTACGCTGAGCGGCCTTGTTCAACCTTGGAATGTTCAGCGCCGAGGATGGGGAGCTTGAAAATGATTTGTCTAGCTCATGATCATCATGACGGTAGGCGAAGATTTCAGCACCAAACAGAGGGGTCTCTGGTTTCGCCTCAGCTGTGTACACGTTCTTTGCGAGGGTGAGTTCGAAGGGGACATCGAACGTCCCGCAAGCGTTGGGAAGCGAGCCGGAAGAAGACGGAGGTATGAGAGTCGACATGATTCTGCTCTTGCGCTCAGTGGCCCACTGCTCGATGCTCGTCGTAAACATCTGGAGGATCACGTTCCTGAATGGGGCGAAGAAGCCTGCTTCGGCGACGAGGGGATTATCGCAAAGTGAAGTAAGATCAGAAGATATCTCTAGAAGCTCGTGAGGTTGAGGATAGAGGGCAAGGGAGAGAGGCGGCTTGTCGAGTAGAAGACTCCGATATTGACCCTCCATGAGTTCTTCGCGGAAACGACGCTCATATTGAATATGGCGCGCTTTCTCAGCCTCAAGTATTGCCACAAATTTGGGTTCGATAGTTGTCCATACTGCAACAGTGAGAAGAATTGAGAAGAAGTCAGCTCCCGAAGTTTGATTGCAGAGTGATGATATCAGAATATCAGAATAAGGGATGCACTCACAATCGTCAGACCAGGGGACTTTGCTCGTTAACTCCGGCTCGTTCCAAATTGTACTGTAGGAAGTCTCCTCGTGAGTATATCCCAAAGAATGAAGACGTTCCGTGATACTAAGCAGCGTCAACCGTTGTCAGTCGATCATTTAGATTATCTCAATAAATGGCGTACTGTCGACGTTTCTCCGCCCTCCGCCTTTCATCCACTCTCTCTCGCTCTTTTACCACGCGCTCAGCCCAGTCGACGCAGGACTTGGCATGCTAAGAATAATGAACAAGGGAAGTTACAAGCGCGTCAACATTATCGATAGTCGGCAGCTGTGGACATCCTCACCTTCAGCACCTTGTCATATGCCAGAGCCTTTACTTCCCTGAGCTCTTCGATTTTGGCTGACGACTCCTCTGATTCAAGACCAACAGCCACAGCATCTACCTCTTCCGCAAGTCTGGCCGCATCATTTTTCAGGAAATATGGCGACACCATATTAGGCCATGTCATTGATCGGTAATGCCTAGGATAAACTTCGGATGGTGATTGTTTGAGTAGGAACTATGGTCGATGGAGGACATGAAGGGCCCTTACACATGGATCTGGGAAGGACTTGAAGGAGTGGCATAAATTTCCTAACTCCGATGATGGACTTGGGCACCGAGAACGTGACACTTGAAGGCCGGTCGCAAAGTCAATACCATTACTTCACCTCTTCTCACCATGAAGAGTATGATTACATAGTTTGACTGACCTTTTGATAGTGCATGGCGAACAGGCCCGGATACGAAGAGCCCAATCGATTTCCTGAGTATCTTCTGAGCCACACATCTACGAGTAGAATTCCTCAATGAGATAGTGTAGAATGACAAAGAGAAGAGTATATGGTGCTTACTTGACAGCCAGTACCACCAAAGATTAGTACCGTCCAGGCTAGTACCTCAGATATGTCTTCAGGGAGAGGTGGTGCTATATCATCGCCAACGTTGGACCAGGTCATTCTCCAGATCCAGGCAGTTCGACGAGACGTGAGTAGTTGATGAAAGGATTTGGAGACCCGAGATACGTGAAGTAGGTCATCAGGTCTCAGGTGGCTAAGTATCTGACAGACATTTGTGGGGCGCACACATTGAGTAACTCATCAAAGACACACAGACCACAGAACATACCTCGTAGATAATATCGAGTGACAAAGTCGACAGCGTGTTGGTTGAGACTATCATTGGAAGGAGCTTCCCTATACTACTTTGCGTATTTATGCCCGTCTATCCCTCAGCGTTCGAGATGGTTGTAAAGAGCGCGTCTTAACGAAGAGTCAAGACGATACCTCAGGCTACTACTAGTCGGAATGTTCGTTGCTTGAGCAGTATAGCTTCTTCAAGCCTCCCACGCCAGAGAGCAGGATAACAGATACACAGATAGTAAACGTTGATGCTATAAAGTTTGAGTATGCGATAAATGGAGACCGTCAACGGCTTGGAGAATTCGAAGACTCGGAGCGAAAGAGACAAAGGGAAGCGGATTCCAGGAAGCGGAGTTTATTACGTAACCCGTCGGGTATTCTCCCACGAACGCCACATCATTTTCACCAGTTTTCAGTCAGCCTTGCTTGAGCTCCGTTTCGACTTCCTGTTCCACAACTCGAGTTTCACAAATGGATATGGCACACATATTATCCGACTCCCAGGAAGGACCGTCTCTCCATCCTACCCACATAGTTCCAATCAAGATGAGAACGGCGGTTTGTACGTACTCAGCCTGTCATATTCAACACTAACTTTATGGCCAGCCGCGAAGAGGCGAAGTGACCAGCTGGTGATACATCCAATCCGTGTATATATGTGGTCGACACTAGTCGCCTGGAAGCGTCACTTGCATTGCATATAGTGGAGGAGGTAGTCGAAAGCGAAGAAATTAGTGTGGCCCTCCATGGCCGACGCATCACTGTCAAGAACACCAAACAAATGCGTCACGCTTTGGAAGGAAGGAAGGAAGTGGAACTGGGAAATGGAAAAAAAGCGCTACGGTAACAGTGTGACGTGACGTGACGGATAGTGACGACACGCCGGGAGAGCAAGGGAGTGTGGCTGAGTGTGGCACCGCTGCAAGGAGGTGCGGTCTGAGCTGCATTCATTTTTGTAGGTTGATTTCTATGGGCCGATCGTTGTAAGGGACTCGGGGAATAGGTTATACATGCATTGAGAACAAAAAACATATATTAGACCTCGTGGGCACCAGCCAATTTCGCTGACGTCAGCGAAATTGGCTGGTGCGTACTTCTCATGCAGAAAATGACCATCCCTGTTTGGTGAAATTCGTTCTCATAGATTATTTTCTAATTGAATTTACACGAATTTAGATACCCTTTATATCCTGTCAGGATGAAATGCGGGTGAGCAATGAATGTCGGTGAACCGGCCAATTTGGCCAAGACGTGCGCCAATTGGCTGGTGCCCACGAGGTCTATTATAGCGTACTTCTACATTTTCTGAAACATGTACATGCACATAAATACATGCCATCACTGATAAATGAAACAGAACTTTGGAAATGGCCGCGAAGCGGCCCAGAAATTAATTTTGGCTTTCTCAAGCATTGGCACGTCTCTGAGAAATTTTACAGAGCCGTGGATGGTTGAGTCTGAGCAAAGCGACTGAAGGGAAGCCGGCGAAGGGTGGCGAGGGAGGGAGTGTGGCGGGCGTGACGGAGGCGCGCTGGATCGTGTTTTGATGGGACTGGATCGTGTTTTTTTGGATAGGAAGGTGTCTGCGCACCTGGGCGCTTCACACCAAGCTCCCCGCCAGAATTTTACCGAAGGTGGGTGTTGAACGGTGGCTATGTCCGCCGGTCCGGCTTGTATTCACATGACGCAACACTATTATTTCTTATTGTTCTTTCTCTCACACGCGTCCAGCTGTATAGTATTACTTAAGGCTGTACGCTCTGCATGTATATAAACCCCTGGGCATTCGCCCTGTAATCTTAACTACTTATCTCGCCTCTCCAACCACTGCGTGCTATCAAGCCACTCAACCCAAGCCTTACTCCAGGTAAGTACTGAGAGCGGTACCACTACGTTAACCCTCCGCTGCTCAACAGGTTATGGGCCCTGATGAACGCTCCGCTGAGTTTCGACTCGCAGCGCTCTC